AATGCACACACAGATTAATGTTTATTTCTCAACTCAAACTAAAAACAACAACAACAACAATAAATGATTGATAACACCTATAATGATCAATAAACCATCAACCAAACCAACATTACAGTGATTCCATCAATTGAAAGCCATCAACTTTTTAAAAAATTATTAGGCTAAAAAAAAATATATAACAGCTTTTAAATTAAGTGAACTTCAAACAATCCCCACATAAACCCATAATAAAAAACATATTTACCTGTGCCCTTCCTGTCTTAACAGGTACAGAAATTGAATAAAGTTATCAAACAGTCTGCGCTGCCTGAATCATAATTATATATATATAATAATCCTTATTAAAGCTACAAAAGTTCTTTACTCAAGATCAGTGAGTAATTTTCTAATTTCCCTTTGTTCTTTTAACTTTACTGAAAGAACGCTTTATTCGCTGCTGGCCCTTTAAGAGCACCCGTTGCCGAGACGCGGATCTCACACGCGCCTCATAGCACAACCCTTTAATCCATAGACTTTTCTTATGTTATGAAGATACTAGACAAAACCACATTTTGGCATAATTGTGTGTGCTATTGTTCGTTCAAGCTCGAAAGAGAACTGTTTATTCTGGGCTGGCACACGGTCAGTGCATGCGCATTATGCGAGTCTCATCTATTCTAATCTAGGGCACTCACAGGCAGCTTTTCACTTCTTGTCATGCAAAATGCGAAAAGGCATTTGAACCAATAAGAGGGGGATCTTGTAACACTAGTCAAAGGATGACAAAAAAGAAGAGATGCTGCGCTAATAGCCCTACTTTGTTTATTTCATATAAAATCGCGGCATTTTGCGTTATATAATTGCATAGGTTTGAGATCGCTATTAGGACTGCGATATAATTAATCGTGCAGCACTAATGCTTAGTGTATTCTGAAGGGCAATAAACTCCACTCCAGCAAGATAGTCATTTTATGCAAATCATAGACCTTTATGCCTTATCTACAAATAAAGTATAATATTGGGAACATTGATCTTGAAGAGAGTGTCGTCGTGTTACTGTCGCAACCGAACGCGACGCGCTAATGCTGATGCATGGAGAATGACTGAGGCGAGATGACTTTCCGTTAACTTTAACTTAGAGACTAAAATATTAATTTTACCACACATTAAGCTATTGAATGACTTTAGAAGTCTTGGAATATAGTGTGAAAACTTGATTGTGCTTTACAGTTTTTTATGCCTTTAGTGGGGCTTAACAAAATAACACAATATGCAGAATGTCGGACGTCACTTATAGGCTAAACTGTTTTTATAGATAAAACTATTTACATTCGGCAGTCATGAAAACAAATCTCAGATAACGGTTGACTAGGTAACAATGTGTAATTTTGCGCCGGAGTTCTCCTTTAACTTACATTAGCTAGCTAACTACGAACGAGCTAACCAGATAACATTAACAAATTGACAAGCACTTACGGGCAGAATGGCTCTTCAAATGACGGACGAAATTGGAGGTTGTCATCTGACTGTCCGCGATCTTAACGTTGCATGTCTTGCAAAGCGCTGTTCTTTTGCCATCTTGTTGTAAGAAATTCTTAAATCCGAAAGCGACCCTCGGTATCCCTCCGGCTGACATGTTGATGTGATCTGATGTAAGTGGGCGTGGTGTGTGCGTAAGGTATGAGAAGGCATTACTGATGATCTCTGATCCAGTCATGACAGCGCTATTCTCAGCCTGCGCTCCAGCTGGATCAACTTTATTTTTTTTACATAATTTATATATTTTATATTCAAACTGAAAACATGATGTGATTAACACTCAAGTCATATTATTACATGCAAGTGTGTTTGATTTATGGACCAAATTTTCAGATCAAGTTTATGGACCAAGTTAATTTAATTAATAAACTAATTATATAAAACTATTAATGCACTACAATTAAACTGGTTATATGCCTTTACTTATAAAAAATAAAAAACTTATTTAAAAAAATACCAGGCTTAAGGCATTTATTTTTTATGCAGGCCATACACAGGAGTGAAATGGTTAAGACCCCTCCCCCTACAAACACACACACATACACAGACAGGCAAAGACAGCAGGCTCAGATTGAGCAAGACCACATTCAAACAAACATATCTGACTTTCTGTGGGTCCTAGCTAATGAGTGTCAATTAGAAAGTTGTCCGGCTCGAGGAGTACAATATACAATCCGATTTTTGTAACTGTAGATAAAACTAACAACCCCACTTTTGTCAAAAGGTGGCGCTACTGAGCCCTCACCACGCCCGTTTCTGAAACTTTGCACGTGTCTACTGGCTAATAAATGTGATGTGTCTGTCGAGTTTCATGCAATTTCAAGCATGCTAAGGGTCTCAAAAGCATCCTAAAAGAATGGTAACGTTTGATGCGTCGCCACGGCAACAGTTTCAAAGATATCAAGAATCCATTCACAGGTCTACATCTGCTGTATGTTTACATTATACAGATGACGTTTGAAGCAAATCGGGTAAAAATAAAAGGGTGATATCAAAGCATTTTGAAAGTGACACACTTCCTGCTGCCAGTTGGTGGCGCTATAACTTTGACTCACAATAGTCACATCCATGTGATCGTCCTCTTACAGCGAACACACTGCTGAAGTTTCATCAAGATCAGTTAATGTATGCTGAAGTTATAACACACTTCCTGGTTCACGTTTCTCGTCATGATTTCGTTTCCTCGCCACGGCCAAACCGTTCGAGATATCAAAAATCCCCTCGCAAACTTTCATCCTCAATGTCTTGACTTCATGCTGACCGAGTTTTGTCGAATTTGGATCAAAGCTCTAGGAGGAGTATTTAACATTCCATTGCGAGCGTTTTACAAACAAACCTCAATAGCCGACTTCCTGTTGGGCTGGGGTAAAAAGTAAAAGCGCGAGGTATAGATGAAACTATGAGATCAACATGTGCACCGAGTTTCATATTATTATATACAAACGTGTTTGAGTTATGGACCAAGTGTTCGGACCCCGTTCCAGGGGGCGCTGACGAGCCGCCCTGCCACGCCCGGGTACCAGCTTCAGCCCGGCTCTGATGGCCGCGGGTTCTGACCCATGTGCAAAGTTTCAAGAGTTTTCGAGCACGTTAAGGGCCCCAAAAATGCCCAAAAGGTTACAAAATAATAATAATAAATAATCCTTAGGAAAACAATAGGGCCTTCGCCCTTTCAGGGCTTGGGCCCTAATTACATAAATTAATTATAGCTGTAATTACATGCTGGTATTTTAATATATAAGTACAACATAACAACATGTATGTAGGCTACACAATAAAAGTCCATTAATATCACATTATTAATTTCAATGTAAGTACTTAAAGCCACTTAATATAAAGTGTGGCCGATTAGTTTAAAGGGTACATATCATGCTTTTAAATCATTCATTTTTACAAATAAATCATACCGTTGTGGTCTATATAAAACATAACTGCAATGCTTGGGTCTGAATTCCTCATTATTATAGCTCCACAGGCCCCTTTTCTACCCCTTTTCTGATGTGCGTCTTTGAGCAACCCGCTTCAAAGCGGCCACTTTAAATAAAAAGGAGATGTGTCATACCCCGCCCGCTCTCCAGGTCGATGAGTTCACAGTCAGTTCAACTCCCCCGTTCGGCCATTATTGTAGTTTGATTAGAGATATACGATTATATATGATACCTTCAAAGAACATTTTTATTCACACGTTAATAAAATGTCAACAACAGAAGACTTGTCCATCAAGCCTAACATATTCGAGCCAATGCGAGCGAGTTGATAAAGACGACGACGAACCTGCAGAACAACCTCTTAGGATGTATTGGTATGTGAGTTAACTGTTTTGTGTTATTAGTGAAAATCGACTATTTCTCTTGTTAAAACAAGCACACTGACAAGATAAATGACTACGGTCTAATCTTACCACAAATAATCTGTAGGCCTATTGATAATATGATACGTTTAGAAAAGCACCAGAAAAGCAGCTAAATGACCATTCATGAAACTCAAGAACAATAATACTGCAGATATGTAACCTTACTTCAAAACAAAAACAAAGAAAGACAAAGGTACTGCTAAACCATGACCACCATGTGTTTTAAGAAAGTAAAGTACTTTATTTTTATTAACGATATTTACAGTTTATCGAAATGCTCTGTTCTTCTCCAAAGATAGGAGGAATTTACCCCTCATTCAGACGAAGTCAATCGGCAAACCCTTCTGTATAACGTTACTGGCGGAGGTTGTTGAAGTGGGAATACTTGAAGTTCTTCAGGTCACTACATCCAAAAACCGAACATTTTGACTTGCCCTCTCCGAACTTCTGCATCATTGAGATTGGACTACAAAATCGGAGCGAGAAATAATAATGGCGGATTGCTCGAAATGTTGGGCCGGTAGTCGATGTCCTTATTTGGCAGTTCCACTGCAAATACGGTGACGTAGTCAAAAAACGTCATTAAAACAGAAAAATCTGAACAGGTTGAAAAATATGACCAAAACAGAATATAGAGATATAAACAAAGCACCTGAAGAGAATAATTTCATCTTTTCTGTAGGCTACTTATAAACACTCCAAATATACAACAAAATGCATTTAAGGGCTAAAAAAGTGGATTTTGCATGATATATGCCCTTTAATGTCTGAAACATTATGGCATATAAGGCTGAAAGCAGTAGAAACACGTGTACAATCATGTATTGTCAGTCAGTTCTAGCAGAGACATTACATAGTGGGGCTCAAACTGTATCTGCCTACTACTAATTTTAGAAATTGTCATAAGACAAGAAGCATGTTGTATTATGGTCAGCAACTGAAACAAACAAGCATTTGTTTTGATTTCCATCGCCAGTAGTGCTATTCGAAACACTAGTGTGATGATAGCTTGAAATGCAGTAGTAATGAATGCTGTGTTGAGCTTTGTGGATTTTGCCCTGTGTTTATCATTCATAGTTAATTTATTACAACTAATGACATAACTCTGGCTGCGGTTCAAGGGTTCTTGTGATAGTTAATCATCACCAGTCCTTCATGTTGCACACATTCTCTGAGTATTAGTTGTCTGTCAACTCTCGCTGGATTCATCCAAATGGTAGGATATTTTTATAATATCAAAATAATAACTTTTACAGTTTTTTTTCCTGATTGTTGTAAATTAAAGGAATTTGTAATCATGTTATTTTAGGTATGTTATGTCTTAAAGGGACAGTTCACCCAAAAATGAAAATTCTGTCAGTAATTACGCATCCTCATGTTGTTCCAACCCCGTAAGACTTTCGTTCATCTTCGGAACACAAATTCTCCTTCACCGGAACGAATAGAGTCTCCAAAACGGATTGAAGTTCGCGACTGAGTAAAGGTTGTGTGCGAGCCACAAGAGAACACAGCATCCGCGCCACTGATCACAGCAGTAATGAGCACTTTGATCACTTGATTAAAAACAAAAGCATTTCAGCCCTAGATCGCCTCTTATTTAACAAATGAACAAAATGAATGCTCTGCTAGTTGACTGGAGATGTTTTATTTATTTCTATTGTTACATTCGTACCGCGACGCGAGATGTTTCAAAAGTGGTGATGTTTTTTTTGTTTTTTGGATCTTTGGTTCTTTTACTACATCAGACGTATATAATAATAACAGAAAAAAAAACTTGACATAGTTTTGTCCTTTTGTGACACTAGCCAGGTTTGGTGTAAAAAGTTGTACATTTTGCAGCCAATTATTAAATGTAGTCAGTGTATTAAGAGGCTACAATTTCCAAGCAATCTATGCTTAAGTGTAACTTGATCTCATCCCATTAAGCTGATCTAATCTGTCTGACCCCTCTTTAATTGGAATAATTTTATGTTACTCAGCCTTATTTGAGAAAGATGGCCTACAGTAGCCTTAAGTTATAATACAATTAAATAAACAGATCTTTGACTGTATTAAAAAAAAAAAAACAGTAGAAATAAGCTACAGTTAATTCATTGTTAGTTTCATTTCTACAAATGGTGCAAACTCTGCTAGATTATAAATAAAAGATCCCCAATCGCCTGCCATTCTGTTATCGGCAGTGATCGGCAGATCATGATTTTGGTGATCAGTAGGCTAATTGGTGATCCTCCCAAAAAATGCGGATCGGAGCATCTCTATTCTCAGCAAAGCAATGCTACTTGGGTGGAGTGAGACCACAGCGTCTGAGACGCACACCATGGTGAGTAGCAGTGAGTTTGTTCAGAGTTGGAATAATAGAGTAAAAGCATAGTTTACATTCATGGGTGTTCGCTGTATTGTAAAGAGCTGCAACAATAAACAGTGGAGACCAGGTAATACCATGATGTTTCAAAAAATTCCAACAAAAAAACGCTGACAACCAAAAACGCTGACCTGATGAATCAATGGCTAAGTTACTTGCTCTGGATATAACGTTAGATCCAAACACACCTGAAGATCATCAAGAAGCATGTTTGCTCAGTACCATTTCACTGAGGACGACTATTTTGAAAAAATGGAATTTGCCAGACGGACATCTGAAACTGAAGGATACGGCCATCCACAGACAGGACAAAGTCAATCACCTGTGGCTGCAGCGGTAAGTGTTCAGTTATGTTTTAGACGACTACTAGCCTACTGTAACAGTGCCATTAGCCAGATCTAATGACTGTGGTCTGTGTGGAGTGTGGTCTCCATGTGTCCCTGAAAAGTTGAGACGTTTTTTATCTCGATGCGGTGCAGACGCGCTTGGAAAAAACAAACGCGTCGCACCGCGACCACGTCGCTTTCTTCCATTATGAGCGCACATACCCGCGCGCCTACATTTGAAACAACGAACTTGAGCGTGCAAAAGACACAACATGTGAGCAGGCCCTAATGTTAGTAATGTTTTTTTTCACAAACACGCTCTATCGCCCTAGAGACAAATGAGCAGACCAAGAGGTAAATTCAGGACTGAAGCATTCACCTTGCTAATGAATTGGAATTTTGTTTTTTGTTTTTGAAGAAGAAGAAGCAGTGACCTTGACTAGTACGGGTAGGCTACTGTCTGTGGGTTCATTGTGCAAAAACCATTCGCCCTCTGCTATTACTTTCCCCTTATTCTAGCCTATTATAATGCAATGAATTATCTAACATTACTGTACTGTATGCTGTTGAATACATTTGTTTTAGCTGTATTAAAATTTCATTTAAATATATAGATTCCTGTAATAATAATTCTTTATTAATGTTCTGTGATATTTATTAATCAGGATGTTTTTTGTTTGGAATTATATGAAACATCATGGTATTACCTGGTCTCCCCTGTTGTTTATTAATGCTGCTCTTTACATTACAGTGAAAACCCATGATTGTTTATAAACAATGCTTTTATTATCTAGTAATTGCTAACTCTATTACTCCAACTCTGAACGAACTCTCCGCTCCTCACCACAGTGCGTCTCAGATGCTGTGGGAATCACTCCACCCAAGTAGCAGTGCTTCGCCTTCTGAGAATATAGTTCCTAATATTTATAAGGTTAAAAGATGGCTTTGTCTCATATGACCTTGTTATTTGTATTCTGTGACTATACAAATCACAACATGTTTAATAGGAAAATGTTTGTTATTTTGTCACTTATTGGGATTAGTATGCTAGCTGGAGCCATTTACATCTAGTCTTTGTGCTAAGCTAGGCTAGCGGTGGTTGCGTCAGACAGAGTTACAGCATGCACGGAGATGAAAAAGGTATATATGGACTTTTCTAACTATGGGGGGGATACAGTGAATAAGCTAAAATCCCCCAAAAAGTCGGCGTGTTCCTTTAAGATTGAGCCACTGTAGTTACTTGGACTATTTTAACAATGTCTTTAATAACTTTTCTGGGCTGGCAAGTTATAGTCCCTTAAGAAGCCTTTGGAGGAGTGATCCAACTCTCATATTTAATCAAAAATGTCTTAATTTGTGTTCCGATGATCGAACAAAAGTCTTACGGGGTTGGAACAACATTTGGTACAACATTGAGTAATTACCAACAGAATTTTCATTTTTGGGTGAACTATCCCTTCAACAGAGAACCTGAAACAAAATCTTTCCCTCACCCATTTTCATATTTATTTTTTTATTTATAAGTATTTTTTATATATATTTTCAATACATTGCTGATTATTTATGCAGTTATCATTCATGTATTTCATGATTAAAAATATATTCTATTGATCCTTTATATTTTGGCACTTGAAAGATATGCACACAAATGCACACAAATGTCTTCGACATTATAACAATGTAAAATGGCAACACAAATTCTGTTCAAATTGTTTGTTTCTCGTAGTGATATAATGGATCTGAGAGAGTATTTAAACAGGATTGGATTTACTGGCCAATATGACAAAGCCAGCCTGGAGAGTTTGTTCGCCATCCACAAGCTGCATGTCATGAATATTCCATTTGAGAATCTCAGCGTCCACAGTGGGGAGAAGAACACTATGGATCTGAACATCATCTATGATAAAATAGTGAAGAGCAATCGGGGAGGCTGGTGCTGTGAAAACAACCTCTTGTTCTCGTGGGTTCTGAGGGAGATGGGATACAAATTCACCATACTGGGCGCCAGAGTGTTTAACTCGCTCAATAAGGAGTTCTTCCCAAAGGACAGTCATCTCATCAATCTGGTGGAAATCGATGGGAAGACGTACATTGCTGATGTGAGCTTTGGAGTGTCGCACCAAATGTGGCATCCCTTGGAGTTGATCTCACATAAAGACCAGCCACAGCCTCCGGGTGTTTTCCGGCTCATAAATGACGGGGTGATGTGGGTCCTCGAGAAGACCGGAAGAAAGCAAGTGGTTCAAGATGAGGCCTTTGCTAATTCTAGTCTCATTGACAAAAGGCTCACCAAAACAATGTACTCCTTTACATTAACACCCTGCGATCCAGATCATTTCCTGGAGACATCAGAGTTCCTGCAGACTAATCCAGAATCTCTGTTTATGCTCAAATCCATTTGCTCCCTTCAGACGCCCACAGGCTTCAGAGCTCTGATTGGCTGGATATACAGTGAAGTCACATTCAAAGAGGATGCAGACTCGGTGGATATGAAAGAAATCCCAGATAGTGAGATAGAGGCTTTACTAAAGGAAAAGTTTAACCTGGTGTTAGTTAATAAATTCACACCTAAAAACAACAAAGCTGATTATTGCATCTAGTACTCAGCTACTACTCATCTAATACTTAAGTCCCCAATGTCTTTTGTTTCAATATTAAGATGAAAATTGTACCTTGTATTCTTTCTCTCTTTAATTACTTTGTCACAGGACAATTTGAAGCAATAATTTTACATTGCATTTTCTTGGCATAATAATAGTTTTCTGATGGATTTTTACTGGTCAGATGAAGTCAGACTTAGCTTTGAGAAGGACACAATTATTCAATAAACTCAGCAGGTTTTACCATTACTTTGTCTCCTGTTTTCTGCTGTTTTCCCCCTGTATTATCTGCCTTGCTCTTGTACATGAAAAAGGCTTAAATCCTTCGGATGGGGCGTGAAAAATAATTAAAGGTTCTTAACCTTCACTTCCATTTTCCTTTTCATTTTCTTAATTTTCCTTGATACATCTCTGTCTCTCACTTGTGTGTGTGTGTGTGTGTTTACTTTTTGCACAATTTTATGTTCATCTACATGTCAACCACCTCATTGTGATTTGTGTGCACATAATATAGGCCTAATAAAATCCTAATACTTTAACATGTTCTTGCATTATCATGAGTCAGGTTTTTTTTTTCACTTACAAAAATTATTAGCCATGGTTTTATTTGTTTTATTTATTTTATAGTCTGTAAGCTTTAAAAGTCTGGACAGCTTTGGAATTCAATTTGATGTGGCCTAGTTAAAATTGCTTGAACAACTTGTTTGTTTTTGTATTAAAAAAAAGCTAGTGGCTTTTTACTAAATTTATTTCGGGAGAAATGAAAAAAAGAAGAAGAATTAAACATCTAAGCATTCAACAAATAAGTGTCTATGTCTTTAAGATGACGCACTCCTCTCTTCTAGCCAATGAGAAGAGAGCTTCCGCGATTGGCTGCTGCCCGCTGACGGACGGTAGTTGCGTGTGTCTGCAGGCCTGAGCTGAGTGAGCGTCCACAGCACTGGTGGGAAAAGCAATGAATTCATTAGAACAAGCCGAAGGTACTTTTCAGTAGAATATCAGTTTAGTGCACTCAACTCTGAGTGTCATATTCATATATCAACAAAGCGTCCACGTGTTTGTTATGGCATGTTAGATGTATTGTGTTTAACAGTGGGCTGCTAGCATCTAAGCTAAGACTCTTAAGACATTTCAGCAGTTAACGTTACCACCGAGATAAACAAGAAGTGCAGATCTTCTGTCATAGTAAAGTATGGGTCTTAGACATTGTGTTGGCCTGTCATAACTCTACTATAACGTTACTAGACACTGACGTGTAATACTTGCCAATTAGTGTACATTTTCCACTAAATGTCAGTAAAATTGTAAGCCATAAAGCTGTCAGTGCATTTATATACCTGGTACAGTTGATTTTTCTGTACCTATAAACAATGTATTTAGTATATTCATACCAGTGTATTTGCCTGTCTGTATGTTTAGCTTTTGTTTATAATGCATTATTCAGACTCAGAGTGATGTTTGCAACTGCAGCATAGTGACTTAAAGGAGTGATTTGCCACTGGCAATATGTGGTTTTAATAATAATAATAAAAAAAAAACTTTCTATGCAGTGGAAAGGTAAAATGTTTTTAAAAGTGTTGTTATGAGTATAGAGATCTGTGTTGTTGAGTTTTGCCAGAAAGGTTCGTAAACTCCAACACCTATAATACTCTGGGCTCGATTCGACTGTCTGTGGGCGATAATGTATAAATAAGTAAGAAGGTATATGTGTTACGGAAGTAAGAAGTGTAGTTTTAACAATCCCTGGCGCTGTCAAAAAAATTCCCTTTAAAGCTGACTATATGTATACACAGTACACACTACTGCCAAACAAACTGTAAACTGTTTGGGTTTCTTCCTCAGTATTTTAAAAAGAGAGAGATTGTAAAATAGATTACCTCACTCTCTGTACTTTGCTGATATAATTGTTTTCCTCATCTGTAGACCTGAAGGCATTTGAGAGGAGACTGACAGAGTATGTGTCTTGTTTGCAGCCGGCTACAGGTCGTTGGCGCAGTAAGTCAGTCCAGCTTGTCTGGTGTAATCTTTACTGAATCTACCTCAAGCGTTTTAAAACCTGGACTGTGCTCTGAGCCACAAACTGTCCTCTGACTCTTATATCCACAAAGATTGAGCTTATTGTGCAATATATTGTCTCATTTTAATTCATAAATTCTGTCTTCTTTTTGCAGTGATTCTAATTGTGGTGTCTGTATGCACAGCCACAGGAGCGTGGAACTGGCTTATAGACCCAGACACTCAGAAAGTATGTGAAATTAAGAGATGTTACAAATGAGGTCAGATTTGGCATCTGGTGTGACATTCCCCTTGAATGCATTCTTATGTCATCTCTTTCCACAGGTTTCTTTCTTCTCATCTTTATGGAATCATCCGTTTTTCACTATCAGTTGTGTGACTCTCATTGGCCTTTTCTTTGCTGGAATACATAAACGGGTTGTGGCGCCATCTATGTATCCTTCTCAATGCTGGAAATTTGCAGTGATGTTCGGTGTGCTCAGCCATTCTATTGAGTATTAATAATCCCAAAACTTCAGATTGTCAGTGACTACCAGATCTCTCCTTAACCACTTGTTGCAGTATTGCAGCTCGCTGCCGGACAGTACTAGCAGAATATAACATGTCCTGTGATGATGTAAGTACTTGCGTCCTTTGAATTATTGCCCTATGTTATCTATCAATTTCACTGATTGGTTTGAAAATCCAAAGCAGCTTTTCTTGTGCAATAATTTGTATTTTTTCCCCCCTCGAATGCTAGACTGGGAAACTTATCCTGAAACCGCGGCCTCATATCCAATAGCACCTTGAAGAGACGGGAGTGGAGAGCATTTCATATCAACATTAATCATCAAGATTGCACATAGGCCTCAGTGCCAGGATATAATCCAAAGTGTGTGGGGGTCAATCTCCCAAATAGGACTTCTCTCTGCAATTTATGAAGAAGCAATGGGACCTCAAAAGGACACAGCCACTTTGAAGAAAAACATTGTTTCTGCTACTTTTAAATAACAATTGTTTTTCTGTTGTAAAATTTGAGTTTTATTTGATTGTGGATTTTGATATCCTCATTTGTAATGCCTTGGTCTTATTTTAGATGCATACGGTGTATGTATTTTTAAGTAAATTGCTGAACACATAATGAATATTAAAGTGTGGATATTTGTTCACCTTACGCTGACTTTTACATATATAATAGGAAACATTTATGAAATGTTTATCCCTATGACATGATGCGCTGCTTTTTGTTGTTTTACAACTACTTTTATGCAACTAAAGGCTGCACTAGTTTAACACAAAAGGGTCACAGGCTAATGTGTCATGGTTGGCTGAGATTTTATTTACTTTTACTCCAGAGTTAAAATCTATAAGATTATGTGTTGGCAATAATAAAGGTTGTTTGTAATACAGTGTTTTTTTGCTATTTGTTATTATTAATGTCACTGAACTAGTTAACACGAAAACCAACGTCTGTAAATTGACAAAGCTTATTAAGCTTAGTGGTTCGAAATATGAGTAAATTATTTATTTCACACGGTCATCATCACTTCTTCCTAACATCATGCATGGAATAGGTTATAATTACAAAGTTTTGCAATTACATAATTTAAAGCGTTTTACATTGTAATAGAGTTTTAATTGTAATTTATTTTTTCCAGTTCTGTTTGTTGCAGCCATAATACACTTGAGTACATATATAAAACGGTTTATTTATAACTTCTGTATAATTTGTGGTTACATTGAAACATACAACGTTTTAAAAAGTGTTATTTCGCACCATCTGTCGATCATTTCAATACTTTAATAAAATACTCTACCATCATGAATCGTTTATGTTGGTGAGTTGACTCGAGAACCGCTCGGACCGATTCATGAATGATCAGTGGAATGATCCGAGTCAAAATAACGATTGGTTTATGAAGAGCTCACGCGGCCACCGTACTTATTGTAAACATGGCGTCCGATGAAGATAGCGATGAGGATTTCGTGTCTTACGGAACTCCTTTAGAGCCTCTGGAAGAAGGTACTAACGTTACATGTACACTATAGTTGTTATTTGTTTGAATGTGCAGGTTTGTGATGTATAAAAGCTGTGAATATTTAATGAAAACCGCTTGCGCAGAAATTTTACACGTCCCTAGTTATGAATTCAACGTTGTTCTTATATGTGTATTTCAGATGAACCCAGCAGAAAGCCAGTCCCCGTGCACGAGCAGACGGTTAAAGATGAGAAGGGCCGCTACAAGAGATTTCACGGAGCTTTTACTGGTGGCTTCTCCGCTGGTTACTTTAACACAGTGGGCACCAAAGAAGGTAAATGCCAACCTTGCTCAGTGCAGCAATGCTTTGTGTTAACCGGGTCATGTAGTTTAACTAATCTCCTTTGTCCTTTAGGCTGGGCACCATCAACATTTATATCAACTCGACAGCAAAAGGCAGAGAGACAGAATGCTAGACCAGAGGACTTTATGGATGAGGAGGTTAGTGTATATGAATCATTGGTTCTCACACATCTACACTACTGTGTCTTGATACTTGTAAAGTCCTTGGGGAGTTATTTTTTTTCTAATACATAAAATGTTTTATAAAAGGATTTTGGTGAGCATGGTATTGCCCCAAGAGACATTGTCACTACAGATGATTTTGCATCGGAGAGGAAGGATCAGTTAAAAGACAAAGCACGAGCCGTCAGTTCTATTGCTGCTCTGATACCTGGAGACACTGGACTGCTGGAAGAGCTTATCGCCCCTGCACGGTAAGCATCACTCTATCTGATATGTGATAACTATAATGTATCTGATAATATGTGATAACTATAATGTAACTGAAAGCTAAACTTAATACATGGCATTGTGTGATTGCTAGGTCTTCTATTGGTGTGGAGCTGCTGAGAAAAATGGGCTGGAAAGATGGCCAGGGAGTCGGACCAAGACTGAAGAGAAAGCAACCCAAGCAAAAGATTGGTAATGAGAGAAGATATCACAGATATTTTGTTTTAGCTGAAGTGCCATTTTTAGGTTTTAGGTCTGGATAGGATGATATGATGTGCTGAGCACAATGCTTCATTTTGCTCTTTCTTGTCTTTCAGATGCGGTTAGAGTTTATGGCTGTGTTTTGCCGCCCAATGGATCTGAGGAGTCCGAGGTGGATATTGTTTAATGTTTGGGGTTCTGATCTGATTAATTTGAAATTTATAATGGCTGCATCCAAAATTGCATACTCTCAGCGTAGGTACTTCTTTCGAATAAGTACGTACTTTGCGGCCAGTAAAAAGAATGTTATAGTATGATTGTAGTCTGGAAGTACTACATTCATCATGTTGTCATAGTCATGTGACCTACCAAGATCAGTTACTTTGCTTCACTGCTATTCACTAATCTCTCCAGTGGATTGTAAAGTGTCCATCAGATGTGCCCCTCAGTCATCCGGGTGCTTTTTGCCTACTGTTTTATGAATACTGTGAATTCAGACGTACTACTCGTTTCACATATCAGTATGCATATTCATATGCAGCCTATGTGATTACTCTGTGAAGAATGGACCGATATTAGTCATATTGAAAAACTTTATTTTTGTTCAGGAGGATGATGATGAATTTGCTCCAGAGAATGTGACATTTGCCCCCAAAGATGTGATCCCAGTGGACTTCAACCCTAAAGTGGACACCCATGGTCTGGGTTACCGAGGGCTGAACCCTCTACAGGCCTTGGAGGGCGGATCAGGATCAGGACATATAAACCTCTTCACGCTTCACTCTGATAGAGCAACCAGCTTATTTGGAGACAAAAGAAAGTCTGGACAGCAACGCAGGGGTGGGATTGGAGGACAGGTAATGCCAACGTGCTGATCGGTAATGGCCTAGAAAACTAAATTTGCTACTAAAACTAAAACACTCCCATTAGAAGAAACATGCTGACATCAGTGTACATGTGAGTAGGCTTTTGGAGTTGGCGCAATGGAGGAGGAAGATACCGATATTTATCATAAGGACTCCATGTCCAACTATGATGCTGTCCTGGGAGGAGAAGAGCCAGGGGATGGGCTCTATGGATGGACTGCTCCCCAGCAGTATACCAGGAAGAAGAACGGTTGGTGACATGAAGTCTTTGGCTGTGTCCTCATAATGTCATGATGCATTTATGCTGCATTAGGATGTCAGAACTGGGTGCTATTTGAGTGTCTTTTGTAATGTGACCATACTGTTTCACGTGAAATTGTCGGCTTAACAAGAAAGATGGCTCCGCTATGACAAATGTATATGTTTTGTTCCAGATTCAAAAAGAGACGTGGCGTATTCGGGCAGGATTCTGGAGGGGTTTACATTGGCCTCCCAAGCCGCCGAAATTAAAACTGTAATGTATAGCACTAGGCAGTTACTTTATTTGGTGTGAAAAAGTGGTGCCTTTAAATTAGGCTCACTGGTATTGGTTTTGGTTCTAGGTCTATCCTCCCCCTGATCTGCCCCGTGATTATCGGCCTGTACATTACTTTCGTCCTGTGGTTGATCCATCCTCCGTCAGTCCTATTCTTGCCCAGGCACTGCAGGCTTCACGTGGACACCTATCCCAGGATGCACCACAGCAGAGTCGCCACAATTTAGACTCTGGTCAGAGACGTGACATGCTGGGAGAAACGCCTCTAGAGGGTAAAGATGTCTCTGTGTATGTGTTGTGGTTGTTTTAAGAGTGATTTGAATTGTAGATTTGTGATTGCAGGTACATTCAGATCAGAGCTGTCACATTTTCATTACACAATTAAACAAAAACAATTCACAATAATGATATGATTATGTACATATTAAATTATGCTTTCAGGCAAATTTATCTTTAAATTTATTTTTTCTCTTTTTTGGCCAAAGAATCACTCAATCTGAGTGTAGGGAGGTGGAGAGAGAGTTTGGAAGCGTAATTGTACAAATACATACAAAAAAATAGCCTACTGTTAGTTTGTACTTCTTGCTTTCTTCTGTCATAATTTTGTGACTCTACACTGAAGAGTCACCTTTTTTTCCATTAAGGAGCAATACCACTACCTACTATGTGTCAACCAGATTCAATCCAGTTACTGTCACTGCCTGGATTAATAATTACAGTTTTATTGTTTGTGTATCTTTAATATCCTGTACGTCTCGGATCTCATAACATTCCTTGTAAGTCCAAAAACAACATTTTATTGAAACACATGACGTCATAGTGCAAAAAAAAAAAACGCACTGCAGATTAATGCCTACTTCTACATCATTGCCTCTTTAGCCCTAGCCCTGCCCATCAATTCACTCATGCTCCAGATCGTGTCAGTAAGACGCTTCGATTCTTCGCTTTATTTTACTGCAGATTAGTTTTTTAACAAGACAGTTTGACAGGCTTTTAAACAACAACAACAAAAAATAAAATAAAAATAAACGATGATACAGTGCTGACTAAATTTTGGATCCAAAAGTAATATCACTCACAATACACAAGTGTGAGTAACAGTGTTTTTACCATTCCTTTGTCTGTTACAGATTATTTGATATGTACTCCCTTTACTGAAAATGATTAACAATGAATATAATAATGACAATGCAACAAACAATGGTACATTATTCATTCATAATTCGTTTACATGAAACACCATAAGATCATCCTTTTTCAAATATAAATGTGATCATTTCAAGTAGTTAAATTTTATTTGCCACAACCAAGACTTACAAAAAATACGCATTTATAAAAAATACCTCACAAATAAACAGTCCCATTCTTAGTATTTGAGGTGTAGGTTTTTCAAACATGTATGGCGAACATCGTAAGTTTTCAAAAAAAATCCTCATGGTAAGGGTGGGGATGTTGAAAATTATTGTAAAATGTAAAACTGTTATGTGCATAAACATGATAGAAAAGCTTGCTAATTTAAAAGTGGACCTCAAAGAACATTGTAAGATTTTTTTTAAAATGCTGTTTATTACTCCTTTATAATACAATTTATAACCCAAACATTTGTTTATGTTCTATAGGTCCTAGTTCTGTGTTTGAGTTGCTTGACAGCAAAGACAGAGAGCGTCTGAATGAGTTCCGCAGAGCGGCTGAGGGGCGGAATAAGCCAGCGGGAAACCTTTCCTCAGCTGCGGATCGAGCTGCTGTGGTGGCTTCGGCTAAAGCCGCTGCTCTGCAGGCCCTGTCCAGCCGCTTCAAGTCAAACGCCCCACAGCCTGATTCCCACACTCAAAGCATGACCTCTCCAATCCAACCTCAGGCAGTCTCTGAGACCCAGATGGCTTTGACTGCCTGGTCTGGTCCCACTGCAGATGCTAGCAAAACCTTTAAACCATTTTCAAACAATCCTCAGAAGCAGGCCCGCTACGATCTGTACATCAACAAACTCAAACAGGGCAATAAAGGTGAATTGTAACATTTTATGTTTGGTCTGATTTGTCCTGGATTTTCCTAATCTATGTTTAGCTAAATAGCTGATTTCCGCACTATTTGTAGATGCCCTGGACTCGAGTCTGGACACCTCCATGACGGAGTGGGAGAGAGGGAGAGAAAGGGACGAATTTGTACGTGCTGCTTTACTCTATAAGCCCAGCAACTCTTCTCTCTCCTCGCGCTTCACACGAAGCAAACAAGAGGATGACACAGACAAGGTTGAGGTCACACGGGATCAAGAGGTTAGGAGCTTTACTTTTCAAGTTCATTTGGTTAAAATGGAACTAAAAAGGTGCATATATTTCCAGTATTGTCCACTGTTAAGCAACTTGATTTTATTATAATGGTACTTTTATTTTCTCTCTCATTAGAATGATGTGGATGACAAGCAGGCTGCCGTGAATATGAAGATGTTTGGAAAACTGACTAGAGAAACATTTGAGTGGCACCCTGATAAACTATTGTGTAAAAGATTTAATGTTCCAAACCCTTATCCAGGGTAAGACGCAGACTTGTGGATTAAATCAGATGCTTTATCTGAAGACATTCCTTAACTATTGGAGTAAATTCAATGACAAAGGTCTTTAATATTTAAAAAAAAACTGTTGGATTGCTCTAATTGGGGGAAATAAAAAAATGAAATCAAAAAATTACTGTTAATGCCATGTCTTTTTTTTTTTTCTTTTTTATTAGTGCAATTCAACCTTTTTTTATGGAAGGTATTTTCCACCAACCTGTAAATTTAGTAACAAATGTAACTAAAATGATCACATTTAAGATTTTATTATTATTATTATTGATTTAGCATTAGGAAAGGTTTGTAACAAATTTCTCTTTCATTTATCTTTTGTCTGTTTTGCAGGTCTAGTATAGTGGGAATGCCTAAAATAAAGAGAGATAAGTACTCGGTCTTTAACTTCCTGACCATAACTGACAGCAGGGAGGCTCCGAGTGCTCCCAAAACTCCCAGCTCCAGCACAACCCTACCCTGTTTGACTCCAGAAGTCTCAAATAAGAGATCCAGGTGGGATGTACCAGGGCAGGTATCTGAAAATAAAGACCCACTCAGTGCATTCCTCAGTGAAACTCGTAGTGAGGTTTCAGCAGCCCAGCAAAATGAAGCTGGGGTCAAGACCCAGACAGAATCTCCACATGCTTCTGTCACTCCAGAGGTATTCTTCACCCCTCAAGAATAAATTCATAAAGATTTCATCTTACTTGAAGCTAAAGTATTTTTTAATTAGTACTACAGCAAAACCTCAATGTAATGATCACATTTCTGTGCACAGTCCGATGGGCGGCAGATTGAACAAAAGACTGAAGAGGAGGAGAAGGAAGAGGATGAAGAAGAGGTAAGGCCTCCAATGGATCTCTTTAAAGCCATCTTTGCCAGCTCGTCAGATGAGAAGAGCTCATCGTCATCTGAAGATTGTAGCGAGGAAGAGGATGAGGTGGCTCTTCCAACATCTGAACCAATCCAAAGCAGTGCAGGGACAGTGGACCCTCGTATCTCTGCTCCGATGACTCCTATTCCCGACATCAGCAATGTGACAGGTATGCTTTATGTGAAATTTTCCATAAAAACCTTTTTTCAGACACCAGAACCTTGATTCAGATGTCATAATCATTTATTGACTTTATTTGTCTCTCCCCCTCAGATTTGAAGCATCTTACAGTCCAGAGCATGCCATCTGCTGAAACTGCAGCACAAGATACTCAGTCCTCCAATAATGCTTCTGCTAAATCACAAGGCCTGGATGAAGAGGAGTTTGGCCCCAGACTGCCACCCCCTGGTCAGTCACTGTAACCACCACCCTCAATTTATCATGTAAACACTGTGTGACTACGCATTGAAGCAATAATACTTACTTATTTAATTAAATAATTATATAAAATAAAGCTTAATCTCACAAGACATAGTTTCTTTACAAGAATATATATATTATCTGATACTTATATGTGATATGTGGTAATATACAGGTGCAGGAATTTTAGCTTTATTACTTTTTCTCTTTCATCCAAATTTTTTTTACTAGCCTGGCTGCCTTTAATATTAACATCAAGTTTTACATTGTTCCTCTCTTCATCAGGGCTTGTGCCACCTGCATGGTCTCCGCAGCTGAAGAAACAGAAGAAAAAAGAGAAGGAGAAACACAGAGCCAAGAAACACAAGAAAGAGAAAAAGGTAGTTGTTCCAGGAATAGATTTATTCAGTTTGAATGCCAGACTTCTTTGCAAAACTATAAGTGACATTGTCTCTCTTATCTTTTCTCAGAAGAAAAAGAACAAGAAACATAAGCATAAAGGGAAACGGAAGAAGAGGGTGGAGGAGTCCAATAGCAGCTCAGACGACACTGACTCCAACAGTGAAGATGAAAATAGAGTTGTGTCTACTAGTGAACTGCTTCAGAGGTCAGAGCTCATATTTCCAATCATATAGGATTTTATAATGCATCTTTTGTGTATTAATGTATCTTTGTATACATTCTTTTTTTATTTAATTGCTTGAAAGATGATTTTCTCTCTCTCTCTCTCTCTCTGGCTTAGGTTAAAAAACATCAAGAACAAGAGATAGAAGAATTGAGAGTGAGGAAGTTGTCTTACGGAAACGCCAAGATAGTGTGTGTGTGTGTGTGGGTGCATTTATTTACATAATTGTACATAATGTTATGATTGCTGGTATTTTTAATAAAATAAATATTTTAGAAAACGTAATTATTTTAATGAAATGTCAACAAACACAATGTGATCATCAAACTACATTAACCTTGTTATGTAACAGTAATTTTACCACATTCTGTTAAGATTCATGTGACTATATGAATCAACCAAAGGAGGAAAGCTCATATAGGAAGAATCAGGTGAATCTTAAAACCTGCAATCAACTGTAGAGCAGATGTTTACATGAAGTGTTTTGTGCCTTTAACTTTAAGAATTGTTCTAATCTTTTTTTCCCCCACTGTTAAACATCCATTTATGAGTGCTTGTGACGGCAGGTTTTTTTTTCTGTCACATTTGCTTGTTTACTCATAAGAGTCCCTTTTACCTTGTAAATAAAAATGCTAGTCTGCTGTACATTTAATTAGTTTAATATTTTTTGTAGGCTAATTTGTTCTTTTAGTTATTTTAACTAGGGATTTTGACTAAATGTTGGTTTGTCTGTTTCGCCCAACTGAAATCATAATTTCAATGTTAGATAAATCAGTTTATATTTTATTTATAGAAAACCATTATTGGTCAGTGAGCAAAACATATTGTCAATGACTATGCAACTGAAATTCTTCAAACCAATTTCAAATCAGGAATGCCCAGCTGTTTGCAATAACTTTCAGCTATTTGAAATGAACAAATCAAACAAAAGTAATTGAAATAGCTCAATACAACTAATGTTTCAAGTGGTTTCCCGATTTCAACTGAAAATGCAACTTTTAATGACTTCTGAAGTCTCAAAAGTATTCAACCCCTTCATATGGCAAGCATCTTTAGTACTCTTGCTGCGTTTCTACCTAAGCTACCTGAAACAATTTGTCCCAGTATTTATTGACTGATAAGCTTAGCTGTTTCCTCCGGCAGCAAAACGTGCCTGAACTGAAGCAACACTGTAGAAAACGATCATGATGCGATTAGAGATGTTTTAAATTGTCCTATATTTGTTATAATAAAGCAAAACAGCTGAAAAGAAAATGGTGTGGAAAAAGTGGTCATCTGGTGTCATCTACTGGTTAGTGGTGGTAGTTTCTTGTCATTTTCATGTTTACGTTGTAAAACCCATGTGTAAAACTTTTGGTGTCACTTTGAAAATTGATAGATTTGTTGTTTTTTAATAAATAGAAAAATAAAAAAGGAATGATCAATAGATTCAACATTGCCAACCTAGACAAGATAAATCTAGACTTAAATAACTTTATAGCACGTTAGTTAACTTTAATGATTTGAAATGACATTAGTATTCAGGGATTGATTTGTTAGGTGGCGTACTAGCCGTAGACCAAATTGTTCATGCTTACCTTACTACAGCAAAATATTAAATATCACTCCCTCACTGGGGTTTGAAGCCCATAATGTGGAAATCCCAGAAATGCCGCTGCATGCATACTCGCACGCTGAATATCAATAATTCATTTATATAATTTATAGACACCCAGTATGTCTATATCGCAGTATAGATACCTTGAGTAGCAACCAATCACATAGCGGCGCCGTGGCTTAGTTGGTTAAAGCGCCTGTCTAGTAAACAGGAGATCCTGGGTTCGAATCCCAGCGGTGCCTTTTGTACAGTGCAGGCATAACGCTACATTCAGGTACAAAACACTGTACAAAACAACAATATATTCTATATAACAAAACATTTAAAATAGACTAATGAAACTGTAAATATATGCCAAAACATTCAAGTCGTATGTACGTTTCTGAAGCAGAGCCAAATCCTTTGTATTTTGAAACCAATCTGTGCAGAAATATTTAAAATGCCTCTTAAATGATGTGGTATTGTTCGGCAGCATGTAAATAATAAAATGGTGCGCACGCCATGCTTTGCAACGATGCATCCCTCCGTCCAGGAGAGTGCAGGCTTTCACTGCCACAGACCACAGCTGGCGAGTGAGTCTCCCCCAGAAAAACCATGAAAACAAACCAAGGCAAATTTCAGGAAAAATGTCAGTGTACATGATTAGCCTAATTACAGCAGAATGTCTTACAAGAGTGCCCTCAGTCGATTCTTAAGACGTTAACGTTTCATTTCAGTTAAACATTTTGCCGTTTAGCGTTAGATCTCCAGCATTTTATCTTGGTGTTGTAATATTGATCTCAGACAGTGTTGTTTCGCATGAGATGCGCTCGGTAACGTTAGTCTGTGACGGACAAGAGTCCACTGAGCTGCATTGCCGCGATTACTTCACCCTGCATCAGGGCTTGTTATTACAGGGGCTAATTGACAATGTGGCACAAAGTACCACTATAGAAGTAGTGAACCGATATTACTCCTGCATATATGATGCAAAGATAAGATAGTGATAAATAAACGTCAAAGATTTAATGTTCGCCTCAAGAATCAGTGTGTGTCCTATCCTATGTGGTCCCCACTGAACCTCCAATCCCGTCTCTCCCCTGAAGGTCTCTGCCGTTCCCTCCATACAGCGCAAGAGGTTTCGCTCGAAAACAGGGAGAAACGCCGCTTTTGATGCTCGCGCAAGAAGTTAAATCGACAGTAAGCGTGAAACCGACATGAGATACGTGGTAAAATATATATATATGGATTTGGATTATATCAGGAAATGACTTGAGCTGTGAACAACAAGAAGATGACGGTGGTGATGATTGAGAGAATAGGTTCGATTCGGCTGTACCTTATGAAATGGATTTGTCTGCGTTGGGCTTGGGTCTGTGTGGGTAAGTGGACTTTTTAGGGATTGTGATCTTGTCACATATCATTGTTATATTGTATAGAACAAAAGAGTGCGGTGTGCGGTATATTTACATCAGAAGGTCTAATTACTTTTGATTACATTTGACCTTTTTCACCTACGTGTCGGAATGGTATTAAATATTATTTTACTCAAGACCTGACGCAGGTGATTTATAGGTTGAAGTATGGGAATGGCACCTATGATGACAAAGAAAGGTTAAGCGGCGCGCGCAGGTGTTGCAGCATTCATAGAGGGAAAATCCAAGAGGACAGATCAGCGTTTGGCTTGTTGCCATGACAGTTATAAACACGGCGGCATTAGTCTGATATATTCGAAGACCGACTGGCAGATTGTGAATTGTTTTGACAAATGTGTGTTATTGTGCTGTCTTTCGTGGATAAAAGTCAAATTAAGTTGTTTACGTGCAGTTCCACACACCTTATTGTTATTGACTCAAACATATCGGTTACCACGTAATTGAAAAAACAGTTTCAACTCTTTTAAAATGCAGTCTGGTCTGTTTGTTAGGTTTAAATGGGGTTTGGGACACTTTTCATAAGGTCAAACTGAGAGACCATTTAAACCTGCTGCGCACCAGCATCTCCCAGGCCAGCACCTAAGTCCAACAAACCACCAAACCGGCTGGCTTGTAGAGAAAAATATATATTTTCGAATACTATTATGATAATCTGATAACATAGTGATGACTAGTGCACAGTGACTTTTTCTACTTCATCAGCATTCTGAGCATCAGTTTTATGGGTGGTACATTCTTGTGTCCACAACTAGACTAAAGCTAAGCAATCACAGTCTGCCAAGTATTGAGGATCTGATCTCACCCTCAATCTATTCCTAGACAGCACTTAGCTTGCTTAAAACACATGATCTGTTGATGTCAGCTAAATGCTCAACAAACAATCACAGCTAGAAGAGAGAGAATATGTGAGAAAGAGACATCTGCTTTTACCCTAGCAGATCTTCTCATATCAGAGACAGAAGCACAGAACGAGGACGAATGTCTGTTTGGTTTTTTTTTTTGGTTGGGTTTTTTTTTTTTCGGAGGTGGTGGTATCCAGTGAAGGGGTGGTGACAAAAGAGGGTTTGGTTGGGGGTGGGGGTGTGTTGATAGCACCAGTGACACCTAGAGCTCTTCATCTCACACACAGACAGACAAAGGGACTTTCTTCTCTCTTTCTTTATTATTCTCATCCATCACATAAACCGTTCTCTTTGACTTCAGATATTCCATGCCCAGGCATCTTTTTTCCTTCTAAATCTGTGTATCACTGATATTGACACATTTTCCTTTTAGAGGATGTTCTCTCTGGTAGATGAAGACAAAAAGGATGTTAATTTACTATTACAGTTTGCAATAGTTCTGAGAAAAAAAAGAAAGAAAAAACTGTAAAAATCACAAAAAAAAACAAAATATTCTCATTTATAGGCTATGTGTAGAGGTTATTTGCTTGAATGTCATTTTGGAGGAGAGAAACAAAGCAGAAAAGTCATTTTAAGCAGCCACAAGATGCAGAAAGAATATAGGTTAGACTGATCTGAGTTCAGGTTATGTGTGCTCTTTGTATCTGGGGATGTAAAAAGTATGTCAGTGAGGGGATCATGAGCCTTGAGACTCAACATCTAAAAATACTCAGAAATGATTTGTGCTTACATTGCAGGGATTCCCCTGATCTCTTTCCTGTTCTCTCACACAAATAACAGTGTTAGCTTCTGGGCATTCAACCGCACCTAGACATCATCATATTATGTAGAGTAGAAACTGACGTTGGGTGTGTATGAGAGATGGCCGTTTACCCTGCAGGGTAATGAACAAGTGTTGGGGATGTGATGATGATAGAGTTATATATCACGACATGTGTTGCCGTTTATATACAGGGATCTTACTGCACACCAAAGGAGGAAATATAAGGCAATTTTAATTTTGTGATTTCTATTACTGATAAGAGTCATGAAACATTATTGAGCAATTTTGTTGTTTTTATGTTCAGCCCTAAATAAATGAGTATTATTAATAATCATTTATATTTAAATATATTGGATACAATTTTATAAAAAAAAAAGTAATGAAAAATTACTAAGAATTCAAGTTTTTTTTTTTGTTTTTTTTTTACTATTACTACTGCTAATAAATTAAATGCAAACTTCTCATTTCACACTTTTTGTTTCTTCCTGGTCTAGTTGTGTTTCTGTCCGAATGGGTAATCATGAGCACACACTCGCATACTTCCACGCTAAATTGAGTATTTTGTGTCTCTCTGATCCTCCTTGAGTGAGTGGATCAAATTCAATTTATAAATCATATATAAAGGTACCTACCATGCACTCAGGAATCCATAAAGGCTGATGTGATGTGTTGATGCCATCTCAATCACAGCGTGACAGCTGTGGTCACACACAAACAATGCCCATGTCTTCTGTGTGTGTTCCTCAGCTGCCTGTGGCGGTAAGGTGGAGTTACACACTGAGAGGAGAGGAGTGATCTATAGCCCATCATGGCCCCTCAACTACCCGGCCGGAGTGAATTGCAGCTGGAATATACAGGGAAGCCGTGGAGATGTGATCACAATAAGGTAGACGCACACAAGCAGACTCTCGCTGTGGTGATTATATGAGCAGTGTCTTGTTCATTCCTATTAACATGATACATTACAAGATTATAGTGCCTGTTCAGCAGCTGTCCTGTCCATGGGATCTTGATATTGGAAATGTTTTGCGAACTAGCATTCCCACTCTCTGCAAGAAATTCTATTGTTCATTAACAACAAATTGTCATGACAAGGTTGTTGGGGCCCTTTAACAGCTTTTACTAGTCAATTGAATGTATGATATTTTCCAGACCAAAAACAATGTAAGGTTTCTTTCGAACTAATTAACTGTTTTGTGCTTTTTAATGTTTATAAGCTTGTTTGCAAGTGCGCAGCATGTATTCTGTGAGTGATCTGCGCAGTCTTTCGTTTGAAAGTGCCTACTGCTGTATTGCTTGAGCTGACTCCAGGGATTTTATAATGCACTTTTTCTCGCCTCTCGTACCACTGCTGTGTGTGCGTGTTTGGGCTTTGAGTCTACTTTAATGTAATGATTTAAAGCATGACGTCATCCCCCAATTCTCCTCAGAGATCTGTTCTTGGAGGAAACCCTTAGGTGGAAAAGGATAATAGTTCTGATAATTTCCTTTAATCCATTCTAGTAGAGGTGTATGCTATCAAACAGATTTCTCACATTGCCTCAGACAGATTAGCATATAGAAAATCTGAACCCATCACTTTTGTCTGTTGGCTGTTGACATTTTTCTCTAGTCCCAGTGTAAAAAATTGTTCATTTTCTTTCTTTTTTTAAGTATATAATAATTTATTCATATTTGAATGTACATTTTATGATTGCTGGAAAGGAAACTGATGGTAATTTTCAACTATTTCTGAGTCTATCAATAGTCATTGTTTCAATTTCGACACAGCCTCGCCTGTGTCAGCAAGACAAACATCAGCAGTTTTCACAACAATGGCTAATATATCACAGAAAAATAAAGTTTTAAGTTTGTGGGAGATAGAAACACTTGTTTATGATCACCAAATATATGACACTGACAACAAAACTCTCTGGCACACTGGCCCCAGGTCATCAGGTCCATCCTTATTGTTGAGTCCTGTCTGAAATATTCAGACTTGGAAAGTATTGGAGGATTTGGAGAGAGTGTGCAGGAGAAAGAGAGAAGAAAAATAACAGGGCAATAGATGTTTCTGTAAACATTGTCAAGTTTTTGTCTGCAAAAGGCCCGTTCTTCTTTAATGGTACTGGATGATGATTTTCTCTCAGTCTTGTGTGTGTGTGTGTGTGTTCTCTCTTTTGCTTATGATCTCTCACTCTTTGGTATCTCTGACAAATATTAGGGTGGTTTCAGTTAGGCGGAAAATTAATGCATGAGAATTACAATTTATTCAATTTCCAATTTTAAAAAAAATGTCTAATGTCTTATTCAATAAAACAAATGTGATGGGGACATGCTGCAAAGTAAGAATCCACTGCGAGACACCAATGTGTCCATGAGCAAGACACTTAACCCCTAGTTGCTTCAGAGGCCTCTGACATACATAGCAATTGTAATTCGCTTTGGATAAAAGCGTCAGCTAAATGTAAATGTAAACTCATTTATTGTGGCTCTCATACTTTTGATGATATTGTTCTAGAAGTGTTATTGTAAATTATTGTACATTTAAAGTGAGTGAAGCAGTAGAGATTCCATCGCATACATTAAGCACCATGTGTTCACTGTGTCCAGTTTTCACAGCTTTGACGTGGAGGACACGGGGGACTGCATGGGGGACTGGCTGCTGCTCGGCCCCACATGGAAAGCTGAGTATCGGTTCTGTGGCTCAGTTCTTCCTCCTCCCTTCATCTCCTCCAGAGGACGAGTCTGGGTCTATTTCCACTCTCAGGCCAACAGCTCGGGACAGGCACAGGGCTTCAGACTGTCTTATATACGAGGTGAGTGAGTTTAGAGTGTGCATATGTTCCATTAGAGCCCATTCAAAGAATAATTCACTCAAACATCTCATGATTTACTTTCTTATTTTGGTCCAAATCCATATAACTCTTTTGCTTCTATGAAACATAAACATAGCATGAAATGTTTATATATATATATATATATATATATGTGTGTGTGTGTGTGTGTGTGTGTGTATTTGGTGTGCTATACAATAAAAGTAGTTAATGCAACTCGTGCCCTATATTTCATGTTTTTAAAACTGTAATATTTTTATTTTCTATATTTCTTTCTACTGCCAGTCAACACAAATTTAATTTATTCTCATGCACATTCAAATCTGGTGTCATGTTATTGGTTATTATGTGTCTTGTGCATGTGTTATGAGTGTCTGCATTCAAAACTTCCCAAATGTCAACAGTTTCAGGTCGCTACAATTTTTTTTAATGCAACGGATCAAAAATAGAGTATAAACAAACCGTAATTTTGTGAAGTATTATTACAGTATAAATAATTAATTTATATTGTACTATATTTTAAAATGTAATTTATTCCTTTGATGGCAAAACTCTTTTTCAGCATTATTACTCAAGTCACATGATCCTTCAGAAATCATTCTAATATGCTGATAGAAGAAATGCTTAATATTTTTTTTTAAACTATGAAACTTTTTTCTTTTCCTTTGATGAATTGAATACAAGTTTTATTTGAAACCGAAATGTAATGTATTGTAAATGTAATGTAATGTAAAATGTGAGAGAATTTGTAATGTAACATACTGTCTTTACTGTTTTAATGCATCCTTGCAAAAAAAAAAAATCATTATTAAACAAACAAAAAATCTTACTGAACACTAATTTCTGTGCATTATTCCACTGCAAACAAATGTTAAAAAAATGTGTGTGTGTGAACTATTACTTTAAAATTGAAATCTTCAATCAGTGTTCAGAAAAATTGGTGATGCCATATTATCCTTTTGTGTTCTAGGGTTTAATACAAAATGATTTGGCATAGTTATATTATACTTTATTCATTTTCTGTGGAGTTTGAAATATTTCATCAGATTTAGTTCTGTTCCTGCATTAGAAAGCAGTTAAATCACGAAGACTCTTTCCACAGCATATAGATTTACTGTAGGCACAGATTGACCAGGCAAATGCAGGCTTAGCAGATCAATAGAATATGGCCATAGAGCCGTGATGAAACGCTAATGTTACATAATGTACTATGAAAATTGATGTGCATATTTGGATAGCACTACTTTCAGTGTGTTTTAGATAGATCTCCACTGTTTATTAGATCTAATATGTAGCTAGTGAAGATGAAGGAGATAATGGGCTGTCATTACTCAACTCCACAGGGTATGTGTGCATGTCATTGAGTGTGTGAGTGTGTGTGTGCGGGGGGGGATGCTGTGTTTGTGTTTAGAGGTGCAGTTCAATCAATAATGCTGAACGGTTGTGTTTGTTAAGCTGTCACCAGGCAAACACCATCTGCAGAGTGGGTAGATTTGATTATCTTTTTTCAACAGTGTCACTGTTTACGTGTGCAAATGACTCAAATCTCTTCTTCTCTTTTGTCTTTTTTTTTTCCTCTCGTTAGGTCGACTGGGTCAGAGTAGTTGTGAGAACGATGAATATTTATGTGGAAATGGTAAGTGCATTCCACGTTCCTGGCACTGTAATGGATTGGATGAGTGCGGAGACAATACAGATGAAAGGATCTGTGCCGCCCCACCCACATCCGCCCGGGTGAGTCTGTGTCCGCCAGGCACCTTGCAGTGCTCTGATATCCAATCTACCCGCTGTCTGCCGGTGTCTCTGCGCTGTAACGGAGCCCGGGACTGCCCTGACGGATCTGACGAATCCCACTGCCCCGACACTTCCTGTGGAAAACGCTTAGTCAACTTCTACGGGACGTTTGCCTCACCTGATTTTTTCCGTCCAAACAGGAGCAGCGGCACAGATCTTCACTGCACGTGGTTCCTGGACACACAAGTATGATGAGAATCTCAGTCATTCTTATTTTGAGTTGCTTTTCTGCAAAATTTGTGACATTTTATGACATTGAATGATTGCAATTATGAAGTTTCATTTACTGTTTTTATTTGTGTACATGGGTAACTTAAAGTTGTTAAAATCTTATGCTTTTTAAGATCATTTTACATTTAAGGGAAATTACCATAGGCATTGTTTCAAAACAATGTTGCTACCCAAACAACATGTAGTTCTATTTCTAAAATCATACTTTTCTTCTGAGTTCAAGAAATATTCTGTATGTAAGAAAAATTCTCCCAGTCACTGTTTTTGCCAGTCTGGAATCAAATCACTTACTGTTTTTGCTTCAGGACCCAAAGCCGCTGGTGCTGCAGGTGGACCTACAGCTGGGTGTGGGAGACTCTGTGCGTGTTTACGATGGTTTGGGAGAGCGTGCAGAACGCCTTCTGCAGAGTCTCTCTCACCATAATAACCACAGACGAGCTCTGCTTGAATCCTCCCAGGGACAGATGAGCGTCTTCTACCACGCTAAACCACACAGTCCTGGACATGGATTCAATGCCACCTACCAGGTCTCTTATTCCCTGTGATGCTAATGATCATTTGTATGCTTCCTGCTGATGAATTATGCTCTCCATTTTTCATTGACATTTTCTGTGTTGTTGGAATAATTTGCATCAGTGCAGTGTAGAATTGTCTGGTCTTTCTGTATTGTCTTAGCCTCATACCACAGTCCATTCACTTACAGCACACAAATTCACAAAATGTCCTCCATCTGACAAGCTCTAATCTTATTGTTGTTTGGCTAAATGCAACTTCTGGGTGTAAGGGCACAGATATTTTTTAATCACTCCACCTAGAAACAAAGTCGTTTTTACAGTGGTTGATAGAACAAGTGCCTTTTAGGATGAAATAATCTCTAATATTGTCCAAGTTTATCTAATGGCAACAAGTCTTTGAATGATGTGTTGTGAACTTTTTCTTCTAAAGTGTTTGAAAACTCAGAAGCGAAGTCCAGGAGACTCTTTTAAGCAGGATTCTTTATTGCTGTTGCATTGCTGTAGTCTGCTTCATCCAAAAATCTTAGCCAAGTCTGACTAAACTAAAATACAGACTGTTTGTATACCTTACAAGGGGGAGGAGTTACATAAAGGCGGAGACACGCTGAAACAAAGCATGTTAATGAAGCACAGGATTCAGCTCGTTACCGGAAATTCCCCAGCCCTGATCTCATCAGCTTAATTGCGGGGAGTGACATCGAGGGGGAGACACTCTGAAACAAAGAATGTAAATGAAGTATACAGGTTTAGGAACCTGCTCCCTACTGCGTTTTCGTTTAAAAACGGAGACCTTTTGCTACGTTTGCACCTCCCGTCCAGACTAAAACGGGAAAAACGAAGACCTAAAACGGAGAAGTTTAGAAACGCTGCAGCTCCGTTTTGCGTTTTGAATCTCCGGAGGGCGTTTTAGTGTGGACGAGACAAAACGTAGGACTTCAGAAACGCTGACGCAGGGGCTGACGCTTGGCTCCATGATTGGGTGTTATCAGTCATGACGTATCCTTCCCTGATTCGTCAATCACTGTTTACACCGACACGCGCATGCCCAGTGTTGGTGAATGGTCACGTGATCCGCGTTTCCAGTCGTTTTAATGTGGACGGAGATCATTTCTAATACGCAGATAAAACGCTGGTGTGGACGGAGATCGTATTCGTTTTAATTGTCTGTTTTTAACGAAAACGCAGTAGTGTGGAAGTGGCCTTAGCCTGAGAGTGAGACCAGTCCTAATCCAGTCAGCATAACTATTCAAACCCAGAGCCATTAAAGACAAAGAGTCTCAATAATCTGACCAGGACTGGCAGAATCTCTTGCTTATTTATACATCAAATGCTAAATTCAGTCTACTAGACTCAGTTAAAATACTATTGGAACCTATAACATTTAAATAAATGTGTAATCCTACAGCTATTTAGCGTTTGAGGCACAGAAGTTATTATTGTATTTCAGCAAGGAGTCAAGTAAAGACACTGACAATGTTACAAAAAATTTTGATTTCAAAATATTGTAAAAAAAAAAAGTCAAGGCAAACATACGTATGTAGTAGTATAAAAAACTTGAAGTTGGAATTAGTTTATGTTTTAAGTAGTTATAAAAGCTTGATGTTTGAAACAGTTTTAAGTTTGTTCTTTTGAACTTTATTTATCAAAAATCCTGTAAAATTATATTCTGATTTCCTCAAAGATTTTAAGCAGCACAACTGTTTAACTGTAGAGCAGCAAATCAGCATATTAGAATGATTTCTGAAGGCTCATGTGACACTAAAAACTAGAGTTAATGACTGCCTAAAACCATCACATGAATACATTTTGTAGTATATTAAAACAGTCATTTTAAATTGTAAAATTTTAAAATATTTATGTTTTGATCTAATGAATGCAGGCTTGGTCAGCATAAGAGACTTCTTTCAAAAACATTTTTTAAAAAGTCTATCAACCCCAAATATAATCAGTTGAAAATATGTTTTTAAAATAGGAAAATGTATTTTAAGTGGTTGGGTGAAATTTGGCAGGGAATTCAAGGTTTAAAAAAACTCCACAAGTAACCTGCAGTTAAATGTTTTAACCACAAATGGTGATAGAGAGGCCAACGTTCCACAATGCAGCTTTAACTAGATATCCATTAGCAAAACTGTTAAATAATTTGAGTTGTATTACAGTTTATGACACTGTGACACTTATGGTGTTTAACCTCCACCCCTCTCTCTGCAGGTTAAGGGATACTGCTTTCCAGGTGAGCATCCATGTGGCACAGACGAGGGCTGTTACTCTGAGCTGCAGCGCTGTGATGGCTACTGGCATTGTCCTGGGGGACGAGATGAGGAGGACTGCCCCTTGTGCCAGCCAGGAGACTATCCCTGCGCGGGTGGCAGTGGGGCTTGTTACTCGGCTTCTGAGAGGTGTAACAACCAGAAGAAATGCCCCGACGGCTCGGATGAGAAAAACTGTTTTGACTGCCAGCCTGGAAACTTCCACTGCGGAACCAACTTGTGCATCTTCGAGACGTGGCGGTGCGACGGGCAAGAGGACTGTCTCGACGGCAGTGATGAGAGAGACTGTCTGGCGTCCGTGCCCAGGAAGGTCATTACAGCAGCTCTGATTGGCAGCTTGGTCTGCGGGCTGCTGCTGGTCATTGCACTGGGTTGTGCCTTTAAACTCTATTCGCTCAGGACAAGAGAGTACAGGTGAGGTCGTTTCCATCTGTTTCCTGTATGCATTTAAACATATAGCCAAATAAGTCAGGAAATGCACGGTGATTCCTAGATTCTTTTTTTTTATCTGTATTTTTTGTCAAGATCTATCTATTTGATAATCAAAATTAAGCAATTTTCTTTTTTCTGAGTGGATTCAGTTTTTGCTTGAATATTTAAATATATGTTTTTGAAAGAACTCATTTAGGCTGCATTTATTTGATTACAATACAGTAATATTGTGTTGTATTATTACAATTCAAAATATTTTTATTTTAAAATGTAATTTATTAATGTAATGGCAAAACTGAATTTTCAGCATCATTACTCCAGTCTTCAGTGTCACATGATCCTTCATAAATTAATATAATATGCTGATTTTCTGCTTGAGAAACATTTCTTATTATTATCAATGTTGAAAACAGTAGTGCTGCTTAATATTTAACCCTCTGGGGTTGTTCGTTTTAAAGTCACACTTGGGGTGTTTTGTTCATTTTTTTTACTCGTTTTTTATAATATTTTTTCTTTTCTTTTTTGGTGTTTTGAGTAAATTAAAAAAAAAAAATTATAATTAGTATTTATGAAATAATTATGACAAAATTTCCCCCCATTGAACATAATAGAAAAAATATTTTAAAAAATTCCATTCCATTCCAAAACACATGTATAATCTAAATTTTTTGGTGCGTTTGTGTTTAAAAGTGTGTTTGCGTGTGTGTGTGTGTGTGTGTCTGGATGTGTCTGTTTGGCACTCTTTATGTTTTATAGATTCACCCCTTCACTGTTGTGTGCTTTTTTTCAAGATAGTGGCTGATTTGTAGATTGTACGCACAAAAAAACTCAGTATTTTCACATTTTTGCCAATTTCCCATTCATTTTCCATGCGGGTCCATTTGGACTTATTAACCTCAAACTTTTGAATGGCTGTCTATATTAAAAAAAAACTGTCTTTTTGTAATGATGTTTAGAAATGAAAAAAAAAAACATTGGAAAACGTTAAGAACGTCAATCCTTAGCCTATTCCTTCTTTTCTTTTAAGTGGTGCTAAATGGATTCACACTGTAGTTCAGTTCATTTTGTCTGCTTAGACACACACAATTAGTGAGAAACAGAAATTCGTTTTTGCTGAAAGTTAGAAAAGTACAAGTTGGTCCCAATGAGAGAAAGAAATGAAGTGAAGTGAAGGATGACTCTCTTGTTGCACTTTAAACAAAATTGTATCTCCAGTAACAGCCCATTTGTTGCTTTGTGGGGTGATGTGCTGTGTTTCTCTAGTTAGCCTTGTAAAGACTCAGCAGCACCCAAAATACATGCACTTCATCAAACTGTCAGAGTACCGCTGGTTAACAGCGCCTGAAGATTCTAGAGAGATACCCTGCCTGCATGTGTTTAGTAGCTTCTCTTTTTAAAAAGTATTTGTATTTTCCTCTTTCTCATTAGAGCTTTTGAAACCCAGATGACCCGACTAGAGGCGGAGTTTGTTCAGAGGGAGGCTCCGCCCTCCTATGGTCAACTGATAGCTCAAGGTCTCATACCTCCTGTGGATGACTTTCCAGTCTACAACCCCACACAGGTGTGTGATTATGACATTTGAATTGAAGTAATATACAGGATTGCAATTCAAATTTGATTTTAAATTAGCTGAAATTAAAATAAATTTAAATAAGTGTCATTTTTAACCAGAAAAGAATGACAAAGTTTGAACAATGGCTAGACAATGTCTTCTCTGAAAGTTTAAAAAGATTTGCAGATTGATTATGATAGGAATATAAAATTGTGCATGGAACATTCCAGAACGACTGTTAATTTTCTAGAGGCAAACTCCATACTACTGTATATCATGAAACCACAGGAACACTGTGTTAAAAGCAGATAGTTACCATCCAAATTGGCTAAAAAACAATATACCCTTTGGCCAGTTTCAACATCTTAGACGGATTTGTGATACCGATAATGAATATGAAGTGCAAGCTATAGTCCTGTCCAACTGATTTTTAGAGAGGGGCTATCATGCAAAAACTGTACAAAATGCTTATAATTCCTAGATCAGAGCTATTTCAGAAGAAGACAAAACAATCCTGTTTACAGAATCAGGCCTATTTTGTGACAGAATATAGCTCTTTGGCCAATCCCATAAATAGGAGTGATCCTGTTCTAAGTGAAGTGTTTTTTGCTTCTCCAAAAATAAGTTTCAAGAGGGCTCCAACTTTACGGGATAGGCTAGTATCTAGTCATCTTCCTGCCATAAAACAGACTACTTGGCTTAACAGACAATTGAAAGGCACTTATAGATGTGGGTCTTGCAATCATTGTTCTAGTATTAAAGAATGCCAAGAATTCTGTAATTTCAAGACGGATAAAAGGGACAGCGTAAAGGCATTCATTAATTCCAACACCACTTTTGTGGTACATAGGCTATCATGCAAATGTGGATGCTTTTATGTAGGCCGGACCAAGAGATATCTCAAAAACATAGAATCGGAGCATAAGAATGCAATTAGAAAAGCTCTTTTAAATTACCCTATGGCAAAACATTTGTGCACAACAGTAATCCAGAAGGCCAAATGGTTGAGGCTTTAGAAACGATTAAAAAGAATATCGGGCTGGTGACCGATTAAAATTACTTTTACAGAGAGAAACTTTTTATATATACAAGTTACAGGCCGTAATATACCCTGGCTTGAATGAAGAAATAGATTTCAGTCCCTTTTTATGATATGATATATACTGTATATTGAATACAGTTTTAGACCTAAAATGAAAAAGCTTAATTTCTCAGAATGACTTTACCTGTTTGTCTGCATTGTAATTTAGTCAATTATACTTGTCAGTTAAATTTTGATTCCACAAAACCCACAAAGACACTGAGCAAACAAACATGGCAAACAATATGATAAAAATTACAAACAATTTCCATGTTTTTCCCAATAAATAACTTTTTATCTATTGTCTGATTCTTTCTCCATGATCACTTTTTGTTTCTGAGAAAATAGTTCTCAACTGAAAAGCCAATTGCCATTTTTTAACGGACTGCATATTTTTAGGTCTACAAATTTGCATTAAGCTTAAGATAAGGTGCGTTAGAAATTAGTTCCACTCACACAAGTGTATTTAAGAACATAAAACAAATGTCTTGAGCTGTGGTAAGCCTTATTTTTTAATTATTCAACGGCCTGTGGGCGAGTACGGGAGTTTGCATCAGGTGATTAATAAGGCGAACCATAGTAACTGTAGAGAGTCCAACTGAATGACTGACAGTTATTTGATAGAGTCTGTTCTTTATTTTCTGTCCTCTCCCAGGCATCTGTCCTCCAGAATCTACGTTCGGCTATGCGGAGGCAGATTCGCCGTCACTCCTCTCGCCGTTCCTCTTCACGGCGGCGTCTTGGTCGTCTGTGGAATCGCCTGTTCCATCGTGGCTCTCGGTTACGTGGTCAGATCCCTCTCCTCACGCCTCCGGGTCACACTCACACAAACGCACACCTCGATCTGAGCCTCTACAGCTACAACACAGCGGACGATGGCAGCGAGGAGTCGCGAGAGAGTGCGGTACAGACTCCGCCGTCCTGTTCGACGGTGGCGCTGGGGTTGGCACTGCAGGCTCACACTGAGGCCCTTTGCCTTCCTGACAGGGAGTCTCCGGCCTCTCCTCTCTCTCTGCCCTCGCCCAGCTCGCCCCGCTCCACCTCTGACACCCTGGAGGAGGAAGATGATGAAGATGACAGAAGTTCAGAGGGGATGAGAGCGAGATCCAAACGGGGCATTTCCCCAAAACATAAAGATGCCGATAGTCCCCCTGGACCCCCCGACAGCCCCAAGCGCAGAACGAGCCGGTCGAGATCCTCCAGACGGCTGGTGCAGGAACTGGCTGCAGAGCTCAGAGGAGTCTCTCTCCTACGCTACACCTCTGTGGGCATCTCGCCACTTTCTTCCCCCGAATCACCCACGTCCTCCAGCGGTCAGTCTGAGGAGCAGAGGAGCTTTCCTACATTCAGAAAACCACACACAGACTCGCTCACAGATGGTCATGGACACTCCAGGAAACCATCAGGAACGGAAGATGTTCCTGATGACTGTGTCAGGCTTTGCAGACTCACAACTTGTGAGGAAGAGGATGATGAGATTCTGTTAGTGCACTGAGAAGCCTTTATCAGCCTCCCTATTCTGATTTTGTGCCAACACAGTGAGCCTTACCAGGTTCAACCAACAGCCTTCCATCCAGAGTCATAAAGTACGTTTACATGCGCAGTAATTATGAAGCTTTTTGCATAGTCGAGCTACAGACTTCATCTGACTGTTTATATAACACAATTTGAATCCAAATATTTGAAGGATTATACATGTTGAGTTTCACTTCTGTTTTTTGGAAAGTGTCACAAGACCTAATTGTAGTCTGAATAGTGTGTATACATGCTGGACGAAATACAGTCACGCCCGGGTCTGTTAGTCTGACTTTGCAAAAAACAGACTGGTATTATTTCAGTCAGGCTAAAGCGTTTACTGACATTTGAAAAAGAAAAAATATTGCTTTATTCGGACTGAAATTGAAGTGCATGTAAACATACAGTATCGCTCAAAAGTTTGGGGTTGGTTAGAATTTGTTTGTATTTTAAAGAAATTGATATTTTATTCAGCAAGGATGCATTGCATTGATCAAAAGTGACTATAAAGACTTACATTGTTACAAAAATTTCTAATAAATGCTGTTCTAGAATTTAATGAAAAAAATATAAAGCAGCACAACTGTTTTCAACATTGATAATAAGTGTTTCTTGCGCAGCAAATCAGCATATTTGAATGATTTCTAAAGGATCATGTGACACTGAAGACTGAAAATACAGCTTTGCCATCACAGGAATAAATGACATTTTTAAATATATTACAATAGACAACAGTTATTAAAAACAGTGATGATATTTCACTATTCTATTTCACAATATTACTGATTTACTGTATTTTTGTTCAGATTTAAAAAAAATCTTAGCAACCCCAATCTTTTGAATGGTAGTGTACTTACAGATTTGGAGCCTTGTAGCAGAATGTTTGCCGTCAGAGTAGAACACCAGTGAGTCGACCTTAGCTCAGACACTGCAGTTTTTTCCTTTGGTCAAACTTGATTCAGTGATCTCATAGTTCAGCTCAAGCATTCAGTCATGATTGTTCACATGCTAGAAATCACCAAAAACCTGTGGCTACAACACTAAAGCACACATGTGCATAAATACTATCCCTCATGGAATATCATGTCAATAACACAGAACTTCATATGCTTGAATTTCTACTTCTTATCAATAACATTTTACTTTGACCTTCAGAAAGTCTGAAAAGACTTCAGAGATCTCCTCTTACCTCCCCAACGCCTTATAAGAGATTCACCGTGTCGCCTACAGAGGGTCACAATCCAGCACTATTTTTTGCCCCCATTTTTAGGTTCATTTTTATCTGAAGCAAACAGTTGTCTCACGATTATGCTTTGCACAATCAGATCTAAATGTTTGTTGGTTGTGCTCTATGTTTTATATATATATATATATATATATATATATATATACTACCGTTCAAAAGTTTGTGGTCAGTGAGTTTTTTAATGATTTTGAAAGATGTCTTTTATGCTCACCAAGGCTGCTGTAAAAACTGTAATTATTGTAATGTTTTTTATGCATCCTTGCTAAATAAAAGTATTATTTTTTTTTAAAGTCATACTGACCCCAAACTTTTGAACAGTAGTGTAAGATTTTATACCCTGAAGACTACTGGAGCTTTGTGCTAATTTAGCGATGATATATCATCTTTTTGTATTTAAGGTTTGTTTTGTAATATAAAGGCAGGTCCAGCAATGACATGAAGCCCCCAATGTCTTTTCTTAAGGGAAGCAGAACTCAGGGATTGTATAAAGGTAATGAGAGAGAGAAGCAGTTAACATGGATTTCCTTGTTAAGCTGTAGTCTGAAGTTCTGAAGTCACCAGGACATCACAGAGTCATCAGAAAACAACACAGTCTCATGAAGATGCGTATCTATACCACGAGTGTCATTTCTCGTGGCATTTATACGGCAAAAGTGTTTTTTTCGTGTATATGGTACGCACTAAAAAACCCTGGGTAAGGTTTAGGGGGGAGGGGGGTGGGGAGTTCGTGCGTATTATACGCAAAAAAGTGCGTATCATATGTACGCGAAAATCGCGTGCCAAATACACGCAAAAACTGTTTTTGGCGTATAAATGCCACGAGAAACGACATTCGTGCCATAGACACGAACTTTCATGAGATCGGGCTGAAATAACTCACTGAGCTCACACCAGTTAATGTCTTTGTTTTTAAATTTCATTTGCATTCATGCATTTAGCACTTGAGGGACTTGTTTGCCAGTAAGATGACATCGCTGTCTTTTCCATGAATGTATGTCCTTGTTTTTACATTTGAAGAGTTCAGATGCAAAAGCCTCTAAATGCCATTTGAAATTTTCTTCTTTAATGATGATTTTTATCAAACTTGTATATTTAAGTTCAGTAATTTCACTTAAATAACAATTAATAAGTAATTATCATTGGCATTTAAGTGAAATCACTGAACTTAAATATACAAGCTTGATAAAAATTTCAAATGGCACTTAGAGGCTTTTGCATCTGAACTCTTCATTTAGTTCCACATACACTGTGCAAGTCATACTTGCTGCTTTAGCACACTTGGTCCTGGTCCAAGCTTGGAAATAAGAACTAATCGAACTAAAAAGCTGGTCCCATCTTTGAAGGGTCAGTATGTTCCTTCATCTCATTCTCTCTGTTGGCCGACTGCCTGTTATTTTCACACATCCTCTATCCTCCATGCCCAGACTGGAGGATCTCTGATCACAGAGGTTCAAGAATGTGCCATTTCAGAGATTGACAGATTTTATACAGTTGCAAATGATGTTTTATTACAATGTGAAACATTTAGATTCAGTGTCATTAGAGAAGTTGTGTATTTTCTGGGTTCAATTAAATAGCTTTTAAAAAAGTACTTCTAAAATACTTTACTTGCTTGCAGTTTCTGAGACTATTTCCTTGACATTTTTAGTGTCCTTTATGTCCTCCTGAATAATTCAAATGAAATTCATTGGAAGAGATCAATCAGCAGAGACAGCCACAGTAAAGGCTTTGGGGTTATTCGGCAAGCAGCTTGAAACCTATAGACCAGTGATTCTCAAACTTTTTGACTCTCAAAATTTGAAGACCCTCATTTTAATATCAAAAACTTGCAGTCTTGAAATATTTAATTGATCAAGATTAAGTTTGTGTTTCCACAAGTTTCAAGAACAGTTTGAACTTTAATATCATCAATGTGTATTAAAGGAAAATGATGCTTATTTTGATTGTGTGTGTGTGTGTGTGTTCTTATTTTAGCTAACTTAATTAAGTTTTATAATTAACTTAAACATTTTTAAGTCAGCCACCATGGAAGTTTACTTGGAGCCTGTTTGAGAACCACCCTCTCTTCTTTTTTTCACCGCAGTCTATTTTTGCCTTTTGTAAATATATTTAACATTTACATTGTTTACCCCTTCCAAACTGGTTGTGTATGTGTAATGGTCAAGGTGGCTATACATGTTTGATTTTGATGAATCTCATTCTCTGAATGGATGAAAAGTACTTTGTGTTTACTTGTACCTTGCATTAAACGCACATTTCTTCATTAGATATCGACTTATTTATGTGTTATCTGAATAGAGTCATTCATAAACATAATCTTCCCTAACCCTCCCTATATAGTTAATAAACAGATTCTAGAGTTTGTTTCTGTAATATAGGCTGTGTTTCAATGCTGCGCCCTACGGAGGTCGCATTTGCCAGACGAATACATGATGGATTTATCAGTAATAATCATAAAATGGTCTGTTATTTATTGTGCAGCATAAATGATTGTAATTTCTTTCTTTGCAGTGGGCTATAATGGAGGCAGCTGAAATTCTTCAATTCTGAAGCGAGGCAGCCTCACTGACATGTAGCTAACTTCGAAATGAGACCGCATTTCTTTACTCATACACACACAGAGTAACACAATTACTAGCAACCTTTTTTAGAATTAAATTTAATGTGCTAATATTGTTATTGATAAACACCTTTTAACATTTTTATAAAACAAGTATATCAGCATACATATCTATAGTGCATACAATATGAAACATAATCTTTAATACATACGATTCACACTTTACTAATGTCAGGAATGTGATCTCACAATGAGTCCCTGATGTCTTTGAAATGTAATATTTACATTAAGATTTCACTGTACTGTGCTTTTCATTGTGCCTTCGCCGCTGTGGGCAGTGAGAGCATGAACACTGCTAGTTGGCAGACTTTTAGATGGATAGAGACGAGTACAGGGTATGATCGTGTGTCTTGAAAGATCTGACCTGAAGAGGGCACTCAAGTGAAACTCTAAACAACTCATTCAGATCTAAAAATCTGTTTGACGGACTTCAGTTTGGTGGTCAGTTTGTAAATGAAGACATGGATATCGTCACTGTTGCATATGGCTCAGTGAAATTTCCATGTTTAGTGCCCAAAAGAGACAATGTCTCCTTTTGGATAATAGTTGAAAGTGTCTGCCTAGCAGGATTTTTTTTTTAATGTAAAAGCACCTTTTATGTAAATAACGTTATTTAGGATGAACTTGGAACATCTCATGGTTCCTATCATCAGCATAAGGCTAAAAGACTGGCAGTGCTAATGAGTGCTGGGGTAGAGCCTCTGTTAAACAGTGGCAGGAGATTGTTGCTTATTCAGGAAGCATGGCAATACATTTAGCGTGCAATATGCTAAAAACAGGCAACTACATTAAAGTGCCTAGACTATTATTGCATAGACAGTTGAGAGAAGCTATAGGGATTATGTTGTTTTGTTTTGTTTTTTGTGCTTGGGGGGAGTAAGTAATTATTAAGAGGACTAGAGGTCAGGGCCTAATCCTCTAGATAGTTCAGACTTACAGATGGAGTTTAGATTTCAGAAGACTGGGTTAAGAGGTAAGCAGGCAGGTCCCCTTCACTCACAGGGGAATACTAATAAAAAGTCTTAAAGTAAAGATAAAACCTCAAATGCAGAGAGAGATCCTGTAAGGCACATGAGAATACACCAGGAGTTCTCAAAAAATGAACAACTCCCAGAGAAAACATGATTTTGACATAGGAATTCACCTCCAACAGGATAGGAGGATGGTGCGTTCAATTACAAGGTGATGTCCGAACAAATATGCGAGGGGAGAAGTGTTTCAACTAAGAAATGTAATGTCAGAGCAAGAAAACTTCTGTTTCTTCTGCTGTGATGGCTGAGTCTCAGAGGAGCTTCTGGGGAGCATCTCCTCACATACAGCATCAGACAAAGAAAACACTCAACAACGGATGGAAGACAGGTCTTTGCTATTCCAAACAGGAGTGCAAGAAGTCCTGTGCTGACTCTCACAGCTCAGATTTTTCTGTAAGAGGCTGTATTTCAGAAGGATCTTCCTGGGGGAAGACCACATAGCACAACTTCTGTCCCAGATAGGTGACTTTCTCTGAAACACATGCACGTTTACAGAAGTCAGACGGTTTTTCGTTGCAGAGTGTTAACAAAACGAAGTTTTGGCTGGTCTTACTCACCCATGGCACTGTAAATCCAGTATGGTTTGTTCTTCCACTGCACTCCAATGAAGTAGATGGGGACTCCAGTGAGCATGATGACCAGCCCCATACCACACACCACAGGCTCCGAGTACAGACTGAAGCCCAGCAACACCGCCCAGAACACTAGATAGCTGCAGGGGACAAATAAGTTTACCTGCACAAAGGGAGAGAAGAAGAGCGAGGTGAATAAAACTAAAACACTGACATGTCAATCCATTTTCCTGATGAGGTCTGTAGGTGGCAACTTGAGTACCTTGATGGGTCTGAATAGTTTGGGTTTCTTCCATCTGTAGTACAGCAGCCCAGCTATAGTGACTCCATATGAGAGGTAGTTTATAAAAGACACATAGTTTATCAAGTTATGAGTGTCCCCGATACACAGGATCACTATGGTCGCCGTACACTATGGAGAACAAGAGAGAAAGACATTTAGGCCCTGTTTGCACCTGGTATAAGATCCACCTAATACAGCGATTCTTAACCTTTTTGACTTGAAGGCATATTGGCTAAGACATTTCTTCTGGCATTTTATGTTGTGATAATGACAGCACTGCTTGTTGTCTCAAACTTTTTAATTAACATGAATTGGGAATGTTGATTTATTAAATTAACATTTTGTGATTCTAGAATGTTCAAGTAATTGTAGTTGTGATTTATCTTCAATAAAAAAAAACATACGTTATTGAGGGGAAAAATATGAATCTCAGTTTGGGTTTAGATTTTTTTTCTTGCATTTTAATTAAGTTATGGCACTTTTCCACTGCATAGTACGGTACGGCTCGCTTCGGCTTGCTTTAAATTTCACCACCTCTGTTGTTACCACCTCTGAGGTTCCAAGCGTACCGTACCAATACTAACATGTGACACGAACACACTGCAGATCACTGATTGGTCAGACAGAATTGTCACTACCACATCATTGTATTTGTGAGACATCAAAACCGCTAGATTTAAATAGCCAGTCACACCCACTGTTGTAGCACCTGTTTTAAAACTAATTGCTTGACTTAATGGAAGAAAAAAGAAAGAAAGAAAACATTCACAAAAGAAATCGCTGAATCATGGTCAGTGGACAAAGTGCAGACGTTCCTCTCGTTGTTTGCCCGAGGAGCGGATAAACTATAACGATCAGAATATAATCCCACCCATTTTGAAGCGGTACTAACTGCAGTGGAAAAGCAAACCGAGCTAAAGCGAACTGAGCCGTGCCGTGCCAAGCGAGTAGTAACATGCAGTGGAAAAGCGCCATGAGATTCAGTTTTAATACAATCAATATATTGAAGTCATCCAGTGACCCCCTTGGAAGTTTGCTCCCCTAGTTGAAAACCACTTGTCTAATTTTAATCAAAGAGGTTAAGAAAACAAAGTCAGCACACTCTTGCTTCCAAAAGTACTGTTAAATTGTTATCTAAGATGATCATTAATGAGATGTTTTGGGACATATTTCAGTTCAACTGCAATTTTAACTGATCTTCAATTGATTTGTGTGATTTAATGTTGATGTCAAGCAAATCCGTGAAGTTCAGTCTTTTACAATGTTTCGATTAATTAAATTTAATGGATTTTAGTTTTAAGTGACGTGAAAGTTATTGTAAAAGGGGCACATAAACAGCCAAATTTGCGCCCTTTTTTAGTGTAGTGATTGACAGGTCCTTCACATGTCCAGAACACATCAGCAAGCGAGTGTTTATAGAAAATCCAATGTGATCACACAAGTTTTCTATTACCTCTCAATGCGGTTTGAGTGATCTGTTCACAAAACATTCTGGACCCCGTTTAGACCTGAATTGGATAAACCAAATCATGCAGACTGAAAGCAGTGTTGTGTTGCATGTGCTGTGTGTGAATAGCTCTTTCTTTCTCACACAAACAAGCAGGGCGGGGATTGGTGTGCAGCTCTTAAGGTGGATCATAGCCAACAGGTAGGGCAGGTGACCCTCTCTGGCGCCAGAGAAACACAACCTGTGGAGGATGTGCAATAAAGCAGTAAATACTCTGGTTTCAGGGTTGCTGTATTAAGCAAGTGCGATAGTGCTTTTGTTTCTTTACCTAGAAGAGGTAAACAAGTATCCGTTAATCCCCCCAAAGGTGGAAAGAGCTACAGAGATGGGCATCACCCATGAGAATATTCCGAGCAGCTTCTCACCAAATGTCTGCAACACAACACACAAAAACAGATGGCGATTTATCAAAGCACCTGATAGATAGTATGTTGTTTTCGCAGAAGAGGTCAGAGAAACTCACCACAGCAACAGCGTTCGACTCTAGAAGCTCTTGAGGGGACATGGAGGTGAAGTACGCAATGTTGGTGAGAGTATAGACAAGCGTCACCAGAGGGATGGAGATGTAGATCGCACGTGGAAGATTCCTATAGACAGATACACCAGAAAGCATAAAACACCATACAATATACGCTGTATGAGAGCTGGGGTCATTTTCTGTAAGATTTATAAAAAGCGTGTACACAAAAAGTGAGGCAGAACTACTGTATGTGCAAAAGTAAATATATATCTGTGAAAATCAAGTAAGAAAAAAATATGAATAATAATATTAATTATGAATAATAATAATAATTTGAGTAGGCTTATTATCAATAGGTTTTTATTTTTTTGGCTAATTAATTTGGTTATTTAATTATTTTTGCTTTGTTTTGCTTCTTTTTGTTGACAGCCCAAATTATTCTTGAGAAAATGTGACAAGCCTTTGGCAACAGAAGTGCTGTTTCTACCATCCAAACGTGCTTGAAGCACAGAGAGCATCTCAAATAGCCACAAAGTAATCCTTTCTGTGACCTGCTTTGTACATTTCCAACAACTTGAGCACTTTTGATGAGGGTTTGGAATACGGTACTCGATGTTACGTGACATGAATAAATTATGCAGATGCTTAATTATGCAGATGGATGCTTGCTAGTTTCACTGTTTGCTGGTTCTATTTATACTGTTGCTGTATGTTTTATCACTTGTTGATTGAAATTATTTATCAGTTATTTGTTATGATTACTCAGCAGTAACTGCACTTAAACCATGTACATCTCCCTGCGAGGCCCCTGAAGGCACATTGGGGGCCCCAGGCGATTGATTGCCTGTAGGATGGCCAGACCCTGATTTTGACACGGTAAAGACTAATAAAGACTCACTTGCGAGGCTCAACCACCTCTTCAGTGACGTAGTTCAGGAAGTTCCATCCACTGTATGCAAATGAGGCCTGCAGGAAAGCAAGAGCAATTTGCCCCACTGACGGATCCTTTATGAACTTAAAAGCTGCCTGAGGCTCCAATGCTTCATAGTGTCCTGGAGAGAGAGACATATATAGAGAAAACATTGACAAAGACTTGCATTGCATTTCAAAGTCAGTGTCTCTATAGCTACGCTATGCTCTACTGTTTGGGCTACAAAAATACTCACCAAATGTCAGATCTTGAGCTCTTTGTTTTGTTTAATTCATAAATCACTGTATTTTTTTCACATGCTCTTGGGATCAATCTGTCCACATTCATCCTGACACTCTAATGTCATCAGTTTGATTGGATTGTTCCACTACATAGGCAGTAGGCAGAGCCTCCAAAAAGCCTTTCTCTCTGCAGTCAATCAAGAGTGAAACTGCACTACTCAGTTCTCTCATTTACTCAATTCTTTCTCTTTCTCTGTCAGTTCAAGGAATGCCTCCAGACAAGCACACTAAATAAAAATATGAATAAAAAAGTCTACCCATAACGATTCAAAGCCATAAACTGCTGATTTATTGTAATATTACTTAGTTGTGTAACACAAGACAGTACACATTGTTAAAACATTTCTGCAATGGAGGCTTCAATTTTGCATAATTGTCACAATTATATACAGTCTTAGCTTAGTTTATTATGAAGTGCCTAAACGAAAAGAGTCAGCTATATACTGCACTGCTTTACTTTAAAGAAATATCCTAACATTCTCTATTGTAAAACAGAAGTTGTGATAGTGAGTTATATATAAATAAAATTTTGCCCAGATTTTTTCCCTGATTTGCAGTCTGGAGTTGATACTGTCTGTTCACACTAAAATAGTATATAATATAGTGTGATCGTATAGACTGCGGCAACGGATAGCGACATGTGCCATTGGTTTCTGTGTGTCAGATGTCGTCACATAATGTTAAAACTGCTTCGGGAGAGTTGTTTGGTAGTGTGTGATCTTCAGTGTCTTCACTGCCTACTAGTGTTGTTGTTTCTCAATCTGTTCAGAAAGTCGTTTAATGTATTCCAGCCTTAAATTTCACTGGTTCAAGTTTTAGTAGGGGTGATTTATGAACCAACCTATCATTGTGCCATTGAGCAAGGCACTAAACCGCAGGTATCTTTGAGGGGGCTATACCAATAATGAATGTATTGTAAATCACTGAACAAAAAAGTACCTTACAAGACCTACCACTAGATGTCACTATTGAAAACAAATATATAGTTAAAGAAGTAGTTCCTCCCAAAATCCGCAGAAGAAAAAAACAACAACATCAGGGTGAGTAAACAATAAAGTTTTAGATGTCCTCTCCTTTCTATTCATTAGATAACAGGTTAGGGCTGGCAGCAGCTGGCATTAATGTGATGGGAGTGCTTGATGATTCATGGCATTTAACTGTGGGAATTAGTATCAGATAAGAGGTATCATACTCTTTTTCTTTCTCTCATTTGCCTACTCTTTAATTCTCTCTTTTAATCTCTTAACTTCATTCTCTGCTTTAGTGGTTTACATACTATGGCAAAATCCTGTTACTGTTCAGGAAATTGTTTGATTGCTTATCTGTACAAGTTTGGCCTAACAACCGAAACAAAGGGAAAAATCAATAGAGTATTGAATTTTTATACCCCTAATGTTTAATAATTAACATTACTGTACACCGATAGACCTCCTTTAGTACTTCATTCTGCATCGATTTTTTTACAGCACAAAAACCCTCTTTTTTTGAAAGAATAGCATGTTTCATGAAAGACGACAGTTGGTAAGAATGTGTAAATTGTCATTCACACACCTTTGACAATCTGGACCATTCCCACTACAATGATGAGAACAAGGGCCAGCAGCTTCCCCACAGTGAAAACATCCTGGATCCGTGTCCCCCAACGCACACTGGAGCAGTTCACCCAAGTCAGGAACACTGTAAACACGCGCAGTGAACATATTGTTATTCATTCCCATATTCCAAACTCACGAGAAAAGATTCCTTTAAATATTATGAAAACCATTAGCAATATCCATAAAAGGAACATCAAACATATGTATGTATGTAATTTATAAATAAAGACCATCACATATTAAGAACAACTGAACTGTCACACTCTTTGGATGTCTTATCAAAGAGCTGTTTCATGAGAAAAACTCGTCATATTGTGTTTCAGTAATGGAAGCAGTGTGGCGTTGTTGGCAGAGCAGCACTAACTGGTCACATGGTTCATTTTTATTAGCTTAATGAGGGGAAATAAACATCAGATGTAACTTATTTTACTGCTGCAGGCAAAACACTGACCCATTCATGGCTAAGTGGTTCTCAACCAAGGGGCCAGGGCCCACTCAGCAAACTTCCAAGGGAGCCTCAAGATAACTTAATGACTTTTGAAATAAATAAAAAAAATAAGCATCGAAACCTGCTAAAACAACTAAAAAAGAACCAGGGCTCCCACAGACTTGGAATACCTGCATATATGATGTAGACGGTTACCTCATCTACCTTATAGTTGGTATCTATCTTTATGCATTACAATTGAGAGCTCCTTAGAAACAAAAAATAGTAGTTTATCAAGGGGCATCAATGCAACACAGCTTAAAGCTGACAGGTTTAAAAACTACACATTCACAAATGGAAGTACAGGCGTTATAGGCCACTGCGTGTCTGTACATCTGTGTTGAGGTTAGTGGCTTCTGTGTTCAGCTGCATTGTGTAACAGGTCCGGTGTAGATCCGGTACACAGAGGTCCGTCTCCAGGGCTTGACGGCACGGTATACGCAGGCATGCCGAGGGAGACACTGGGCAAAGGGGAGACGGGTTACCCCCACTCATCCATCAATGGCCGGAATTACCCGCCCACACACGAAAACACATGCGGGGCATCTGTCAGACCCCCCTAGACAAACAGCTTCCGATGCCCCACAACAAAACGGCCCAGACGCCAACTGAATTTTTGGCCAGAGTAAGCAGTCGACAAGAGTAGCTCACAGCCTGCAAACTAACAGCTAACCTGCTCAACTTCATCCACACATGTAATCCTGAGCTCAATACACACCACCTGTGAACCTCCGTGTCCTGACATCTTGACCTTGAGAGTCACTGCAATATTTTCATAGGTATGTGCTCGTAGGCACCTTAAAATTATAACAATAACAATATGATAAAAATATGTTCAAATTTAAAAACATAAAAAAAACATTGGCAACATAGAAACATACATAGGAGATAGTTGACTAATTTTCATTATCATTTATGATGACATTCTTCATGTTTTATCTTTCACAGGATAACGTCATACAGGCTCAGAACGACAGAAGGGTGAGTAGTACATGATAGAATATTCATTTTTGAGTGAACTATCCCTTTAACATAAATTATTCATATTAATGAATGTGAATGCTTTGTGGTCAAATGTTGTATAATATTTTATAATACAGTTTCACAACAGTGTTTGCCATGGTTTTGTTTGCTCTTGTTTGGCTTGACTCCAGCTCCTTCTGTTTTTTATCACAGCGCAGGAGTGACTAAGAGTGGCCAAATGAAGTTAAATGAACACAAACCTAATGAGAGGAGAATTCTAATTAAGTGGCAACAGCCTTTAAATCTGCCAAAATACAACCGCTCACTCTAAACTCCTGAGGGGGACATCCCTCTGCAGCTAATTGACCAATAAAGCCAACAAAAGATGCACTAAATACACAATAATGTGCAAACCATTACAACTCTCTGTGGCCAAGGCCTAAAATAAGTATTATATTTTTCAAGTTTACTCAGTATTATAGATCACAGGCTTTTCAAAAAGTTTTATTTAAGGGACATTAATAAATAAATTTGATAAATAAAACCTCTTCAAATTGTTTGAAAAAGCAGCCCTTGTGGATACCAGGTTGAGAGACTGCAGAATTGTAATATTGGCAAAAGGTTGGCTACTTTGAAGATGCTAAACACTATTGATTTTTTTGTATACTGTAAGTCCTTTTGTTTTGCTTAATCTTGATGGTATTTTGACTGGCATTGTCTCTTTACTTTTATTTGACATGATTTATCCATTTATAAATGAATATTTTCCCCAAATGATATAGCAGTTCAGAGACATGCTGTCAGCCCTTTTATCAGAAGACATAAATCTGAGAAACAATAGTTAGATGAGTCAGATCAACAGATCTCTTTCAATCTCTAGAGTGCATGGCCTTTATTTTTACACAAGAGAGAAGCTTCCAGCAGACATGAACCTATAAAAAAGTACAAAGCATTGGTATAGTAAATAACCCTTCACACACAGTTGTAAAAAAGCAATGTGACGCACTCTTTTCTTTGACATCAAATTTAAAATCAAGTTATTTAATGCTGTATAGTATCATGCTGATTAAGACTCAGCAAATGTTTGTGTGTCCAGTCCAGCAGTGTGTGTGTGTTTGTGTGTATGTTTGTAATCTGACTTCAGCAGACAGAGCTTGTGACATTCATTCAGAACATTCAGAAGGGGAGGGCAAATGTAACACATGCCGCAATATAGACAAATTCTCACACAGTGCAACTAAGAACATTCACTCACACATTAACAGGGGTTCAGACATGCATCAGTTTACCACTAAAATTATACACTGCAGTGCATCAACAAAGGTACACACAGCATGAAGCCAAAACTTTTTTTGAATTAAATTAGAATTGTGGCAGTAGACAGGATGTAGAACTGTAATCATTCACAGTCACACAACATATGGGGCAATTACAGATACAGTAGACATTAGTAATCAATGTCTGAAATGCCACAGAAAGTGTATTTGATATACAGTATATATAGCATTATTTTCAATTAAAATACCATTTTCATTTTATGGACCATGGTGAAAGAACAATTTATTTCTCACAAATTCACAAATACTCATCAATATTTATTTTGATATAATTTATTTATATATCTCCATATAATTTTTATACATTTATATTAATTTATTTAGATTTTATATATGTATTTATTTATTTCTCTTAACAAATAATCTGTTAATTGGTAATTGCTTATTATTATTATTGCTAACTTAAGTAAGCCTAATCTTTTAAAGATTATGTTACATAAATAACATAATAACATAAAAGTTAACGTTATTGTTTTGTCACATAACTTTTGTCTTACAGTTCAATTTCTTTAAGTTGCAATCCAGTAAACTCCTCTTCCAGTCATTATACTCACAACATACTTCCTATGGGCGTGGCCAATTCAATTCAAATGGACTGAAAGGGAGCCCGTTCTTTAACTCTGATTTTCGCCCAACCTTACATCAATCCACACCACTGTAAGACCCAACGGAGGTTCATGAACACGCGGCAAGCAGGTCAAATTTGTGCATCCAATGCATTTTTTACAGTGAAAGGCATATGTTTTGTTGGCATTTGTGTGGGAACTGTGTGTATAATATGAGTGAAAAATCTGTGCGTAAAGACCTCAGATGTTCCTCTAGGGTCTTTGGATGTCACAGTTTAGGTTATTTGCTTGGTCTAAAGGTTAATGGCAGTTGATGGGAGGGAACTTGTTATAACTGTGCCCACCCTGAGCATGACTAACACACTCCAAATAGATAATTAAAAAATCATAATTCACTCTTCATTTGTCAGGTTTAAGCATAGTTTTAGCGCCATTCACAAAATCCCGCCTTCATGTTCTTCTCCATCAAAGAGCAATGGGGTAGCCAGGACAACCGCAAGGTCCCCAAACAATACACAATACAGAAGACACGCCCACATGTTCCGCCGGCTCAAAGCCTGGCACCATTACGGAGTCTGACGCCACACAGAGTGAGGGTCAGGTGCCCTTAGGGTCCTAGGTCCTGTGATCTGGAACCAAACAAATACGTTCCTTGAATATTGGGCTAATCAGAGGAGAGCAAAGTGATTTGAGATGCAGGACTAGCATCCTTTGATAGGGCACATAGATGAGGTGTCTTCCTTAAATAAAGCATTTGGCCCTTGTCACGCTGCTCTCTAGAGTATGACTGACTCGAAGCTTTTGTTGGCTGTTCTTCAGGACAGGTTCTGGATTCTGCAGCCAAAAATAGGGATGGATGGCTCAACTCAGCCAGCACTGTCATTAGGACCACTGCCCTGACATTGACACACCCCCAGTACTCCTTCTGTCCAGATCTGACAGGCTAGGCAAACCAGCTGAGTCACGGGGCTCTTTGGAAACAAACCCATACACACACGCATGCATAGACAAACTGTACATTTGACTGGTTCATCTCCACCAGCTCCAAAAATATCCTGCCATGCACCCACCAGGGTTAAGAACCAGGATTAAAGCACTGTAAAGTGGTATAGACACACAAGGGAGATGGCAAATGAGAAAGAGAAAAATACTGAACGATAGACAAAACAGCGGCTCTAGATTGATCATGACGGAATCTATTAGTCAGAATCAACTCTAGGGATCAGGGGGAATTCCTCTGAGGAGGAAAGAGAGGCAGTGCCTTTTTAATTTATATTACAAAAATAAAACAACGCAAATTTTACAAAATATGACATTACATAGTGTATAAATCACTCATTTTCCTAAAGTAACACTGTCCAACAGTGACACCAGCAGGTAAAGGTACAGTGGGAGTCCACGTTTCTCTTGCCTCTCCTGAGCCCATTGAGTTTTAACAGACCCCCTAAAGTGTGCAGTGGATTTGATGGGGAGTAATTGAGAATGAATGAAGAGAAATCATGTGAGAGGAGGCAATGCCTCCATCGGGCTATGATTGGATATGATTGGTTTGTGCCATGAATCCCGCCTCTTGTTTTTGTGAGCATTCACAAATTGGTTTGAATGAACAAAATTATAGTGTTTAATGGGAAGACTAATTAAAAAGTAAGTAAATAACTCAGTCAATTGAAAAGGCCTGATAACATGATGACTGTGGGTTTTTTTTTTTGAGCATTTGAGCAACACTAAATAAGAGCTGACTTGAGAATGTCATTTAAAACCTCATTACTAATGGTGTGTGCTGTACTCACAGACGCAGGCGGTTGAGAGGACGCGGGTGGCGATGTATGGTGGCAGGCAGTTTGGGAAGGCAGGCTGTAGCACATAGTTGGAGAAGGTGAGTGCAATCACAGCCAGAGTTGTTGGGTACATGATCAACACTGCGCTCCACAGCAACAAGAAGCTGTAAAAACATGTAAACAAATGGCCATCTTTATCAGCACCAATTTACAACAAACCCAGAATTCTGAGCAGTGTTATTGTTGTAACTGAACAAAAAAGTAGACACATGTGAATCTCCCTGAGGACAAGTTCTCTTGTGTGCATCACACCCACAAACTGAGACGTCCATATTGACATTTATGCATTTGGAAGCCACTTTCATCCAAAGCAACATATATTGGATCTGTTCATGCATTCTTGGCAATCAAAGCTATGACTTTGGCATTGTTAGTGCTGTTAGTGCATTCACTGTTTGAACTATATGAATGCTAAGACTAACATTCAACAATAGACCTACCCCACCAGTCCCCCGAAGATCTCTGTCACGTATGAGTAGTCTCCACCTGATTTGGGGATGGTGACGCCCAGCTCGGCATAGCAAAGAGACCCTAGGGCACAGATTCCTCCTCCGAGAACCCACACAATGAGTGAAAAACCCACACTGCCAGCATGATCTAGAACACCCTTTGGAGAGATGAAGATCCCTGAGCCAATGATGTTACCTGAGAAAACAAAAGAAACCACAATGGGTTGTTTATTCTTCATATATTGTATCATGTGGAATCATGTGGTCTTCACCTAATAATGCTTGCTTGATATTCTGTAGAAATAAATATAGACATATAAAAAAGCAGATTTTTGCAAAAATATTTGATGATTATGCTGTCATATCACTTGCTTACTTGAAATACACTGCAGTCTTAACAAAATGATTGTTTAAATGAAAATCTTTGTTTTTTTTCCCCAGTGCAAAGACAATGTGTCCTTGCAGCTGTCAAAACGCTGCTGCGCATTCCAAGCAAACGGACACGATACATGAGATCAACAATGTTAGAGTCAACATCAGTTGCGAAATTGAGATGAAGGTCCACTATTCAGTAAAAGGTAAATGTTCTGCTTCATTGCATATATATCTTAGTAAAAACCACTCATGTGCATTGCCTGAATGATTATGCCTCAGGAAACTTCAACAAAAGACTTTCAATTATACAAGGCTCAGCTACAGTTATGGGCCGAAGCATTATGTAATCATTTTGGGTTCTCTCTTTGTCTGCAAGTGTTCACAATAATAGAATTGGGTATGGGTAGTATTGAGTGGATGTGAATTTTTGCTCCCAGCGCCTCAGACCTGTACAGAAGATAAAGCATTAAAGTTGACGACACCCAGCGGATCTCAAAAACACTCAGTCAAATGAGATTCAAAGTTCCTGAATGAAGTTCACAGGGTCACTTGACTTTGACTGGTCGTACAACTCACAACATAACAAAACAATGTCCGCTTGCCTGATTTACAGAAGTATTAAATCCCCCTTGTATTAGTTCCAGAATTTAGTGACATTGTTGTCAATGGATATTAAAGCATTTCTGTTTAAAGACATGTGAAAATAAAAAGTGTTTCATGTCATTAGCAGTTATTAAATTGTAGTTTATATCATCAAGAAATCAGCCATTGGTTACATCAGCTATTGATAAACAGTCAACCACAAGCCGAGACTTTAATTAAAGGAGTAGTAAAGGAGTAATTTTTCCATGTCTTTCTTTCTTCAATCGAAAAGAAATGAAGGTTTTTGATTAAAACATTCCAGGATTTTCTCCACATAATAGACTTCAATGGGAACCAAACTGTTCAAGGTCCAAATGAGTCTTTCAGTGCAGCTTAAAAGGGCTTTAAAGGACACCAGACGATGAATAAGGGTCTTATCTAGCGAAACGATCAGCCATTTTAAAAATAAATAATAAAAATAAATAATTAAGTTTTATAAGCACAAATGCTCGCCTTGCTCTGTTCTGTGATGAGCGTTCGTGACTCTCCTGTTCAAACTCGTTCATCAAAATGAACGAATCTTTTTTCGAGTCATGATTCGAAGGGTCCTAGGTAAGACCCCTATTCATCGTCTGGTGTCGTTTAAAGCCCTTTGAAGCTGCACTGAAACTCTCATTTGGACCTTGAACCATTTGGTTCCCAATGAAGTCCATTAAATGGAGAAAATCCTGGAATGTTTTCATCAAAAACCTTAATTTCTTTTAGACTGAAGAAAGAAAGACGTGGACATCTTGGATGACATGGGGGTGAGTAAATTATCAGCAAAAGTTTTTTTTAAAAGTGAACTACTCCTGTTAGGTTATGATGGCGAATAAAGAGGTTACATTTGTGTCCATATTAAAGTATTGAAAAGAAATAAACTTGAGTACTGCATGGGCAAAGAGTTGTGAAGTAACTGATAAAATTAGTCATTGACCTTGAGTTATATCAGGAGGACATTCTAGCAAAGGAAAACTTTCCCATGTTCAGGAGGTAAATAAGTCACCAGTTAAAATTCAGCAGTTTTTGACTCTATGAAATCCTTTGAGTAATCTGCAATCCTGTAATCTTCTTAAAGGTGCTTGTCAGAATTATGTCAAACATTTAGAATGGTAAAGGGCTGTGAACAAAATTGCCTTAGTTACTACCCATAAAGCCACTAAACCATAAACATAACTGAAATCTACAGCTGCACCTGTACGCTGATGTTACACTGACACCAAGCGCAAAACACCGAACCACTTTCACTTAATCTATACAGCCATACATTTTGGGGTAAAGGTCACAGCCATAACGAGCAGTTAATATTAATTATATCTTAACTTAACTTCCTGTCATTGCTTCTTGTTAAAAAAAGAATCTTTATAAAGAAGAGAGAGACTAGTCATATGTTTCAACAATATATATACCTGAGAAAATCTCCACATAGTTACATCAAAACTCTAGCACATGTGAGACTAAAATAAGGCCACGTCATGTTTCAGTATTTCACGTCTAACTAAATAACATGTCAGGTTTACTGGCAGACAGATACACAGTTCTTTCTGTATTCTGTAGTATTACCAGGTCATTTTGAGAATCAAATCTTTATTTAGAAATATAAAGTGATACATAGGATATCAACACAGTCTCATGAAGATGCGTATCTATACCACGAGTGTCATTTCTCGTGGCATTTATACGCCAAAAGTGTTTTTTTCGTGTATATGGTACGCACTAAAAAACCCTGGGTTAGGTTTAGGGGGGAGGGGGGTGGGGAGTTCGTGCGTATTATACGCAAAAAAGTGCGTATCATATGTACGCGAAAAATCGCGTGCCAAATACACGCAAAAACTGTTTTTGGCGTATAAATACCACGAGAAATGACATTCGTGCCATAGACACGAACTTTCATGAGATCGGGCTGGATATACAGTGTATATACAGTATATATTATTAGTTGAGAAATAAACTTTTGTACCTTAAAAGGACTAATGTAAATCAACGTGTTTAATGAACTGTAACAGTGGAAATGTTCATTAGCTTATATTTACAGGAGGTGGAGGAAAAAAATGTGACAACTAGTCTCCGTTATACAATAGGCTGATACAGCTTCAGGAGGAGAGCCAAATTTCACTGACACAACAACACATTAGAAATTACAGTAACAAAATATAAAGACATAGTGTCAATCTTATCAAAGGATTCCGTCCAATTCTCACTATTGTTGCTTATTAGCATGCATTGTTGGATGTTTATTAATACTTGTAAAGCACATATTAACAATATTAGTAAAGCACATCGTAAATCGCTTTTGTGACCATTAGGTTTGTGAAAGCACTAAATCCAGTCCATTAAAGCCTTATTCTGCATTACCATATTCTACATCCCTAAATCCTATACACAAAACCTACATTTAACAACTACCTTACAAACTATTAATCAGCTGTAGCCTAATTAGGAGTTTATTGAGGCAAACGTCATAATTAATAGTAAGTCAATCGTAAGAATTGGACCATAAACTAAAGTGTGACTGCATATTTATACTCAGTGAGGATTATTCATGGATGTGTCCAGCACACACATGATAAAAACGATGAGTTAAAAAGGCTTTGGGTAGTATAAAGTCAGTGTAAAGGATGCTTACATTTGAGGAGGAAACATGATTTTTAATTTTGATGTATTTTCCTGTCCAGAATGTATTTAATTTTACTCTGAGTCCGCGATTTATTGACTACAATAAACATTTAAATCGAGTAATGTAAGTAATGATCAGGACATGCATTAGCTAAAACTGAACTTTAAAATAGCCTAGCATTAAAGGAAGCAAACGATTACATAAAACGTCTACACTTTCTAAATTTTTCCTACTTTAATTACAGGTCTATAGCAACATTTCACTGCACAGCATATGGACTCTTATATGGTGCTGGGTTTGTTCAGCACACGTGAAGGACCCAGTGGGTTGCAGCAGCCACGTAAGCGCGGAGTTGAGTTTCAGCCTGATTCTCTTCCTCAATGATGCAATCTGCGCTCTGATGAACAGAGTGTGATGGAGACTATAGCCTACTGTAAGTAGCGGCATGGCACGCACGAGACGTAGGCTATTCTCCGCCGGAATCATGCAATTTGTCCTTACAAATTAAGACAGCCGTACTCCGTGACGATATAAGTTTGGACATGATTGAGGTGTATTTTTTTAATACTTTAGACTACTCGACTTTTAGGAGAGCAGATTTCATTAAAGCGAAAGTAGGCTATATGAAAGAGTGAGGACTGAAGGTTAGGATGAACAGATTCAAGAGAAGCCGAGAGTGATAAAATGACAGACAAAGAAACATGCCAAATGATAAAAGTTCAAGGTGGTTAGAGCGCACGCGTTGGTGCGTTAAAATGAGGAAACATCTCACCTATAATTATGGCGCACGCGCTCAAGAGACCAATTTCCTTTTTAAGAGTCACTCTATCCTTAGATCCACTTTGGTTTCCACCGGAGTCTAACATCTTCTGTTGCTCCGGTTTCGCGCAGTTTCTCCGGTTCGTTTCGGTTCCATCCATGTGTGCGGCTGTTCAAGAAAACGGCATCTGTATCCGCGCTCGGTCTCATATAGCGGGTTGATGCAGGACTCAGGGCGCATGCGCAAAACCTCTGCTGTCTGCCTCCATATCAACAGGTTAACGTTTGTCTTGTGCCTTGGCACGCGCTTACCTGCCCCACGAGGTTGCAAGGGTAGGCTACTTGACACAACATTTCTACGTTCTTTTTCATTCAACTGAATGTTTCCCCCCAACATTTTAATAACATTTTTTAGCTTAATCAATCCATTGTTTTTAAGTTGCCTACAAAATAACCTATTCATATTCAATTTACTATCAGTATCAATAATTGCTGCATTTACAATAGTTGTAATTGCTGCAGTTAGCCTAGCATATCACACCACAAGACTGCTGAAGCTACCTGAAATTTCATGTTAACAATACTACCATTATGCTTTTGAACATGTTGATGTACAGTATATTTATGCAATTTGTCGGGTTCTTTTACACACTGTAGATGTGGTAGTTGGAATGACTCCAGGAGTAGGCCTACACATTGTAAAAAAAAAAAAAAAAAACTAGATGACGGAAACACCCATTCTTTCTGCTCAGTCTGTGGGGGTTTGATGTGGTAAGAGAGGTTGTATGGGTATTACGAGTGATCGTAACACCCATAAAACCCATAAGTTGTTGTGTTATGACGATATGAAATTTCAGTCATGGACTTAAGACGAATTGTAATTTTTAAAATTGAGTTGGTGTCTAAACTTTTGACTGGTAGTAGTGTATAATTATATTTCAGGTGTGGGGTGTTTCGAACTATGCATGACAATAATAATCAGCTTTAGAGTTTCTTGCATATTCTGTGTGGGCCTTTTACTGACTCACTCCATCCTCTCATTCTAGTAAACACGTGGGCTACTGTGTGATCTCTTTATAATATTAGTCATCATCAAACACTCTTCACTTATAGCCTTGTTTTGCTATCACACCATTTCTTTGTGAGTGACTGAAAAACAGAAGTAATCCCAACAGATTCTGCTTATTGTGGCCCTCTGGTGACTGATTGTGTAAAGTGATACAGACTGCTATGGGGGTACATTGGCACCCGGACAACCAGTCATTCCCTTCAGATGGAGCTTGTAACTCTATCTGGGTTGTGATATCACAGACTGTGAACAGAGAACAAAGATGAAAGCTTGTTAACAATGTCTCAAATGTGGAGATTGCACAAGCATGCGCAGACACTATGCACACAGTGAAATGCACTGTTCTCACACTAACCTCTTATATACATTTGCATTTATTTTGATATATTGATGGTAAACAAGTAAAATAATGCTGAGTACTCATTGTTTGTCATGATAAAATGTCGTACACACATGCGCATATGTGCTTGTTTACTGAAAATTGTTTCATCATCAAATACTGATGTTGTTGAAATTGTTTAGCAAATTCTTTTCATTGTAAACTTTGAATATTCCACAAATGTGAATATTAATTCCACATGAGTGAATATCAATAGTTTTTTTTAGTACATTTTTAGGCATGAAGTGGTTCTCAAAGTGGGGTCCGCGGACCCCTGGTGGTCCGTGAGCTAAAGCCAGGGGGTCCGCGAAATAATTTATAACAACCTATAACGTTTTTTCCGTGCTATGTTTTCTTTATCATCTGAAAACATGCTATTTATTCCTAAGTAACTTATATAATGCATTTAACATCAAAGTAGACACTTAAAGTTTTCTTTAGATAGATAATCTATGTCTGTGCGTCAAGTAGACTATTCGCTGCTGTTGATTTTGCGGGACGTGCGCCAGAAAGGAGACAGATCGACGGCATGAATCCGCATCCGGTTGTTTTCTGTATTTTTAAAAGGCATGACATTTTGTAGTCATTTATAATGTAGCCTATACACAAATAAAAAATGGACACTTTACCGTTTCGGATGATGCACTCTTGTCTTATCTATGACCATAAATAAGAGTATTCCTGTTTCCACTGCTAAGGAAAAATTCCCACGTAATCGCGCGCCGGCGTTTTGCGTGCGCGCACGTACAATAGTTAGTTCTAGCACTGCTAGATTTGACAAGTCTGATCATTATCAAAATAAAAGTGCGTAGGGACAAGGCCATAACCATTGAGGTTGCATGCACATCGACATCGCGATGATAACTGACCTTCTCGTCTGAGCTGCTTCAGCAAACTAACAACGACAGCTCAATGTCAAAATGTTTGAGTCGGAGTGAACTCAAAGTTCTCTGCACGACGCGAATCCCCGCACGACGTTTCTGTCAACGGTCATAAAGTGCGAGATAAGATGTAGGCCTAAATTAACATAAACTAAACAGCTGTTTTAGATAAAAGTTAAAAAACGACTGAAACAATCAGTTTGCAAAGTATTAACCGAGCTCAACTTTAACAAAGGAAAAAGCAGGTCAAGAGAAACATACTGTGCCCATGAGATTAACATTATGGATTCATATATTTAACATATACTGTATGATTTTTTTTTTAGCTAATTACAGTAGCTCAAATTAACAATGCACACACATATTAAACATAATGCCATTATGTATTTATAGGCTTATGGGCTTTATGTGTGTGCAGAATAGGCCTAATCATTGAAACATTTCTCTTTTAAGGGCCATTCCTGTTTGGAATATGTGATTGTGTTCCGTGACATCTTGACAAAAAAAATGTATGCCACTGCCCACTGACATGCTCATGCACATGTGTAGATCAAGAACATCAAAAATTCCTAAGTGAGGGATCCTAAGTAGATTCCTAGCAAGATCACTTTTGGGACCTCAGTAGGCTATTCCTGCCCTGGGTGGAGACCATTAATTTTGGGCAAAAATATTTCATTAGCCGCTCACACATTAACTTTGTGCTCAATAACGGTTATAAATATGAGGGGGGTCCTTGGACATTTTTTCCCCCTGAAAGGGGTCCCTGGCTCCAAAATGTTTGAGAACTACAGGACACTGAGTTGATGGAGTGGAGTAGTCAGCCTGTAAACAAATACATCACAGCATGTATAGACACTCTCATTCTGAATTCACTTATCATGGGTGTCTGTGTGGACAGAAGCTCCGCCCCAGTCTGGTGTGGACAGTGATCTTCGCTTTCTCTCCTTCAGTTTTAATTAAACCTATAGAGCCTATAGTGATAAAGCCTACATCTTACAGAAATATTATAATAGTAGGCTACAACTATATATTACATCATATTTTACTCTATAACTCTACCTTAAAACTTTAAAAAACCTCATAGTATCACCAGTAGATGAACAACTATTACAGAGTGGAAACCTTTACTCCAGCGTCATGGAAAATTTTATCAGGCGTCTAAACTAAATAGCTCTATCTCCAGATATGGTTCACTATGTGAGCCAATGGGGGTGCTAGGGCTAGCAGAATGCATTTTTTTTCTCTTGGCTTTTCCATCCGCACTACAGTCTTCTTAGCAGTTTGGAGTGAATATACACAGGCTGTTTAATGGTTGAGACACTTCCTGAACTCTAATAGTCTAAATTGCCAGTACAGAATGCATCTGTGTTTGGGAGACTGGTGGACCCAACGATTCTGTCATCAATCACTTTGTCTAATGTTCAATGTAGCTGGTGTGGTCTTTCACACACAAAAACTCTCACCCATGCATTCTCACTTCCATACACACTGACACGCATGCATGCACACACATTAATTATACAATCACATCTATATGCCAACCCCCTTCATCCCCCATTCTCACAAACACATTTTAACAGACAAAAATAAATTCTTGAAATTTTACTCAGATCATATGTCACTGCCTCGAGTGGTCTGCCATTATGGATCACAAAACATAATTTGTCCAGTGAGCAACTAAAGTTCTTGGGGTGAGGTCTATGGCTGCATAGCAACTAAACTCTGCACCAGCATGAGCACTTCTCTGTTTCCGCTGATCTAAGGTCAGTTTAACATGACATTTCTCACTCTCAGCCCATTCAGAGCAGGAAAAGCACTGCCTCGCACTCAGCTTTGTGCCTAGCCGAATAGAGGAGAGAAATGAGCGGAAACCTGTTGTTGTAAAAGTCATTCAGGCTCAGAGGAGGAACTCCTCTCTCTAAAAGTAGTCCGGCCTCCTTTACAATAAGTTGTCAGATAGTCACTCTCACTCACAAACACTTTTTGACTGCTTATTTTTGTGCAAAAATTTGTGCAATGTCATATTTTGCTTCTTTATGCTTTGCATTATTACAGATTAACATTTTACAGCAAATTAACCTTTTAGTATTTTTTTTACTGGTCTGGAGAGTGCCGTTTCCTCCTGACTTCTGATTCTTGAGTCTTTTGTACACGTTTTGCTCCATCTAGTGGAATGGGATGGAAAGAAAAGCACATCTGACTGGAATGTTCCACGTGACACACACGCACAGCAACAACAACAAATCTGCAGGTTGAAATTACCAGCAGCAGCATTAAATAAAGATGTTCATCTTATTCATAATTCATGCATCTTATTCATTGAGGAATGGAGAATAGACAGTTCAAGTTCATGGGCATGGTGAATATCTGTGGTGAGGGCATTTCCACACTGTAAAAATTTTTTTTTTTCCTGATTAGTAATCACAACATTTTTTCTTTTGTCAAATCAACTTAAATAATTTATTTAGTTCAGATAACATATCATTTTGAGTTTCTGATGATTAAATCATTCTCCATTGTATTAACTCACTTTTTCCATTTCAATGAACTTGAAATTTTAAGGCAACCAGGTTACTTACTTTTTTAAGTTAAACCAACAGTATTTTTTTTTTTTTTACAGTGTAGAGCACTCTCTGCTGGTCAGGGGCCTCATTTACGCACAAAACAGGCCCTGTAAGAGATTTGCGCACATGCATATGTGCCGGCAAAATGTTCGATTCGTGCCACCCTGGATTACCAGGCAATAAGAGCTCTAAAGGCGCACAGGTTCATATAAAAAAAAATGGGTGGATAGGTGGATTTGGCCCTTCTGCAACCAGAGGTGGACAAAGTAACATACACAACTTCCATAACTTCATGCATTTCCTTAGATCGGATAGCTATCATGATTTATCGATTTAATTTACACCTGGCCATGCATAAACGGGCAAAACGGATAGGTCTATAAATCCGATCTTCGATTCCCGTTGCAGATTAAATAGAGTGCACGTCACCGAAAGCAACAGATATAGGCTATTGCTGCATTTTATTAATCTTTCACTTTACTTTCACTTTTGCCATAATTTCCAGCGCGTTGGCTAATAGGCCTATGGCAAGTCGCTCAGCTGCTCATCTGTGGCGATGCGTGTCGCAGCGTCATCCTATCGGACTAAAACATGACATGCCTGTAACAAGCTCTTTATTTATTCAAAAACAAGGCAAAGATAGGCTACATCCGTATCTCATATTTTCCTAATGTCTACCGTTAAAAGTGATATCAAGTGGATGAATAAGCAAATGCAAATTATATGCAGATGAGGACATGCATAGTAAAACAAGGTGTAATCTCCATGTGGTTATTTCGGGAGGAGACACATGTGCTTCTTCCACTGACTGGGATTTTTCAGGGAATTTTGAGGTTCGGGGGTGAGCACGGTTTTAAAAGTCTGAATTTTGGCTTTCGGGACGGGGACACACTTTTAGTAAGGATCCTACGCAAAGTTTTATAAATGAGACCCCAGGTAGGCCTACCACATCAATAAAATACAATTTCTCTCAAAAACTTTTATATAGACCTACACTGTAAAAAAAATATTGATGGTTTAACTTAAAAAAGTAAGTAACCTGGTTGCCTTAAAATTTTAAGTTCATTGAACTGGAAAAAGTGAGTTAATACAATGAAGGAGAATGATTTAATCATCACTCAAAATTATATGTTATCTGAACTAAATAAATTATTTAAGTTGATTTGACAAAAGAAAAAATGTTGTGATTACTACACTGTAAAAAGATATTGTTGGTTTAACTTAAAAAAGTAAGTAACCTGGGTTGCCTTAAAATTTTAAGTTGATTGAACTGGAAAAAGTGAGTTAATACAATGAAGGACATTAATTTAATCATCATAAACTCAAAATAATAAGTTATCTCAACTAAATAAATTATTATCAAGTTGATTTGACAAAAGAAAATATGTTGTGATAACAAATCTTGAAAATATTTTTTACAGTGTAAAAGAAACCTGAGATCAATAATTAGATGGGACATGTTAGCCTTAAAAGAAAAATATATAAAGCACTAAAGGGATAAAGGTGACTTTTAAAAAAAGAGGGATAATTATAATTACAAAAGCTTAAACCCTAACCAAAATCCTGAGTCAGTCCACCCTTGGTAACACCCCAAGGCAGCAGTCATGTAAATACTTAAATAGCCTACCTCAAACTGTTTGTCAGTGTTAGCCTACATTTAAGCAAATCAGACAACAATGATATCATAAATTGTACTTCTTTTGCATAAACATATAATTTTCTCCTATTATTTTTCGCACAAGTGAACTGTCTCCAAGTTGAGGACATCGCGGGGAGGGAGGTTTTAGGAAATTTTGGGGAACACTTTTTTTTTAATGGGAACTTTTCTAGAAGAAACAAACCTGTCTTGTTGTCTTTCAAAGCAAAGCTCAGTAAATATGAGTAAACAAGTTTCATATTGGGGCTACATTGTTGCATGAGACCAGTTACGACAGCTTTGACCTCAAATCATTGGCCCCAGTTGGCAAAGAGGGAAACATGGCTAACATAAGCTATGTGCATGTGTGTGTGTGTGTGTGTCAGTAAGTTATGAGAGAATTTACTCATTCTCCAGAATGAAAGGGCACAAAAATAACCCCCCAGAAATTATTAAGTGGCTGTAGGATCTAAACAGTTTTGTAACAGCTGAGCTAAGCCCACCCCATAAAAAGTAATAGGATAATCCTAGGCTAAAGAGAAGCTCTAAAGCATGTAAAAAAATGTCCCCAATGCATGAGACAGTGTCTTTGTTTGTGTTACAGAGTGTCTGGCACACTGACAACATTCCGTAAACCTGCTCAAATTTGATTTAGGCCAAACGTGACTACATTCCCGTGAATTTAACATCTAGAATCTAGACAGTAGAGGGCGCTTTTACACTACATCACTGGCAATTTTATCCTACAGAATCAGAATGAAAATTATTATGATTATTATATAAAAATGATGATAGAAAAATGATATAGAATGATGTTGCCAAATACTTTAACACACACAGTAAAAAAACAAAAACAAACAAACAAACAAACAAACAGATAATACAAATAATTGATTTGTAATAAGTCATATTATAAAATAAAATATATTTATATATAAATGTACAATTGGAAAGGCACGTCTAGGTCTGTGGTTGCTGACAGCTGATTGACTTGTTCTCGTTTAAGCACTGCTGTAATTTAAAAACTATATGATAGCTACATAAGTTGTCGGCTGGTACGTTTGGACTATCCGTCAAACAGTCATCAACATCTGAGCTAAATATAACATCGTTGATGCAGGGCATTTATAAACAAGGCGAATTGGGGGCGTGGCAATTGCGCAGGTGAGATCAGACAGACTCCGCCCACTGAGGGGCAGCTCCCCTGACTCGTGACGCATCCGGAGCAGGGCGGGACGGGGAAGTGCAGCAAATAGCTAATGCTGAATGTGATTAGGAGAGTTTGGACAACAGCGGAGCATCAGCAGATATCTGAGATCTCCTTGGAGACACACCTGTTGAGCTGCAGGAACTTCTTACGACTTCTGCTTTCTGATTTTCATCGAGGCCATCGGTTGAGAATTCAGAAATGACGGACACTCTTATTCCCAATGGGTGCAAGACCAACGGACCGGTGGAGAATGGCTGCTTCAAAAAGGTAACGTTAAGAGAGACTCGGACTTTCATTTCTGTTTTTCTCGAAGGTTCCGTAGCTGACGGTAAATTCCTCAACACCTTAAATTAGTCACGATCTTAGATGTAGGTTATGTAGCATCACTGCAGTTTTGCTAGTGTCATTTTGAAAAGATTCGTGACTTGTATTTTCTTTCATGAGTTGTAGACGTGAAATGTTCATAATAAGTGAAGGACATTCAGCCTCCTTTCTTCATAAGGTGCTTGTAACAGGATCTGGTGGAGATGAGGACACATCTGCTCTGCTGTCCAAAAAACAAAACAAAAAAAACAAAAAACAATGCCAAGAGAAGACAATTTTGACTCGGAAACAAACAATTAACCATGTCATTTATTGTTTGAACGATTACCACTGATTTAAAAAAAAAATTCCACCTTATTCACAACATTCATTTGGTTTATATAAAGGTCCCTTACAAACAAAACAAAACAAAACAAAAAAAACATATTAACCATGCTCCAGGTAGTGCTATTGTTATTAGGAGGGCCTGCAACTATGATTATTTTGATAATTATTTAGTTACTAGTTAGCATTATTTTTTTTTATCTTATTAATTTGAATTCATATTTTACAAAAAAAATGTTATTCTATATCCTGCCCAGTGCTGTGCTTCAAACAATGTGCCATTTGAAGGCAATGCATAGCAGTGAATGTAGGCTATAATGCTATGAAAAACTAAAACTGGTATGAGGAACACATCTCATTTTACTCCATAACAATAATACATTGAGATACTGCTCTTAGAAAAATATATTCAATTACTAGTGTTACATCTAGAATTTTATTCTTGCAGTTAATACCTAATGACAAATATTTAGAAAAAATGTAGCCTATGTTTTTTTGCCAGAACTAATGCATTGCTAAGTTTAATCTATAAATTCATTAAACTTTGTTATCAATTATTCTTATAGAGTCAATAAAAAAATTATAGAGTTTCTAATTCTCTAATTCGGAACCACTGTCATAAACAAGACCAAAGACAATCCCATATTATATGATGATTTTGCAGAACTATCATATTTTGGGGGAAACTGTGGTTATTTAATATAAATTATTTATAAGCAAGTTGTGTAAAGTGTTGTTTTTGCCATTTTCTTGTCTTTTTATTTGGACAATTTTGACTTCTTTAAATTCAGTTTCTGCAGTGATCATGGTGAAATTGTCTGTGTTTTTGTAAACCATTGAGGGATTACAGTATTTGGTATTACTCTCCACACATATAAATACTTATCTTGTGTCTGTCTTCTTGTGTACATCTATGTGTTTGTTGACTTTTGGAAGAGTAATGTGTGACATGTTTCTGACATGTATCATAGACTCTGGATGGAATTTAGTTTTGCTAGTGTGAATGGCAGCTGAAGAGATCTATTGTTAAATTGTGTAACTCTGTTGATCTCACCGCTCATTTGTGTTGAGAGTATAAATTGGCCTTTGTTGTGCAGGTCTTATTGATATTAAAGTGGTTGATGGGCTGCATAGTGATTTCTTCTGGAATGTTTGTCTTTGTCTGAAAGCGCTTTCATACGAACAGAGAAGTAAAAATAATTAAAAAAAACAAAAACAAAAATGCTTCACAGACTGGCTTTTCTGAATCAATATGAGCAGATATGTTTATGGTACTGTAAAGCTGAATGGATTTTTAGAGGAAATGCAGTTTTTTGTTTGTTTACATTTCCTGTGTCTCATTTTCATTTATTACATGAATTCTTTGAAAAGGAGTGAGGAAAATGAGTCTGCAGCGAGAAGGTTTCAGGCCTGTTACCAGGTGGGAGCTGGCTCAGACCGGTGATGTGGTTTTGGTCCATTTCCTCCTGAGCTGATCCTGCTTGCGCTGCACTGCTTAGAGAAACTGAATCGCAGATTCAGCATTTCCCCCCCCCCCCAGTTTTCCTCCTATTAGTGTTGCATCTGCCCAGTGACAGTGCATAGCCAAACCACAAACATTAATGAAACACAGATGCTCCCATCTCATGTACTGGTATAGGCAAGAGAAGCTGTTCTGTGATTTAGGATTAGTATAACTTGGCTTCTGAACATCTCATAGGCAGCATTACGTAAAGTGACCGATCAACTATGATTAATAAGGAAAGAGTGCATCTTAAACTAAAAAGAAAAATATCATCAGAACGGCATACTCCCTGTTGCCTAATTCTTTAATGTTTACTGTAGCCCAACTTTGAGACAGAACGGTTAGTCATTGGATATTCTCAAGGCTAAGAATATAAATTAATATTTGTTACCGTAGCCTCATATTTGTGCGGACAACCTACCATATATAATGGTTGCAAAATGTTGAACACTTATACAACTCAGTTGAGGCCCTCTCTCATTTGTCCCTTGGTTTGATTAGGACCTTGTTTCTGCTCTGTCTGCACTGTTAGTCCAGGGTAATTGCTGTATGTTTGTGGAGCACAGTTGTGCTGGCAGCTATTTGGATCTGCTTCGCTAAACATTGCCATGGTCAGTATTCTAGAATGTGAAGAGGTCACGTCTGGTCCTTTTGACAACCACTGTTGCATTGAAAGACAGCCCATGTTTATACTGCAGAAGACTATAGACCACATTCACATTCAGTCAGATTATTAACAAAAGTGACAAGCATATTATATAATTGAATTGACTAGCTTACATTTTCTGTGCATTTCAGCCAACCTATGTTGTGTAAACTAATCCTCACAGGGCAGCTAGTCTGTCATGCCATGCAATATGAGAGGCTCTCTGCACTGCACATGTTCGTATCTCACGTGTGGGTTTTTTCCCTCCCACATTTGGGGTTTTGGTAACTGACAGAGATATGAGCTGTGTGTTATCTGACACTTTTAGGTGCGTTGTGTCTCTATTCCACCAGAGCTGTACTCATCTGCACTTTAAAGCATTGTAACGCCAAAGTCTTAATTAAAATTTGATAGATAAACCTCGATAGTAATCATTATATAGACCATTTCACAAGATGTAAACAACACTAGTCCAGAAGCACTTCCTGTCTCAGTTTTTTAACACTACATAAAAGCTGGGATAAAATACAACCAACAGAACATATAAAACTGAATCAAAAAGTTAAACAAACATCTTTAAGATGTTTTCTTTACATGTGAAATAAAGAAAACAGTTACAAACTGAAACAGGAAGTGTTTCTGGACCAGTGTTGTTTACATCTTACAAAATGGTCTATAAAAAAATATTGTGTTGTTTAAAATTAGTCATGGCTGTTGCAAGAATAGAAAATGGTATTGACTTTGGTTATACAACCTGCTACTGTATCATAATTCAAGAGTCACATTGGAGAGATTTGGGTGAAATTTTGTGAGCAAACAGTCCATTGTCCACTTCTAATAGTATCTCATGAAGCACCACTTCACAGAGGTCACCTTTAAACCAAGCAGCATTCCATGATGACTTCATTCTTGTACCTGATGTGGAATCTATGCATAGAATATTTGTCAAGATAAGAGCAGTAAGCAGTTTGCATTTTTATCCATCTAGATTGAGACCAGCCTCCTATAAATCAGACCTCCTCCCTCAGCTATCAGATTTATGACAGATAGATACTCTCTATAGGTGTGTCTGGGTGTGAAATTGATCTCCTTACATCATGTACTGTGTACGCCACACCTTACTGACGTAACAAGATGTGTCGGCTGGCATGTGCTTGTGTGTTTATCTTTTATAGGAGCTATGGAATGCATTGCAGTTGTTATTTATAAGACTGTGAAATGTTCACAGTGTATAAAAACAGAAAATAAATTCATTTTATGTTAGCTGTCTATAGGGAGCCAGCGCGCCAAGACCCATGTAAATTGTTGTTAATCTCTTTCTCTCCATCTCTTTCTCTGACAGGGATGCAATCCATTTGCTCAGACTGGCCGCAGTAAACTGCAGAATAAAAGAGCAGTTCTCAACCAGAAAATCATCAAACAGATGAGGATGAGAGCTGGAGCGGAGAACCTCCTCAAGTAAGTCAAGCACACTTACAAGCGCTCCTTTATCACCCTCACATGTTTGTCTACTGGCATGTGATGTGGGTGGATATGCAAACAAATGCAGGACATTTTTCCCAAAACAACCCAATAATGTTTCAATCATTGACGAAACAAGTTTTCTTTTAAATAAAGCTTTGTAGTCTTTCATTCAATGTTTTGCTTTGGTTACATAACATCTGTCTTGAAGTATCTGGGACTACCGGGATCTGTCGGGTAAATCTTTTCACTGTTTTGGAGGAATCCTTTGCTCTTTTTGAGATGAGGTTTCAGCCAGAAGCCTTGCTGCTAACCTGTCGTCAAATAATTTGTCTGTATGTGTGCAAAAGCCAGTGTTTGGAGCTCATCTGCACTCTTATGTCACCTGTCAGCTGAGCCATTAGCATTTTTACCTTTAGATTTGGAGTTGATGATAGATACAGTAACATTGTGCCTTTGTTAAAGCTGATGACTATAGAGGCTGGGAATGCTATTTGTGAGATTTTACAGACCTGATAGATACCAGTGGAGCCTAGGACTAGGACATTGAAACCATAGCTTTCTTACCTGTACCTGTACTTTCTTTTGGGCGGAATGACAGAATGACCCCCCCTTCGACACCATCATGACTAAAAGTTTGCAAAGAATTATTCCCTAAAAAAAAAAGCGAGGTGGTTTTTGACCTTTTTTTTGGTTAAGTGTATCCATAGCAGACTGGTGGGAGTGACCTTAGACAGCAACATGATAGTGTAAAAGGGTAGGTTTTATGTTTTCTCTAGCCAGGTACTGTAGCACCAATTTAAAAAATCTTTTTGACTTTCTGTATAGGCAGTCACGTTTTATTGAAAGCCCATTTTGCCAGAGATGAAGTAATATTTTCACCCGTAATCTCTTAAAAAAAACTTGATTTGCTTAGATCAGTTTATTTCTTTTCTTTGAGATATATTTACCATGGAAAGTCCTTTTTCGAACATTCTAGCAGCCAGCTAACAACAAATACTGGCCCTGATTTGAATGTTAACTGCTGTCATCCATGTGTATAGCCGAACTGGACGAAAACTAAAAATGCAAAGTATCATGCAAATAATTTTTTTTAGTGTCACCTTTCTGGTGTTCTGTAGCACGCTAATATGGCATCAAGGAAGAATGTTTTCATACAAAGAACACATCAGTTCACAGATTGTTATTGGCACTGGTGTTTCTAAAACCAAACGTTGTGAATAAGAATTTGGAATCGATTGTTCAGTGTAACTAGTAACGTTGTTTGAATAGTGATTCAAATTCTTGTTCAAACTGAAAATTCAGGGCTTACTGGGGTGAAAACCTAAACCAAAAATTGTCATTTTAAATTAGCCTTTGTTAAAATTAATAATTTTTCTAATTGAGTACATTCACTTTCTTCAATTGGTATGGCTTATTGACAAACACTTTTATGATGTGCAGTAAACAGAATGTCATTACCAAAATAGCTGTTTATTTAGTTGCATAGAGTTTTTATATTTTTTAAAATCATTTTGAAAGAAGTCTCATATGCTCACAAAGACTGCATTTTTTTTTTGTTCAAAAAGTAAAAGTACTGTGAAAGACTGAATGTGAAATGTTAAAGGGATAGTTCACCCAAAAATGAAAATTAAGTCATTAATTACTCACCCCCATGCTGTACCAACCTTCGTTCATCTTCGGAACACAAATGAAGATATTTTTGATTAAATTTGAGAGCTGGATCACTACCACATAGGCACCCTAGGGATTGAAACTTTATGGCCCAAGAAAGTCATTGAAGAAAATGTTAAAATATTCCAGGTGACAACAGTGGCTCAACTATAAGTGTATCAAGCGATCTTGTGTATCTTTCTCCTGCATTAGCTCTATCCACCTGGAAAAAGCAATCCCGACATTAACTCGTGTTTTTTTGTAATCTCCGGTCACGTTTCCTTTTACGATCTATTTTGGACTTTTCTGGCGACGAGGATTTGCAATGCAGCTTTTTAAACTTGCCGGGGTAGTGACAAGCACCTCTCACTGCTTCTCCGTTTTTGCTGCTTTCAGTCACGTCACGCTGGGTCTGAACAAAAACGCACTGTGGAAACACTTTGGCCTAGTACTTTTTGTCCCTCTGCTAATATAGTTTTTCCATATGGCGGAACTACATGGGAGCCTCCGTGGACCTACCCGTCTTATGTATATAAAGATAATAAATTCTTCGTTTACAAGGATGTCAAATAATTGGCAGAGGTATTTGTAGACCTTTGAGGACATATTTATGAATAAAAATATTGATTTTAAATAATAAAATACGTAAAAAAGTACACATCGTCCCTTTTAGGTAAAACATCTTACTTAGTCTTGCTTTAAGTCTTTACAGTCACTTTTGAATTTAATGTGTTATTGCTGAATTGAATTAGTAATTTCTTTTAAAAAAAAACTGATCAAAATTTTGAGTAGTAATCTACATATATTTTGGCCTATTTTCTTTCAGCTGCTGAAATTTCAGTTTATCAATGGTTTTGAATACTGTAACTGATGCAAATTGTGTCGGGACACAAAAGCTCTGATTGTTCTTTGGTTTGATTGTAGGACATAATTTGCCTGATTGTAAACCTGGCAAGTGCTAGACTGTCTGTCAGATTTCAGTTCTGTTCAAGGAAGCATTCATATAAATGAAACGTGAGCCAGTGAGAAGCACTGACATCTTTCAGTGAACACCTACGCTCATTCAGAAATGACACATATTTGTGATATTTGACATAAGTTTACAGACCTGCTGCTGTATCTTGTTGTGAAAATCACAGCTCATACATTACATTACCTCTCTCAAAAGATCCCAATGTTTTTCCCTGTATGATAAGCACACACTGTAACATTGGGCAAACCGGTCACCATGGGGATGTTAAGTGTGTCTGTTGTCTCCATGGTTTTGAAGGACACACCTCCTGGGTTGGTCCTTGGAGCAGAGCGTTTGATTTGCTTTGACATCAAAGTGGCTTTAAATCTTAACAGAACAATAAAGTTTGGACAAGCTCTCTTTGACTCTCTGTAGGTTGATGATATGTTGGTTAAATTATTGTTATCTGACATTGGCTGGCATTTGGATGGATCTTGTGAGCTGGAACAAGGCTGGCTCCAAGCAGATACAAGGCAAAAAGGAGTTTGCTTTTAATCTCGAAGGAATGTTTCTAGTCAAATTCCAACTGGTCAACAGGTGACAGTTGTGACAGGTACACTAGTGAGGTCATTGCAAGGCTGTGATGTGTGTAAATGGCCCTGAGGTCTTCTGTCAGCCTGTTTTACACGTTCACACAGGCACGCACACAGACATATCAGCAGAAGCTGTTAAACTTTGTGAGGTGACTGTAGTGCGTCTCTCACACGTACGCAAACGCTGCCTGAGGATCTTTCTGTCGATACTTCAGTGAAACACTTTAAATACTTCTGTGTTTAATGTGTGAGTCAGATCTAAAGATTGTACGCATTTTAATGATGTTCATGAGTCAGTTTTATAGCCCTTCAATAGAGTCGGATTTATGAGTGTTTTTCCTTGCCTGATGTATAATTTTGGGATGGATTGTGTATTCTTACTCAATCTCTTTACCTTCCATTCATAGCTGCTCTATGTTCAGAGGTAATCTGGAATGTTCTCTCATTCATGGGTCTCAGAGGTTTGTGGTTCATAGGTGAAGGGACCACAAATTTATTGTAAGGAAGTCAGCCTCTCTCTCTCTCTCTCTCTCTCTCTCTCTGTGGTGGCATTGAGAAACCCATCTTTCTGATCTAAGTGGCTGTAATCCACATTCTTGTGTGTTTGTTAGAGTTAGCCTACATGCTCAACCGGTTTCATTGAGTACTTATTTCGGAACGTCCCACCCTGTCAACATGCATTTGTGTGTGTGTGTGTGTGTGTACTTTTTTTAAAGCCCTTCTGATGTTGAAAGTGAACCACTACATTTTATATATGTATATGTGTGTGTGTGTGTATATATATATATATATATATATATATATATATACACACACACACATATATGTGTATATATACACATATATACATACATACATATATATTTGTAATTAAAGATTTGAAAAGGAGAGAGAGGTTAATTTCTCACTCGGGTTGATGCGATTCCATCAGTGAGGGATGTTGTGTTGGGTATTAAACAATGGCAAACATGACTCATAAGAGTTATATTTACTTGAAATGTGTCTACTTGAAAAGACATCCTGATCTACATTGTCACACATTATATAATTATTGTTAGTATTAATAGTATTACAACTTGGTACTCTTCCCCAAGTTGTTTGTTAGACAAGGAATGTGGTTCTTTGTGTGTGTGACAACTGTGTGTGATAATAAGAACTCAAGTGTCATGCAGTCCAACCTGGCCTCACCTTCACCTCACTTCCTCCCGTTGACAAGATTTTAGATTTGAAGTCACAGATGAAACGGGGCTATTCAAATGTTCGTCTGTCTCTCTATAATGTGGTGTTTTATTGGCTTAAGTCAGGCATATTTCTTTTTCCTATTGAGTGAGTGTTTTATCAGGACTGTGTGGTTTAATTCTAATACCTTTCTTAGACGAGCGTGGCTGTACTGCACACTTGCCACTTATTTTTATCATGTGCTGGTAAGCACACAAAATAACAAAAGCTACATTCTTATCAGCCTCTCCCTTTTGTACTGCAGATGTTGAACTAGCAGGACATTTCAAACCAGAGACATTGTAAAATTGTGCAAATGATGCCATGTTTTTATGACCTCTGCTTATCCTCTCTCCCTCTCTTTCTCAAGGGCGACGTCTAATAATAAGGTTCGGGAGCAGGTGGTGCTGGAGTTGAGTTATGTCAACTCAGATCTACAGCTGCTTATGGAACAGCTGGAAGGACTCAACAGCTCTGTGGAAGTTTATCAGAACGTACAGTAAGTACACGCACACATAGCACTGATTAGGATGAAGAAAGATACAGTGGGAACTGCCTCCCTCAAGGCAGATTAAGATCCATTCTAGAGAAAAGGATGCACAGTTACCAATCACGCACATGTCCAGTTTATCTCCCTGATGAATTACAGTAATGTAAGGGGTGTGTGCAGAGTGATATAAGAGCAGACACTCTGCTGAACTCCCTGCTCACTGCCCTGTATGAAGATGTAGATGTATGTTTGAATATTGCAGAAATCAGCAAAGCTTTTTTGGAAATTCTGCGGATACAGATTCCATGTAAGCATGCACATAAATTTTATGCGATTATGATTTGTATCTCAGAAGGAATTTTGTGAGCTCCTGCTACAGAGTCATAAGGCCTTCCAGTAGGAAATTTACGAAAGGTCAAATTTATACAAAATATCTCTCTGTTTGGACATAAATAATCCAGTCATTCAAATGAGTTTCCAGCAATTAGCAAACCACAGCAATCCACCAACCCCATCACATCCTGATGGACAAAAGTCCTACCCAACGTTTTTTATTTCTTGTTTGAGAAGCCTTTTAACTCAGATATACTTCAAAATAGTGAAAAATTCTTTTGCAATTTCTGTTTGAGTATTAAGTCCCTGCTACATGACTGCCACAACAACACCAATAGTTATTTTTTATTACTATGAAAGTCAATGGGTTCCATTAACTGTTTGGTTACCCATATTCCAATCCTCAATATGTCTTCTTTTGTGTTCAGAAAAAGAAAGAAATTATCAGTCATCAGTTTTCAATGTAGCTAACTTCAAGGGTTAGTTAAGCCAAATGAAAATTAAGTCATTAATTACTCACCCCCATGATGTACCAACCCAGTCAGACCTTTGTTCGTCTTCAGAACACAAATGAAGATATTTTTTTTTACATTTGAGAGCTGGATCACTGCTACATAGGCTCCTAAGGGAATGAAACTTGACGGCCAAGAAAGTTATTGAATAAAATGTTTAAATATTCCATGTGACTACAGTGGCTCAACTATAAGTTTATCAAGCGACAAGACTTACTTTTTGTGTGGAAATAAAACACAAAAAGTATTCTATACTAAAATAACAATTATATTCACTATTCCTTTTCTTCCTTCTGGGCCTGAGACAAGAGTTCAAGAGATTTCCACGACGCATGCGTAAGAATTGCGCAAGTAGTTGAAGGAGATCGCAATTCTCACGCATGCGTTGTGGAAATCTCTTGAACTCTCGTCTCAGGCTCAGAAGGAAGAAAAGGAATAGTTGAATAAAGTTGTTATTTTTGTTTTATTTCCGCACAAAAATTATTCTCGTTGCTTGATAAACTTATAGTTGAGCCACTGTAGTCACATGGAATATTTAAACATTTTATTCAATGACTTTCTGGGCCTTTAAAGAGAAGACAAGACATGGGCTGCAGGTTCATTGGTCAATCTTTACATGAATCAAATTTCCAATAGATAGAGACTCCTCCGTACAACTGGTCAGACAGGTTTATGCAGAGATGGGTTGGCGGGTTGATGATGCTCATCCTCCTTTCTCACACACATGGCACGTGTCTCCTCTCACACGTGTCAGAAGAGGATGTGCAGGAGTTTGTTCAAGTTTTCTTTTAAAAATTTTGTGTCAAAATGAAATTCTGTCAGAATCATCATATGTGAAAAAATGGCATGGCTTTGGATGGTCACACCATAAGCTAGATGGCAATAGAGAGAGGAAAACACGTCTTCTGTATTCAAGGATGTTTAAGTGATTATTTCATTAGGCATACAAAGTAAACCCTGCAGCCAAAATGAAAGGATTCATTAGTGGCAATGCAGTCATGCTTTTTTTAACCATCATGCTGTGTATGTTTTGTTTATTTTCTAGGTTGGAGTGTGTTTCCTTGGTTACAGTTGCATTCTAGTCCTCTTTAAATCCTCTAAGCCCTCTTTTGCCTCTCAGACCACTGTGAGTGAGAGTGTGTGTACACGTACACGCACCCTTGAGTGTGTTTGGCCTGCTTCAACCTCTGCACGAGAACCGTCGTCTTTCTCTGCTCTAAGAAAGCTCAGACATATTTTCAGCTCAAACCCTGCTAAACTGAGCAGTATTGGCCTAGTTCTTCAACAGCATTAGCTTCATAACATGTTGAGGCTTACAGTCTGAGGTTTGTTCCTCTAGGCCAAGCACTAATGAAAGAGTGTTTATCCCCTGTGCCTGAAGGGTTCATAGTAAAGCAGAAAAACCTCCTGCAGACATCTGCACCTGATTCTAAACCCCTGACCTACATCCGTAATTATAACTCACTTAAAAGCTGTTAAAATTAGTTAAGTCTCCCCTTTTTTTCACCCACCCTTTACTTTTTTTTTTTTTTTTTTACTTTACTCACCCTCATATTGTTCCAAACTTGTATGGGTTTCTTTCTTCTGCTGAACACTATATATATATATATATATATATATATATTTTTTTTTTTTTTTTTATAATGTTTTAAATGGAAGCCACACTTCAAGCCAGTAGGGTCCAAAACAACACCATTTGTATGAATTTTTTTTTTTTTTTATCAAAATATCACCCCTTGTCTTAATTTTCGGTGAACTGTCCGAGTTTAACAAAGGCAGGTTTGACTGAATTTATGTTTCTCAAAATCTTAGATCTTTTGAATTGAAATTTGTTTTGTTGATATATATATATAATCAATGTATCCTATGCTATGATCTGTCGCAGATGGGTTTGGCTCAAATGATCCTTAAATCCAAATTCAAGTTACCAACAAGTGTTTAAATTATTCCATTTTAAAAGCATCCCAGGTGTCTGACGTTGGTTAAAGAACCCCAGCATAGGTATCGGAAGAAACTAAAAGTTTCAGTTTGTTTAATACTTCCATTTGTTTCCTTGCATACTTTTAATAATGTGCTGCTTTAAAATGGTACTAATAGCAGTAATAAAGCAGTAGGTGTGTCAGTTTTGGACAGGCATTGTATTTGTGAGTATATTTGTGGTTGTGCTTTTTGACTTTGAAGTTCTTGCATACCAGCCTGCATTCTTTCTCCTGAATCTCCGGTTACTCTCTTCATCCGCACTGCAAATGTGTTTCTTCAAATTACTACAAACCCTCTTTATTTGTCCTGTAAAACAAACAAACCTTATATCACCTCCTGAATATTGTTGAGTGTGAGAAAAGGAATATTCCCATTGGTGCAGTGTTTCATGCCATGAAGACCAAACAGAACAAGGTCTTCCTGTAACTGCACACAATGTGGCATTCTCTTTTGCACCTGGCTTCCAGCTTACTGTGTGTGTGTCTGTGTCCGTATAAGTACAGAACTGCATTCTTTCATTTCTTTCATGCCCTACTCCCCCTTCTATCCCTCTCTGTCTGTTTTTGAACCAAACGTTTTTTTCTCATGGCTTGAAGAGTGTACAGACAAACCTGTCTTCTGTTCTCTGTGTATCACTGCAGTAAATGTTCTCTGCACTGTGATTGGTTTGCCTTCTTTGAAGTTCTTATTACATAGTGCATGGCGTGGCGAACATGGTGGATGTCAACATGTTTTTATGATGTATGATTCAGTGTTACATTTGCAACGTGGACATGTTATTGTTATTCTCTAGGAGTTTGAAATTATCTTTTGTTTCCTGTTTGAGAGTGAGTTTTTGTATCTTGGGCCGCAAGTAATCTGTTCCAGAATTTGAACGGCCAAATTGGTTACACTTTACAACAAGGTTCATTTTGTTAACCTTAGTTAACAAAATTAAATATGAATTGGAATTAGATAACAAGAATTAGATAACAAAATGAATTAGATAACAATAAATAAAATGTATACAGCATGTACTGTATTAATCGAGATTATATATATATATATATATATATATATATATATTACATAATGCATTGATATCAATTAATACTCCAAATGTTCAAACTTTTGTATCACTATATATATTATTCTACTGTTAAAAAGTTTAAAGTCAGAAAGATTTAGTTTGTTTTAAAAGGCTGCATTTATTTGATTAAAAATACAATAAAAAGAGTAATGTTGTGAAATATTATAATGTTAAAACTTTTCTGAATAGAAAGTTCAAAAGAACAACATTTATTTGAAAGAAATATTTAATAGCGTTAGTATCATAAATGTCCTTACAGTCTAACTAAAATTCTGTTTTTTTTAGGCATAGAGAATTTAGTTTACAGGCACATCTCCTTGAAGCACGAGTGAAATTTCCTCTGATCCAGCAATATTTCTCACAAACATTTCCCAGAACCACACTGGTGCTGCTCTGTTATCTGTCATCTAGATGCAATCAGGACAGACCAGGACTGCCTCTCATCAGCTCACACTCAAGTGTTCTCTAGTCTGTCTTCACCCAGCCTGCTATGAGCTAATGCCCCACCAGTGCAAGCACTGTAGTTAATGCAATGACAACATGCATATTATTATAGTTTGCTGAAGTTTACAAAGTTTGATCAGCACAAAATGTAGCAGACATACCCACTCACACACAGACACATCTTTCTTAGGTCAAATCTTTTTAATAGTCAATATTTTTCTATGACGTAAGTAGGTTAATAGGCTTGTGGTGGTAAACCATACTTTACACGGGTATCTGCGGTTTTAGTCTTAGAGCTGATTGAAACTCGCAGAGAATTGTCATGGTATTTGTAGTGGGTGAAAGGGGTTACGTACACAAGCATGTCTCGGTTCTGAGTCACACGCAGATTAGTGGGTCTGGCCTTTCTGAGTCAGCCTTGATTCGCCTTATTCTTTCCTACTGAAATACTGAAAATGTTCTCCTTTTGGTTTTTCTAAATTGAATTTCTTCTCCCTCTTTGTATTCATTTTACAGAGAGACAGCCAGCATCCCTCTCATCCCTCTGGGACTGAAGGAGACAAAAGATGTTGATTTCTCTGTTCCTCTCAAGGTCAGTTTCTTTCCCGACGACCACTCAATGTTTACCTCAGTTATCAAGGTGGTTTTCATGGTTCTCAAAGCTTTTCTTAGTGAAAACAGAAAGTAGGTCACAGAATAATAAACAAGGAAGTCAAAGACTCAATAAAACATTAATTGCTGCTTTGAAAGTCTACAGTGGTGTTTGATGCATTGGGTTTTATTATCTTTTAAATAAGTGGGTGTTGAGATGTTTGTTGAGAGACGAGGATCAATCAAATGCGTTCAACCTGTAATGACATAGAAATGTAGGTGAATCTATGACAGTGTTATTGTTAAATCTGTCTTCAGACAAGTTAAACCAGGAGAACAGGCTTGTGACTCTGTGGCCTTTTTGTGTTTGTGTTGACATTATCAAGGAATTGATGTGGTAAATGCTTTATTTGAACAGGACTACATCCTGGAACACTACAGTGAAGACGGCTCAAACTTTCAGGATCAGATCGATGACCTGATGGACCTGAGACAGGTATGAACATCTGTAAAAGGTGTCGTGTTTGATTCTTGGTTAATTGAAGTTTAGGATAAAATAAATCTGATAAAAACAGATGCACAAGGCTAACCAATGAGATGTAAACGTAAATGCGTGTTTTTCAGGCCTGTCGGACCCCCAGTCGTAATCCTTCTGGTGTGGATTTGCTTGCCAACTACTTCAGTCAACTTTCCTTCTTGGAGGCTCGATTTTTCTCCCCTACACGCCAGCTTGGCATTTTTTTCACATGGTAGGTTGCATATCATAGTAATATGCTTGTAATGAACTTATACACGACTACTATAGACCATTTTGCAAGATGTAAACAACAAAACTGTTTTCTTTATTTCACATGTAAAGAAAACATCTTAAAGATGTTTGTTTAACTTTTTGATTTCAATTTTATATGTTCTGTTGGTTGTATTTTATCCCAGCTTTTTATGTAGTGTTACAAAACTGAAACAGGAAGTGCTTCTGGACCAGTGTTGTTTACATCTTGCAAAATGGTCTATATCAGCTGTAAACATATCTCATTAAGCGGAAACACACAACTGGTCTGACTGGGCTGTCACACTGTGTTTGTTGTTTCTATGTCAGCTTTTTGTTTCTTTTATTACCCTAGAGACCAAGGGAGATGACATTATAAATAAAGAAAATGTGTTGTCATAAAAAAGCTGGAGAGAATATATGGAACTGTTAAAAACATATAGTATGCAATTCCTATTAACACAGCATTACATATGCAATCAAATAACAGCCTAACATGAGTTTTAACATAGATTTTTTGTGTGCATATGCAGGTATGACTCCTTTACCGGCATGCCTGTGTGCCAGCAGAACATCTCTCTGGAGAAAGCCAGCATGGTTTTCAACATGGCAGCTCTCTACTCCCAGATTGGCACCCGTGCCGACAGACAGACACAAGCTGGACTCGAGGATGCCATTGCTGCCTTCCAGAAATCTGCAGGTGAGAGGTTTTGAGTAGATGTACTTCTTATATGCAGATAAGTTTGTGAGAAGGTACCCAAAACCTATCCATGATGATCCGTGGTTGAAGACCTGCCTCATGAGAACAGACGTGTATTCAGGCTCTGGTTGTGTTTTAAGGGGGAGTGAACATGATGTAATTCTCAAAAGCAGATCTGTCACCAGGCTCATGGGAACTCAGTGGCTTGTGTTGGTTTTTAACCTCCTTAAAATAACAGCAGCATAAAGAGAGATTTGGCTTGCTTTCTTAAGCCATCAAAACAGCCAACCCTGCTGTCTTTCATCACATAGACTGTTTTGTATATCTCCACCGGAAAGAATGTCCAAATATAATCTCTCTCCCCTTTTGTTGCTGTGATTATTACAGAAATTGATTGACACACTGTCCTACAAGGCTTTTTTTGTCTTTAAGCTCTATGTGTTTGCAAAGTCATTAAATTAAAGGGATGACAATGCTATTTTATATAAGCTAAATAAGAAATTATCTAGAATTTTGTGTTTAATTTACGCTGTGCTGCAGTGGAGTGGACTGGTTTTTGTAGATATAATATTGAAGTCTGTCCGGTTTTCTGTATGTTCTGCTGTAGGTGTGCTGCACTTCTTGAAGGAGACATTTACACACACTCCCAGTTATGATATGAGTCCTGCAATGCTGAGCATGCTGATCCGGCTGATGTTAGCACAGGCGCAGGAGTGTATGTTTGAGCTGATCACTCTGCCTGGAATCCGAAATGAGTTCTTCAGCCTGCTCAAAATGGCACAAGAGGCTGCCAAGGTACTTGTTGAATGTTTTCAGACTAAAGAATTAAGTCATATTACAGCGGGGCTCTATCTGTGATACACTGGAGTGTTTTTTAAAATGTATTTGTTGGTCTTAGTTGATATTGGATATTTTACATTTTTACATTTCGATTAGCTTTGTTGTCATCTAATGGTCCATTTAAAGAAATTAGTTTTTTTTTAAAAACACACATAAAATTGTTAAAAGTCATCTTTAGCAAATCTCAGATTGAATTTTGTACATTATAATGTAGTGATGCCTAAATTCACTAGCTTTATAAATGATTTAAATTAGTTAGTTTAAATTAAACCATAAAGGCATATAAAGACACCAATTATTTCTATTTCAAATAAATGCTGTTGTTTTGAAATTTCTATTCATCAAAGAATCTTGAAATCCTTTATTTAGTTTCATCCAAAAAAGCAGCACAATTTTTTTTTACATTGATCGAGTATGTAAATATTTCTCATCTGCCAAATCAGCATATTAGAATGATTTCTGAAGGATCATCAACAAATTACATTTGTTGTTGCAATAGAAAATAGTTATATTATACTGTAATAATATTTTACATTATTTTTATCAAATAAATGCAGCATAAGACACTTTTTCCAAAAACATGAGAAAATCATATTGACCCCAAACTTTTGAAAAGTATTGTATGTATAAAGAAAATAATTGACAGAATTTTTCTGTGATATTCTTTCTTTTTTTAATTCAACCTTGGGGCATCATTGCGAAGGGAGTTATTTTTACATGTAACTGTATAAATACATGACCAATTGATCCTATCAGTATGCAGGCCTTTTCCCAAAGCCTACAGTTACTCCTCTGTCTGGAGTGGTTGTGACTTTTACCCCTCTCTCCTTTCTTTTCTCAGGTGGGTGAGACCTACAGTCAAGTTCACCAGTCCATGATCCAGGCCCCCATTAAAAACAACGTGCCCTTTTTCTGGACTACCATGTCCCATCTGAAGACCAATCACTACAACTCACTGGCCCATTACTTTGTCTCCACCGCTCTGCTTGACCACCAGTGTAAGTTAAGCTGCCAATCACAGCTCTTGGCCATCTCCCATTGGCTTACAGCCCACTGGAACCTTTAAAGGTTACCTTTGTGTCTCATTCATAGAAACCTTTTCCTTTTCCTTGTGAGAGTAAAGAAGGATTCAGGTATCAGTGCTTTAATGGACTTTATTTTGGGGAGCTTTTTTGAGGACGTAAAGAGGGAGGCAGATGAAAGCCAGAGAAGTTTCAGTATCGGCTATTTTTGACAGTGTGCTGATGGACTGTGCCAGAACTAATGGGATTATGTAACATTCTCTTTGTTATTCAAACAGTCACTCCTCCATCTTCTCTCCATAACAGGCCGTTTGGGCTATTAATGAGCTTATTTGGGCTCAACAGACCAAGTAGTAAATGCACAATGGGATGTGTAAATGCCACAACAATTAACATAGCTTTAGTAGAATAAAATAAAATTTACAGGAATGTATGTTGGATTGAACAAAACGACACCATTTTTAAATGTTGATGACATATGTGTCTGTATGTGTAGTGACGCCTAGTGATGATGAGGACAAACAAGAGAAGGCTTTTTCACAACTTTACGACATCATGCCAGAGGGACGTTCTCCTCTTGACATCCTGAAGAATAAGGACGACAGACGGAGAATAGGTGTGAAGCTCATACATGAATGATTGGGATATTCCACTTTAGCACACTGAACTAATATTTTCTGTCTGTTTGCTCAGGTAAAGCTCATCTGCAGCGCTCCATCATGGGACACGAAGAGGCCATCCGCACGCATTCCTGCTGTCGACACCTGCAAAAACTGGACATCCTGAGTGACATTCTGCAAGCTAGCCTCAAACGCTCTCTTACCAAGTTCGACCAAAATGATAAGGAAGATGAGTTCACGGACTACATGCTTGCACCAGATATTATCTGTAAGTCAGAGATGGTCAGTTTTAGATTGTTTCAAATTAATGTGATCACTCAGACCACTTACGGGGTTAAGCCACGGTCGCACTAAACTTTGCAAATACTGCAGCGGTCGTAAAATGACGGTACATTCTGCAGCATCTTTTTTAAAATCTTAATTCAATGTATAATACATCCAGGATGTATGCATTGTGTTCTTTTACTTTAGCTCAGCACAGCAGTCATGTCATGAAGAATTAATTTTCTATAGGGCACAAATCTTCACAAATTTACTGGACAGAGTGGTGAACTTACGTTTCCGGTTTATCGCATTTGTATGCGTATGAATGGAAATCAATGGAACTAAAAGTGCAGTGTGACCGCCCTATTATTTGGAATCGCATGTAACCATATATCACACTTGTATTATAAACATTAATGCATCTGGATGTGTCCTGGTACAGATTTAAACAAATGTTCTCGCCTGATCACATGATTGGATTATTGGAGATTGATGTTATTTGCTCATTATGTAAACTTTGACTGTTCTGCTGTAGTTTTTAAATCTAAAAAGTAACCTATATGCAACAGTGCGTTTTGTTTTCACCGAAGCATCACATATTGAACTGTGTTCTCAGAACACGACCTGCGTGTTACAGTAGAGAACAAAAGTGCTAAGTTCAGTTGACAGTGTAAACATGCAATAACATTGTTTTACTCCTTCTCTGTTAGCTAAAACGGAAAAGAAAGCTGAGATGGAGATTACAGCTGCCATCAAGGTGAAAGTCACAGACCTATTCCATCGGCTGGTATGTGGGCTACTAATTTTACTCAAAAACAGTTTGAGCTCTTTTCACAGCACAGGAATGCTTGTACAAATTTGCAGATTTCTTGGTACACAGAATAGTTTTACATAATAAAATCTTTTGTGCGCATTTGTGTGCTGTTGAACAGACCCATGTTAATTTACCATACACACTTGCCAAACAGACCACAACCTCAACAATCTGAGGTTTTAATTTATTTTGTAAAAACAAAGTGCTGTAACCAGTTTGGGATGATGCTGAAGCATATTTTAGAATTTTTGGGGAATCTGTTTGGTCAGTCTGTAGAGTAAGATATTATTTTTACAGTACTAATATGAATAACCCTGGTTGTGGTTTGAATCTGAATTTCTGAGTGTTATAACATCCTGAAACTCAAATCAACTCTGTTTTTACTATTACTATTACTATTACTCGTATTTTGTGTCAGAGGTTTGAAAAAACATCTAACCTTAAGCATTTAACTTTGGCACAAAACTCATCCTGCACTATTTTGTCCATAGACATTAAAGGTTGTATCAGCGATTGTGGGTGACGTCACTTCTGTTCGTGTTTGAAGCGAGATCCCAAACAAACCAAGTTAGCTCGCCCCTCCCTCCCGTTTCGTGCATCATGAAAAAAACGATCGTGCACACGTATTTCCGAAAGTGACAAACACATATTTTTAGATTGTCTACCTCAATGGTGGCTCATTCTGTGAGTTGTAAAATTTGAATTAGGCTGATTTGATTTTATCAGACTGATTAAAACTCATGGTAACAACAGCTATCTGGAATAATATTATAACAGCGTATTATTATTATTATTATTCCGCTAAAGTTAGTCCTGAACGTAGGCTAGTGTTATTGCTAATGGTACAATGTTATGGCTACACATCAAAGTAGATGCATATATCAAACACAACTCACACACTAAATCCCTACAATCTGATATTCGCTAAAGCTTTTTTTTAAAGAATTATATTTTCACACACAGTTCACATACAAAAAAGTCAGCACTAGAAGCTACTCACCTGTCCATAAGAAACAGTGCAACCTCTCCACCGTTCAAAAGCCTTCCAGATTATTATTCGTTTCTTTGACGAAAAAACGCCGGTATATCCTCACCCTAATCCTCCTTCTCTTCTTGAGGATTGCCTCTTCCATGTTAAATGTATCTGGTCCGTTGAAAGCATAATAAAGTTAAAGAAAGTTGATAGACGCTGGAGTATTCTTCAGCTCCGACTTTGCGTGCTGGTGACGTGAACAAGTGCAAAAACAAATAACAACCCCCTCTGTCGGTGATTGGTTAGAAGGCTGTTTATTTTGATTTTGAGTGGTGGTTGTTCCCATTTGTTTTTGTGTGCAGATCTGGCTGCCTACAGAGACATTTTTTTTGACAGCCTGCTTATGGGGCGAGCAGCTTGTGAATCGTTAGGAAGATTAGATGAATGTGATAAATTTGGTTTGGGCCTGAAATCGCTGATACAACCTTTAATGATACCTACCATATATTGAATGACTTGTTGAGGGGTGATGTGCTGTTAAATTGTTTTTTAACTTGATTCCTCCTAAAACCTTTGTTTTTTTTTTTAGTAAGTTTATATAATTGTCAAATGTATGTCTCTGCGTTAATAATTTCGTTATAGAGTGTTGCAGTGATTGTAGCTCAATCCAGAAGTTAGCATCACTCTGATTCCCTCAAAAAAACAAAAAACAAAATGTTCCCATTGTATTTTGGATTATTGCTGAAAATGAGCTCTGTGACCTACAGATGTTTCTGATTCTTAAACGATTTGTTGAATATAATCTTCACAAATGAACATGAACATGACTATAAATTACGAATTTTGATGCCTAAATACCAATCACCAGAAGTAAAAAGCAAAAAGAGCTACACTGCAGTCTCACAACTTCAATATCACCACCACAAAGCTTCTGAAAACTCTTTCAAACTTTATTTAAAGTCTACAATTTGGCAAGTTTGAGTTAGAATAGTTTGCAGCAGTGCGAGTATAAACACAAGGCTGTAAAAGTGGACTAGTGAGTAGATGGGTTTTCCTGTTCAGTACAATGATGTCGAACAACCTCAGTAGTCCCATTTAGCCACTTGCCACATTTTTCAAGATATGTAAAAGCTTGGGAACAAAATCACTAGTTGGGTATAAATGATTTATTTTATGGCATAGAATAAATTATTAAAATATTTTGAGCTTTTATTAACCATCATTGGGTGTGTTATGTTCATCAAGATGATATCAGGATAGTTAATAAGTTTAAAAACAATTAAAAACATGCTTATCATAGAAGTTATTGTATGTATTAAATATTAACTAAAGTATTAATGTATTTTTAAATTAATTAATAGATTTAACATTTAACAGTTTGTCTTTATTTTGAGTTTGATTTCTGTAACAAACAGTCTTCGTCTGGAGTAGATTCTGTGAAACTGGACGAATCGTTTTGACCCTGTGCTAGAATATTAGACTTGTAAATCTGGCGTACAGAACTGGAATATTCGAGAACCACAGTGACGCATATTCCGTTCCCTCAGGCTGTGGGGAGCGGGCTAATTCAGGTGAAGGAGGCAGAGTTTATGATGTGGTTAGTTTTATGGAAGCGTATATTTGAGTTTTACCACCTTCAGATGTCTGAGTGACCTTCAGAGAGTTCAAAGAACCACTGCTGGGATCCTGTAGCAGTTGCCATGGGCACTTTTAAATGACCCCTTACTTGAAATCTCGTTTCCGTAGAACATGGGGAGGGGAGTTTTAACATAAGCTTTGCAAGTCCTTAATCAAGTCAGATGACCTTTCTGAGACAGGGGTCAACCATATACCACTTTAACCAGTGGTTCTGAAACTTTTTGACTAAATACCCCCCTTTTCTCAGAGAGGCCCTCCTATCTAAGCTGATGCAGTATGTGACTGGTAGTTCTGTTGTAATAAAATCAAATAAAGTCAAAATATATTAATATCACACATCTTTATTTTTATGTTTAATCATTGCATTTAAAGGGTTAGTTCAAAAATAGTCATTCCAAACCTCTCATCTTCGGAACACAAGTTAAGATATTTTTTTTATTAAATCTGAGAGGTTTCTGAACCGGCCATTGGCAGCAATGTTGTTACCGATATCTTTACTGCCTTTTCAGGCCTTGAAAGTGGTAATAATGTTGCTGCCTTTGTGGGAAAGGCACTGGCAGCAACCCATATCCTATACAACCTATACAAATCAGAAACTGATTTGTGTTCCAAAGATGAATGAAGGAAGTTCTTATGGATTTGGAACATAAGGGTGAGTAATTAATGAAAGAAATAACATTTTTGGGTGAACTGACCCTTTAAGATTTTTAATATAACTACATTTAAATTTTAAGGCTCTTTTGGCCCCCTTCTGAAGTAAAACATTTTGTGCCCTCTGGTTAAGAACCACTACCTTAAACGCTTCAACCTGAACATCACCTCAGATGGCGGTGCTTTTCATGATGATATTAAATAAACCTTCTATGCCATATGAGCAAAGCCATTCGCATATACTGCATGAAGTCAGTGTGCCAGTAAGCCAAATGTTTGGATGGTGAGCAGTTTGGATTTACAGCCAAGGACAACCAGGGTGGCAGGCTAAAGTTAAAAACAGCCTGAGTGTGTTTGAATTAGGTGAGTTGCTATAGTGAATTGCTGTTGTATTTGTGTTGTGCAGGGGCCTTTGTCAGTGTTCTCAGCTAAGCAGAGATGGTCAGCTCCACGCACCATCCGGCTGAGACTGCAGGAGAGAGACCTCGGATTCACTCTGAAGGGAGATGTGCCCGTTCAGATACAGTCACTCGATCCCCTTTGTCCCGCAGCAGTGAGTGTTCACGCACAGACACTAAATAATACTTGTTGAACACAAAAGATAATGTGAAGAACCTTTTTTGTCCATATAATGAACAATGGTGTTCAAAACAACCACTGTGTACAACTCTATGGACAAAAAGAATCTGAGACATTTGTCAATGTACCCTTTTTTGTGTTCCTTGTTGTAAACTTCTCCCCCCTCCATTTTATTGCAAGTAAATAATTAATAGTCATGACAATTATCAGAAGAGGTACCAACTTCCTGTTTCAATTAATCTTCCTTTTATACACGTGACTGTCCCTGAAGCTGAGGGTAGATTCAATCTTTGACCACAGCAATTAAATGAAAACAAAACACGCATATATCCACGCCCACTGCACCTGTGTTTGACCAAATGAGTCTCAAGCTGTCTCAAGCAGCTGTGTGTCTCCCACAAATAACTCACCTTATTTTTGTTGGAGCTCAAGAGCGAGTCCTCTCAGAGCTCATCTCTATGGTAACAGCAGTGTGGTCGTGCTGATAAACTCATACCATAAATAACTGAAGTGTCAAAGCGCCACTCTTGCAGGACGTGATTTACTTCTCTGACCTTCTTCTATTTTTCCTTTGTTTCTTTTTCTCTCCTCTATCTCTTTATCCCCAGGCTGAGGGACTGAAAGAGGGAGATTACATTGTTGCTGTGGGCGACACAGAGTGCAAATGGCTGGGAGTGAGTGACGTTATGAAGCTTTTAAAGGATGTGGATGAGGAAGGCGTCGACATCAGAGTGGTCAGCATGATGGACAGCAGTAGTCAGCCAATGGTAACTTCTTTTTTTTTCAAGGTTTTCTTTGCCTACATTGGTTGAGGAATTAAATTTAATAGTATGTATTTAGATCCACTAATATTAACAATATAGTTAGAATATAAAAACACTACTGTTCAAAAGGGGTCAGTACGATTTAAAAAAGAAGAAATAATACATTTCTTCATCAAGGAAGAATGGACTCTATGCACGGTGGTATTTCCGGTGAAGGTGTAAGGATGCTCGATAACTTCCGCCGATGGTAGAGTCCAACGCAATACCGAGAATTTATATTGAATTTTAAACTCCATGGTTGTACTAAAGAAACGTTAGTCACAAAAACAGATAAAACAGACACCCCTCGTTGTGTTTATGCTTCTTTTTAAAATTATATTAAAGAAACATAACTATATATAAAATTACATCTGAACGTATGAAAGTTTCATTTTAAAGACGGGAGGACAGTAAATTTTGAAGACTCTGCCATAATCCCGTTTTCCTCCGCTTTAATCTCCCCAACAGGAAACGGTAGAGCATCCTTGCGTCAAATGCGGAACTTTTGCGTGCATATAGTCCGTTAAATTGATCACAGGTGTCAGTAAAGACATTTATAGTATCAGTATCACAACATATTTATATTTCAAATAGGGTTGGGTATCGAGAATCGAGTATCGATTGGAACCGGGACTAACTTTTCATTTTTCCCGGAATCGTTCAAAAGTTAAAATTTCGATTCCTAGTTTCGATATTCACAGTCCGCCGAGCGGAAGAAGAAACCGCTGAACAACACCAACGAAGAAGCGTCTACCGGAAGTGTTGGCATAACTACGCGAGTCGAACAAGAGTAGCTTACGTCTGTGGTCCAAAGTGTGGCTTTACTTTTCTAAAAACAATGAAATCTCGGCAAAATGCTAAATTTGTGACAAAAGGATTATTTGTGACAGAAGGAGTATTTCTTTCAGAAAGGATTATTTCCTTCAGAAATACCATTGGTTAGCAAGGTTAGCTAAACTTTTTTGACCCTGCCTCTTAAAAGAATCGGAATCGAGAATCGTTAGGAACCGGAATCGAAACAAGGAATCGGAATTGGAATCAGAATCGTTCAAATTCGTACGATACCCAACCCTAATTTCAAATAAATGCTATTTTATTCAATAAGTTGTGTTGGTGGTTTAATTCTCTATATCTCTCTATCTATATATAATCATAGTCATAATGCTTTGAAAAATTTATATTTGAGAACAAGACGTTGTTGTTGTGTATGTGGATGTTTATTTTTTTATTGTATTTTGTGCTGCTGTGACATATAAATTTCCCCTTGGCAATTAATAGTAAAAGTAAATCAAATCAAATATCTCTCTATTTGTCTCTGAAGCCCACCAAGAGTGCTACTTACTGCAGCGGTCTGTCGAAGACCTACTCCATGATCTGCCTGGCTCATGATGAGGATGATAAAAACCCGAAGTCTCGCAAGGTAGCAAAAAAACCATCATTCCTCAGCTGGGGTCTCAAGAACAAGAAGAGCAGCAGCACGCTGAGTCTGCCTAGTGCAGATTACAATGGACCCTGGAACAGACCTACCTATCCCAACTCGTATAATGAAAGCGCGCTCTACTAAACATACAGTATGCTGATAGTGTAAAAGCACATTATATTGCAAGAAGAGGAGGAGAGATTTTTAGTGAGATTCAGATAAATTACAGATGGAAAATAAATATGTACATTTTGCACAGACCTATAAACACAGGTGTAAGCTATACTTTTGTTCCTTCGATAGTCTGTTTGTCCAGAAACTCTCGCCAATAAATTAAAGGTGAATGATTACGTGTTTTAACAAATCAGTTGATAAAATCTAAGATAAAATGTATGCTGCTCAAAGTATTTTTTTATTTTTCTTAGTTTGTTTTATTATTGTTTTATTGAATGGCTAAATGGTGTTATGAAGGATTTTTCTTTTCTTTTTTTTTTTTTTGGAAAATTCCACAAATTAGTGGTATTAACAGACATCCGCTTTAAATTAAAAAGAGGGCTGGTAGGTTGTCAGATGTTAACATGCAGCCTTTTTTTGAGCCTGTAGCTTACAGACAGACCACCGCGGCAGGTTTCTGTGATGATCTTGCGTCATCGAAACAGAATTCTAATCCGGTGTCTGTCACTGTAGAAGAACAGAATGTAGGACGGTGAATAGCTTTTGGCCTTGGAATGTCTATACAAACAGTAATATGATTTGGTGTAACTCAAGTATTTACGTACTGAAGCGAAATACTATGATAGGAGTCTATCGCCAAATTCAAGCAAGAAGGATGGAATATAGCAGTGAATACAAATGTCGTTCTTTTTAACCTTTGTTTCATGTGTTTTACCTGACACTTTTTCAGTGTTCAGTGGAATATTTCACTGTCTACAAAGTAGATTTTTATACACATTTGATAATCAAATAATTTATATGCAAAATAAAGTGAAAAATATCTATATAAACATGTATTAATTTTAAGTATTTAGGTTTTGCATTGTGAAACTGTGGTCTTTTTTGGTTACAAATCTTTCTGTTACTTGGTGTACGCTCTTCTGTTTAAATGGTATAGCTCAAAGGCTACAGTGTGTTTTTCTGTCTTCCTGATAATATTTAACTTTTCATTTATTTGTGGAAAACACTGCCTCTCAGAATCCTAGAAAGTCAGAAGCTTTTAAAATGCCTTACAACAGTCTACACTGACAAAATTATATTTAACTGGACTTCCACTCCTGCTTGTAAAAACTTTATTATTGTTAATGAATGTATCCTTACCATTTATGTTTCTGCTAGTGCCACATTTTGAATTACAATGACAAACACTGTTCTGAGGGGATGTTGATATTATAAGATTACATAATATTGATTCTTTGAAAGTTAATGTTCACAGATCTTTGCAAGCCAGAATCTGCATCAGTGCCCTAAATTTTAGTAATAATAGAGCAGATTTATAGATTTATAGTTGCTCTTGTTTCTACAATTTATGTAGATTACCAATGGATACGTATATGGAAATGTCTGGATTATGATGCAAACTATATTGTTGTCTACATTTATGTTGTATATGTACATTTTGATCTAAATAAAATATGGGGTCAAAGCTGTGGCTGTTCTTATTGTGTAACAGGTTACTGTGGTCATTTACTGTGTAATCATCACACCCACGCCTATTTCTGGTTAAAAGTAACAATTGCGTAAGCAAATGGTTACATCTTAATACAGGTCATGCATGTATTTTTTTTTTGACTGTTGTAAAACAGATTGTGTTTGCCCTAATTTACTTTTCCAATTTGCATTTTCATCTACTACCCACTTCTCCTAAATAAATATTTTTAAAATGTATATTTCAAAGCCTTGTTGCCCTTTGTGACATATGTGAAACTCATTGTAAAAGCAGGGCAGAATGGAGAAATCTCACCATTAGAGAGTAAAATGCTGTAATACCATAGTAATATAACTATCAATTGACTTCTTTAGGAACCTCAGTAACAGAGCGAAAGAGATTCATACTCTGCTCCTCTCTTTTTATTAAAGGAAAAACATAGTTTGTGTTGTTCTCCGCGCATGTGATTCTGGGCAGTGAAAATGGTGCGGTGGACAAATGGATTTTAAATCACTCACAGACTGGGGAATTTTATGGTGTGGCTTTGGTTAGGTTATTAGAGAGATTGCTTACCAACGCCAGCAGTGATGTCACCGTGGTTATGTGTGTGTGTGTAAGAGAAAGATAGAGAAGATGTCTCTGAATCTCCTACAGCTGGAGAACATTAATATCAGAAATACACTTGACTCACTGACAATAGTTTTTATTCAAAAACTGGAGTTTTACTGGAATCAGTTCCATATCCCATATGAGTCTGCTTTTAACAGGAACACTTTCCACCAGACTGATTTCTAAGAGTATGACTCACACTTTCTCCTCTTCAGCAGTCTTGTAAAAACTTAGGAAGCATACATTTAACTTAAAAATGGAGTCAAATTAGAAGATGACATAATTATTGAAATTAATTCTGGTCTTGTACACCAAAAATATTTGCAATTACAACTTCCATTGTCTTCTTTAAATGAAAACTGGACATGGACCAGTTTTATGCCATTACAGACTTCAGTGAATGTATTTGTGTCTAATACTTTCATTAAGATTAGATACTAGGTTTCACTACAGCGGGGCTGACTCCACAGATAGTACACAATAGGATTAAAAATTCTCAAATCTCTAGATGTGACAGTGATCCTGACCTCTCTCCTACTTTCAGTGCATGTTCTGAGGATTTATGAAAAATAAATAATGATAATAATAATAATAATAATAGTTGTAGTAGTAGAATATGGAGTAATAAAGTAAAAAGCATGGAAGAATTGAGGAACACACTTGTAGGATTTCATAATGTTAGCTAAACATAATAACATTCTGCTGTTGATGTATGGTGTTCATCGTAAAGCTACACTTTTAGGTTATGCGTATTTCACAAAATCCCCTGCAAAACGTTTAAATGTTTAGGAAAGTGTAACGTTAGTGGTTTGCCTTTAGTCTTCAGTGTTTTTGGTTAAAATTATATTTAACTACCAACTCCATTGCACCCTCATAGCGAAAAGTATTGTGGGGTTTTTGATTTTAGAAATGATCTACTAATTTAAGGTTATATTTGATCCAAAGACTTGAGCTGCACAACAAGAAGGTGAAAGATCATGAAGTCTTTAAATAGTTCTTCATATTTTCAAATAGACTTTAATTCTGTTATTTGGGGATTCTGAGGTCACAAAGCCTGGTTGAAAGCCAAAACTATATTTTATACATTATACATTTCATTTTTTATTTTCATATTTACTTGTAGCTATTTAAAATTATCCATAGACAACAGAAAAGTCAATAATAACTAACATAAATCAACCTTTATTGTTTTTCCTCAAACACCTTTCCCCCGTGTCCCGTGCAGACTTAACAGTTGTGGTCGAGACTTCCCTCTGCTGGAGAACTGTCGCACTCACACGTGGCACGACGCCGTTGCTAAGAGGATTAAAAAGCAACGCTGATTGGTTAAGCGAGCACAAACAAACCAATAGGAGGGGTTGTTATACTTCAAGGTTTTTTTATGGAGAGCGTCTAGTTACGTGAAGTTGAGTTGAATCCATTAAGATTTCGATGGAAATAATCGTTGTTTATAAAAAAAAAACTATAAAACTGTCAGTTATGAGCAATAAAACATAGTTTTGCCACACCAATAGCTCTGGAAAGATCAGTCCAAGACCGCGGTTTTCATAAATCTTAAACTCACATCCCTCACCGAAGCGAGGGATTTTGTTGAGGACTAACGTTAACGTCATGTCATCCAAATTCAACTTCAGTTTCAGGAGAAAAGAGAAGAGAAAATTTGTAAGTCTTCTATTTCTTAAATATAACTGTAATAATATTAGCAAACGTTACACTTTGGCTAAGTCCGTTGTACTAAGCAACCTATAAAAAGATTAGCAGCTAATTCAATAACTTACTCAGTATTCACTTAAGTTATTACCAATGGCACTTTAACAAGTGTATCCTGTGATGTAGTAAAATGTGTGATCTTGTTTGCGGTTGTGGATGTTTAGCGGCATATAGCTCATGGCTTGATCCCTGCTGCCACCATTGCCCCTAGACCTGCTGTTCCCCGCACTCCTCCCCCACGAAGCCCTAACCCCTCTCCAGAGAGACCCAGGTATACCCACATAACATATCCCAATCCATCCAGATCGATTTAATTCCCCTCCATTTTACACAGCTCGCAATTCATACATGTTCTTGAGGGTCTAATCATTAGCTATAATGTTTTTCATCGAACATTCCTGTTTCAGGTTTATTTGTCCAATATCTTTACAAGCTTTTTATCTGTAAACTTTGTAATCTCTCTGATATCTGTCACAGGTCTGCTTTGGCAGCTGCCATATTGTCTTCCTCCTTGACAGGCCGGACGGTTGCCATTCCTCCTCCACGCCAAAGATCTTACTCCGAGAGTGATTGTTCACTTGCAGACAGCCAAACTGGCTTTGAGCCCTACACTGCCACTGCACTTTATACCAGGTAATAGCCTATAGTACATCGTTTCATTGACCTAAACTGTTTTTTTTTTTGTCAGCAAGAGATTTTAGGTTAATATTTTAATCATTTAAACAACAAATTATCACATGACATGCAAGTAAACAAAATATTTAATATTTTTTATTGAGTATTATATTTTAATTTGCTTTAATTAAAAAAAAAGTCTTCATGAAGTCTTACGCGAGTCTTTTCTTCGCTATTCATTCGTGTCATTACATATAAGTTAGTTAAGTTAGTTAAGTTAAAGCTTTATTTGCCATTTGTACCGGTACAGCTGTACAGGTACATAGGAATTTTTGTAGCAGAGCTCGTTGAATCAAACATAAAAGATAGACATTAAAACAGCTAACAAGCTACACAGCACACGCTACACACAATGGACTTTAAGAAATCAAGACTTAAAAAATACATTCAACCTCAACAAAGAGCATCATAATCCCATGTTAAGAAACCCCCCACCCCTACAATTGTTACTTTGAGATTACATTTAAGATTGCTCCACGCTAAAAGAAAGAATATTGCACTATCCCAAGATACTACGTGATATATCTGAGTGAAACGGCTTTTCAAACAAGAAGAAACGTAGGACAAAACTTTAATTTGACTGACAGGACGGAATTGGTTGGGTGGTTGTGGTTTGCTATTGCGGTGAATGACAGGTTGTCCAGCACTCGAGCCAGTAAAAATGTCATCAGAGAAGAGGTGGCATTGCATGAATAAATCATTTATAATAAATAATATTCCATAAAAAAATCAACATAAAAATGTTGTTACAACAAGTAATGACTTCTATATTCCGAGTCTTCTGAAGCCTAAAAAGACTAAAATTTAAGTTGTAATTCTTTGTCATTCTCTCCTTGGCACATTCATGAGTTTTTGAGAGGAATAGATGTTTACAATGAATTGGTCAGTTAAATGTCTTTCTGCCTGTCACACAAGCTATGACTTCAGAAGACTTGGAATATAGTGCAAGTAAGTCACATGGACCAGATTTCTGTAATTTGTCCTTTTTTGTTTCAATGGAAGAGAGAATTTCACAGTGTGGAAGGACATGGGGATGAGTTTCACTTTTGGGGAACTAATCCTTTAAATGAGTCTGAAAGCACAATCATTGTCAATAATACAGAAAGTCATCTTATCAGGGTAACCTAGCAGGCCACATTGATATAGACATAATTGGTTCAGCAGGGGGCTAATAGTTTACTTACAAATTCAGTCTTTGGTCTGATTGCACTCTTTTGAGAGGATGTTTTACAGAGAGTGGTTTAGGCAGCAATAGCTTGTCAACATATTTTATGCAATTTAAATATATGAATTTTATGAATATGAGTAATTTTTTGATTACTTGAGCCAGACATGAAATTAATGAATTTACTCTCTCACTTTAGGGATGGATGGCCAGATTCAATGACAGAAAGACCCCCTGTGTCCTCCCTAAGACATACTGATGAGGATGATGAAGGTGATGACAGTGATGAGGTGGAGGGACTAGAGGGAGATGAAGATCATGTGTATCAGTCCCTTGAGAGGCAGAGCAGAGCTGATGACATAAATGTTGTTTACGCTGTGCCAATAAAACACAGGAAGGTACAGTCATGTGTCTGTGTCTGTTTGTTTGGGTCTGAATGTGGATTGCTTTCTACTCTTATGCATTTGATTCATTTATTAAAATTCACCATGAGGTGGAGCTACCGATTTATTCAAATCCTGCTCTAAATCAAAACCCAGTCTGGGATCATAAAGGGATATGAATTAATATCTGATTCGATACATATTTTTATAGCTTGTGATGTTTAAGTACTATTTACAGCAGCATTTATTTTGATTATAATATACATATAATATTTGTATTGACTAATTGAATGAATCTTTTTTTCAGGACAAGACCAATTCAGACGTTGGTGAAGAGACAGAAGACTCTGCATTCGATATTGTGTCTCCACTACCGACTGAAGGTTTGCTAAAAAAGTGTATAAATAAAATATATATATAAATAAATATATATATATGAAGAGTTCAGATGCAAAAGCCTCTAAGTGCCATTTGAAATTTTCTTCTAGAATGATCATTTTTATCAAGCTTGTATATTTAAGTTCAGTGAATTCACTTAAATGGAAATGATAATTACCTATTAATTGTTATTTAAGTGAAATTACTGAACTTAAATATACAAGTTTGATAAAAATCATCATTAAAGAAGAAAATTTAAAATGGCATTTAGAGGCTTTTGCATCTGAACTCTTCATATATATATATATATATGTCTCATAGCAAGGCTTCATTTATTGGGTAATATTGTGAAATATGTCATATAGTTTTTAAATAACATTTATTTTATATTATAACAGTATTTAATTAATAACTAAATTACTAAATAATTAATTTACTTTAATTAATAACTAAATAAATTAAATAATGTTTTCTATACTGTATATATATATATATATATGTGTGTGTGTGTGTGTTATTTATATTATACAGGATGTATAGTGTAAATAAAATATTAATGTATCGTATCTTTCTCTCATTACACTCCATTGACTTTGAGAGCCCTGGTAATATTGCATGCAGCTTCATGACTATAATTAATACAATTTTGTATTTTAGAGGAAATTGTGGTTCAGGAAGGAGCAGCTCAAACGGTAAGAAAACCTCCAATCAGATCAGCCATAATGAGAAGCTGAAGATTTTTTGATTCAGTTAATTCAGGGTTTAAAGCTAATTAAAGCTGCTTTAAGAATGTCAATTATGTTGAATCCTGGTGTGGTCTTACTCTGTACTAAAGGTCATTCTGCCCCTGGGCTCAACAAATTCTCTAAAGAAAGAGGAGAAAAATGACACTGCCATAGAGAGGTTAAAGGCACCTTTAAGAAAGTCAGAGACAGAGGTTATTATCAGTGAAGGAGTGTGAATGAAAATCAGACAGGATGAGACAGAGTGGGAAGGTGAACAAGGGAAAGAGCTTATTAATGATCTCAGCTATTTCTGACACAAGAGACTATCACAACCATTCTGATTCACTATTAAGTAAGTGGCTCTCTGATCTGACAGCTAATACATCCATGTATTCACATACACATGTACACCCCAATTAGGCCATGTGAACCTGTGCTTTGTTATTATGCAGACACACATACACATGTGCACACTGACTAGCCACTTTCTATTGTATAACTCCATATTGTCAGATTAGAATGCACCATTCCTGCTGGTGCTTGTAGACCTTTGCCAGAAGATCTCTAATCTCAACTCTTAATGTGTAAAATTGCTCATTAGTAGAGTTAAATTGCCTCTATTGAGGAAGCATACTGCACTTTTCACTATTGGATATACTTAGTAATTCAGTCTGTGGTCTTTGATATTCTGCAGTAAGAACCATTTAATCAGTAAAAACTTCCCTCTGTCTCCACAGCAGCCATCATTGCTACGACAACCAAGATCAGCCTCTCGTGGGAGCATGGCATCTCCAGGTACTTCCCCTTTTTGCCATAACATTATCCATCACAACAGCTGAATTCCACAGGTGATCTGAGTAATGACAGGCGATCTGAGTAATCGTAATAGAGTGCCGAAGTGATGACGTCACTTTGTAGGACAACTCGGAAGCTAGCGGCGCATGGGTTTCCTCGGTCGAAAAGCAATGCATTTTCCCCATAGACTTTTGGAAAATCGCAAAAAAATAAGATCTGTGTTTAACAAAGACTTGTGACGCTTACACGTTTTGTCTATCAAGATAATCTTTACAAGTTAATCCAAAATGTACACATTTTGAAGCCTATATAAAGATTTTAAAAAACACAATCATACACAATAAAGTTTAAAAAAAAACACAAGCAGGTTATAACTTTGTGTTTTATGTCATAGATCAAAACGTGAAAATATTTAGAGGCTTTGTTCACCACAGACCTTATTTCAGGCGATTTAGCAAAAAACAATTTAAAAATCCCATAGACTTTAGAGCGAGGGAACCGATAGCGCTAAAATGCTAACTCACTTCCGCGTTTTGGCCTACAGAGTGACATCGTAACTTCGGCACTCTATTCCGAAACCGCCATTTGTCCGACAAACTAACCAGACAGGAGAGTTAGTAGATTAACGTCGGTGGACCTGAACTTGAAAAATGGTGTACATTAACATCTTCCCATGGTTGAAACAACATACCTTCTGATGTTCATTCATACATACAGTCGGCAACGCGTCATAGTTGGGGGGCGTGGTCGGCGTGGGGGAAAGCAGCGCGACCATCCTATGTATTTGAATGACAAAAATGTCATATTGCGAGTCATTTATGCCTGCCGACCGGCAACGGTACATTGCAAAATTAACTGTAATAGGTTATGATTTCCCTTATTTAATTAAAAACTGGGTCAATGACCCAACCAAATGGCCAGAGGTGTCGTTTCTAGACTATTGTTATCTGGTTGAATCTTCAGGTAAGACATCGCGGAAGCTACCGGCAACACAAGCCTATTACTCAATCAACTTGCGTATAAGTTACTATAAGTCCATAAAACCATGTCACTTACCAATTGTACGTATGCTTCACTCCAAACTATTAATCCTTTTGTAAAACGGTGATCAGTAGTAGTCGCTACGAAGTTGCAGAGGGACTTTGCTGACACTTATCCGAATTCTCACAGACTGCAGTCTGATAACCTTCAGCTGATAACGCTAATGTGACTGAGACATCCCTTATGAAAAACAACTAAAGGAATCTTGTAGTATTTTAGGTCAAAATATTATAGTAACGTTGATATTCCTATAGGAATACTATAGTATTTTGGGACATAACCTAGAAGTATAGTATTAAAGAACATCACAGAAGTATTATACACTACTATAGAATACTAATAGCCATAGAATTTCTATAGTTCTTTTTCGTAAGGGATGTAACGTCAGACAAATCTGGCCCACTGCCTAATACGAGTTAAACATCTACTACTATCACACAGGGACCTCTACTCACACAGTAATCTAATAAGATATGATTAATTTTGCCATTTTTTCCTCCTATCCGGTTCTGTATGTATGTAAGAAAGGCTGTAGAACTTCAATTTATAATTTGTTAGTTTATTGGTGGTACAGAAAACGACACAGCAACTCTTCGGCATGATTGTCCCATGTATTTCAATGAGCGCCAAGGCAATGTTTTCCCCCACGGGCTAAATTCACACCACGTGACGGGGCGTTCCCGGGGGCGTTCCCAGACCAACCGACTGTATCTATGGTTATTTCGTGTTATAACTAGTAAGAAGGGATGATCGGTTCACATGCAGCTTGAACTGAGGCGCTACAGGAATCTGTCACTACACATTAAAGAGCCAAAATAGACTGTCTGTCAGTGTGTTCTTAGTGTGTCGTCTTTGCTCTGCGATGAATTTTTTACTGCGTAAGAACATGATGTGTGGCGTGAGAGCGGTGGGCGGGTCTTTGTGAAGGATCAGTTGATGTCAAATTTATTAGAGCACAGCTTTCAACAGACTAGAGACAAATTAGGTGGTTACTGTGTTGCGTTTGAAAGAAGTAATCATAATAAAAAATGGTAGTAATGGCTCTGCCAATTTAACAAATGTCTTCTCAGTCAGCTTCTCTCATGGGCTTATTGTTGTCAGTAATGAGATATGAGAGAGATGAGGCTATATCTATAATGACTAGACAGAGACTGGAATTACCTCGAAATTTGTCTTGATATATCCCTTGCTTCTCTTCCTCCCTGCAGTCATTTTGTTTCTGTCTATTATTCTCGGTGGTGACAGTAAAAAGTTTTTTTTTAAACCCACTCCTAAAATTGTTGTTAAGGAAATTACTATTAGTTGTTTAAGAGTAGATTTAAATAAGTATGAGAGGGGTATGGCAAGCAAACCAACATTAGTCTAGATTGCTGGAAGGATGGATTTACCCTCTGAAATAGAGCATGAAACAGCAGGTCTGGGCAGTTGCTGCAAAGTGATCAATGGACAACTGCCAAGCTTTTTATGCACCAGCAGACAATGGCTGTGTCACCTTTAACTGCAACAGAGACTTCCAGTGAAGGAAGAACTTTGCTGGAAGATGAGATGAGGTTGACCTTGAGGTCTAATCTAGGGCTGAGATGTCAGAAACGCAGACAAAATCTTGTCAGTGTTTGTAACTTTAGAGACCAAGGGCACAGACAGACATGAGAAGCAAACTAGGTTACAAGGAGAGCAAGGATGATACAGCTCCACTAGGAGTCACAATAAAGGGTCAATATCTGATTTTAAGCCTTGTAAGATTCAAGCAAAATATCTTTGGTAAGGATGTTTGACATAATGTAATATAGCATGCACTGCAGTCTGTCTTATAATTTCCACCTTTAGTGAGATCTAAATGGTGGATTTTAATATTGTACAAGATAGTCTATGGTAAGTGATGAGATAATAATTAAAAAAAAAAATTGTATTTACTTGTATCCCCTCATGCTGTTCCAAACACTTGTTACTGTCCTTCATGGAAATGGAAAGCAATGTCTTTTTTTTCATGCAATTTCAATTGGATCAGAGTGAACTGGAACTGTCTGAATTGTAAATTAATCAGTTCTAATCAGTTTCATAAACCACATGGACACAATCGTAATGAAATCAATACGATTGATGAATCCATTTAAGATGTTTACATGAATGATAAATAAAGTAATCAGGTTGATGTGCGCGTTTATGTCAGATTCAAATCGGAATTGATTTTTTGACATGCACACACTGCACGAATATGCCACTGTTCACACATAACTATTCTCCCCTATTGGTTCTTTATTTGTTTTAATCAACAAAGTTAATATTTATCCGTCTCTGGTCATGATTTGGAGATGATGAGCATGAACCGTTTTGCCGTGCTGTTTATATTTATCACGCAGCAAAACCCAGCGCCCAAAAGTCGTATGTGGATGAGAATCTAAAACAAGCACTGGTGGGACGTTGTCCTGCTTCACTTCACAGACACTGAGTGAAATGAGATTTTTTTAATAACGAAATACTCATTTATATGACACTTTATTCAACAGGAAGAACAGCTCGTTATGTGCGTCATTACGCTATTGTAATGTCATTGCACATGCGCTGTCCTTTTAGTTTCGGTTTTCAATCCGATCAAGTGTTTACATGTTCTCTTGATCGGATTACAAAAGGAGTAAACCACCCCTTTCAATCCGATCGAAATTCCAGTCGGATCGAGCTAAATCGGATCGATTAAGGTGTTTACATGAAGGTTTTTTAGTCCGATTGAGCCGTCAATCCGCTTATTAGGGTCCATGTAAATGCAGCTATTGAAAAAGTTCTGACTCAACAAAACTATTAATTTAGATTAATTTACAGACTGATTATCACAAATTCTTCATTGAATGTGCCAATGAGAGCTGTAAATGTTATTGTGTCAAGTGTAAATTTGAGTACATTCTAGCGAATAACGACTTAAATTTTGTTTTATTTGTCAAACAGAGTTATCATAGGACTTGGAAAATAGTATTCAAACCCAGTTATGAATCACTTTTCTGTGTATCACCTTAGGGTACTTTTGTATCTTTTTGAAGTTTTATCCTTGAATGCTCTAGACTCCACTGCATGCATAAAATGACCTGGACATACTTCCAAATTTTTCATGAAAAACAAGAGCTACATGAGGGTAAGTTTTTCATATATGAGTGAATTCCTTCAACAGAAAATGACCTCGTGATTGAGAAAGTTGTCTACATCTGTAGGTCATTGAAAGTAGGTTATCAAGTCCTCAGCAGTGAGTGAGGATGTAAGAGGGTGAGCAGCGGATAGCGGAAGGATGGAGAACGATTTGAGTGGGATAGACCTGGCTGCGTGTGTTAATTGTGAAATGATAGTACAATGTCTCTACATATTGTTCTCTTCCACTGTGTCAGTTCTCTGATATCCAAAGACGTTGTGGAACAGCAAGAGAGTTCAGAGATTAAGTGCACTACATCAGGTTTAAGTGGCTAGTGTTTGTGGGGTTGGGTGTGTGTGTGTGGGGTGGGGGTTCTTAGACGTGTCAAAAGAAGTAAGTACTCTGTAGTCTGAGGAAGTGGTTGAAGCAGGTGAGAAGCCACAGAGAATTTCAGCTGTCTGTGGATGGGTAGAGAAGAAGGTGTGAGGCTGTAGTGTGAGATTCAGAAGTACTTAGGCAATTGAATGGTGTGAGAATAAACATAAGGGAGAAGCAACTGATACAATATAAGGTTGGTTGCCAGCCGTGTGTTTTTTGACAGACAAATGGATGTGAAAGATTAATGGAACAAGGAGATGTTAAAGTAAACTGGAGTACTGTAAAGGTTTATAGACATTGCCAAATAATAGAAGAACAGTGTCTTAAGAAAATAGGATAAAGAGTTGGCTTTGATAAAGATTGCTTTGAGCTTATTAAAGAGAGATTCTTAAGCCCCTTTCAAACATTAAACATGATAAATCACGTTACAATTACAAGATTGACCTTAAAGGGTCATGAAACCCCCCTCTTTCAGCTCAAGTCCAGCTCACAATCATTTTGAAAAATGAAACTTAAATGGGCGTGGATGGCTGTTAGAAGTAGGGAGGGAAGTGGGTGTGGTATGGAACGGCAGGATAATTGTCATTGGCCAGTGGCCCATGCATATCAACTGTCTCTAAAATCAGTGGTAAAACGTGAGGTAATGCTAGATATTTTATAGCTGGCAAAGTTAAATTCTAACGAAATACACTGACATCTTATTTTTGTTCAAAAGTACTTTCAAAAGGAACTGAATGCCCTGCTACATACTGTTGGCCTGTATTAGCCTACAGTAATCATAATTATATTTAAAACATATTAATGTACATGTACAATTATATTGTCATTATAATATATATTTTTATATAATATATAAAGTTTTTTCAAATAAATGCTGTAATTTTTATTCATCAGAGAATAAAATGATCAATGTTTCCACGAAAACATTAAGTAGCACAACAGTTTGGAATATTTATAATTATAAGACATTTAAAAAATATATAGATAATAGTAAATTATTCTTAACTGTATTTTTGATTTTAAAAAAAGGCATCCTTAGTGACCATAAGAGAGTTTTTTTAAAAAACATACTGAATCCAAACTTTTGAATGATAGTGTTTAGATTACGGTCTACCTACATTCACTTATAGAGCAACTCCAACTCATTTACTCACTCACTTGTGATTACTCACTTTTTTAATTCTCTTGTATAATTACTAATTTACTCCTTGTTTTATCTTTTTTTTTTCATATTGTTCTTGTCAGAGCTTAATGATGACTGGAGCGCTCAGTCTCACAGATCACTGAATACTTCAAAAAGGAAAACCTCACGGATGAAGGCGAGTCCAGTGAGAGAAAAAGAGAGAGACATCAGTCCAGGTGAGGGGCTTGACACTACTGTTTGACATCTGACATTCCCAGCTCTTTTGTCCTTCTAATTAATAATTTTGCAGCTAAAATCTCTTTAATTATGGTAAAGTTACTGTAACACATGGCCCCAATTTGGCTTATTGCTTCAATGTAATGTTTAATTAATGATTAAATGTATTACTGGTTATTTCTACTGGCTACGAGTCTTAACCAGACTCATTCCATTGGATTTGACTTTTTGAATTGTAAAATTGTAGGTTAACATTAGAGCACAGGCGACTAATGAAAGAAATAATGAACTATATGAACTATGAATAATATGAAACTAATAATGAAATGGAATGAATGTATTGAGTATTCCCAACAGACCATAGAGTGGCAGACTCATAATTCATAAATATGTATTAGGATTAAACAGATGGTCAAAAACATGTTTTTTTACTGTTTGCACATCAAGTAGGCTTTAGTCCATCTTAGAAAGAAATTCTGAAAATCTTCACATTGCTTTTTCATCTGTCACATTTCATTTCTTAATATCTGTCCTCCTGTCAGTCTTTCCTCTGTCCTGTCTTTGCATTTTGTGCCGTTGTTGGTAGTGTAATACATTGGTGTGTTGCATTGTATTGCTGTGTCTTGTTTTCCGTTTTGATTTTTATACTTGGTTTTGTCTGTCATATTCTTATGTAATATATTTGCATTTCTGTTCTATGGTTTCAATTCTGTGTGTGGCTTTGCCTGTGTGGCTGTGTGGTGCAGAGGACAGTGAAGTGTTGCGCAGTACGCTAGAGGTGCAGCAAGCGCTTGTAAAGGAGCTGAGGGAGCAGACTCAAATTCTGGCTCAGGAGAAGAGATGTTTACAACAGAGTCGGCACATAGAGCATCTTCAGCAGGAGCTCTGCCACTCTCGCACAGAGAGAGGAAACTCCACAGGTGCTGCCACACATCCCACTGCGTCACTGTGGCCTATCCATCTTTTAAAGTGATAGTTCTCCAAAAAAGGATAATTCTGTCATCATTTACTTACCCTCTTGTTGCTCCACATCTATGTGACTACCTCTCTTCTGCGAAACAAGAAGTGACATTTTTTTAAGAATATCCTGGCAACTATTATAATATTTTTAGAATATTTCTTTAGTTGTTCGGGTCACATGACGTTACTGTATCTTTGTGCCGCCATCTTTACGAACGACGGTCACAGTAATCCCTGCATTATGTTCTGCAGTTGGCTGCACAAACAGCCGAAAGAGGAACCCCGAACTGGTATTTTATTATAAACCAAAATAAAAGGATAGAAGAAACAAGTGGTTAGCTGTCATTCAATATTCACAGAAGAGCATGTGTCATATTGTATCATGTCTCAGTGTGCAGCTGTATTCCCCCATACAGCGCGCGAGTAATGTATTGAGCTCTGTTTCGTGTTTAAATGTCTGTTTTGGATCGGATCGGTACGCGGGTAGAAGTACTCGCCGATACCGATGCCAGAATTTTTATTGGTATCGGTGGCATTTCCAATACTAGTATCGGAATCGGAACGCCTAAAAAAAGAAAAAAAGTATCACGTTGAAATGTGTTTGCGTTAAGGCCGTTAATAACGTGTTTAACTGACAGCCCTAATTTTGAGATGTGGTGGAAATAACACTTATTCATAACTGTTCAGGTAAAAAAAGATGGACAGAATTAGCCTATGATGCATGTACCTACATTTCCAGAGGACGCAAAGTGTCCATAGTTGAAGAAACAAGATGGTACTCACTGCAGAACATGAAGTCCAGGGTGAGGAGCTGGATCCAGATCCAACTCCTCCCATCTTACATATACCTAAACCTACCCATCTCCGCCCCATTGATCCCTAAGCCCACCCCTTAGATCTGGATCCAACTCCGTCCCCTGGATCTCGTGTACTGCAATGATTTGCTGCTGGAAGAAACACCCAATGTGTACATGTACACGTGTTTGGTTTTGCATAAATCAGCTCTGATCTGATCTCTATTATGTGCAATTGTGTGTGTGCGTGTAGGTGAAAGCTCTGAGTTGCTGAGTCTGAGGCAACAGGCTCAGGAGCTGGTGGATGAGAATGATGGGCTGAAGATGACGGTTCACCGTCTCAACGTGGAGCTCAGCAGATACCAGGCTAGATTCCGACCACTAAACAAGGACGAGGTAAAATAGCTCACTGTACACCACTTTCAGAGACAGGTCTATAGGCTCAAACTTAAAACTACATGATGGTGATTTTACAGGGACATTGTTTAGGAATTGCTGCCATCTAGCGGTGAAAATGTATTTTGGATTCAAACGAATTGTGCTCTTCAGCACCTCGCGTTGCATCTACGGTAACCATTGTGTACTAAAAAGCTATGACAGGATTAGCACTTTGTCGAGTGTTCCTTCGGGTGAAAATTTTGCACATTTTAAAGATAAATGCATTAATCTGGTGCACTCCGCACGTCATTATGGAACATTTTCTGGCTCAAAATTAGGTGGTAAAAAAAAATCCAGATCATGTCTACACATGAAAGTGTACCGCTCCTTCAACTGGCTGAAAAAAAAAAAAAATTTTGCAAGCATGCAAGCATTCAAACAAGCATGTTTTTTTATTAGTTTTTTTTTTTAGGTATTTTAATAATCAGATAATTAGATTTTATTTACAGTTGGGTTGTAACATTCATTTAGGGAACCTTTTTTTAAGAAATTGAACATACTTGGATGGAAAATAAACAATTTACCTGAATGTTCCCCAATTCACAAAAAGACAATGCTCTTTGAAGTTAACTATTTTTTTTTTTTTTTTTTGTAAACTGCCTCTGCTATCAGTAACTGTAATGTGATTACTGATGAAATTATTATACTATAATTTTTACATTTTCATTGAAATAAAGTAAAAATTGTCTAAATTTCCACAAAAGTGGGTCTCAACAAATTCTGTTTTTCTGATGCGAGACGTTTATTTTGAACGATATGCATAAAAAAGCGGTTGACTTTTCTGTCAGAGGTGACTCCCCATCACTCTGAGTTCTGAGAAAAAACACTTTGTACCTGATTCAGTATCTGCTGTCAGATGAGATGTTGTCAGGCTATGTCAGTGTCATTATTCTAACGTTATTTTCGTAACTTATTTCAAAAAACAGTTTCCGCACCTCAGAAAAACGAACTTTCCTGTCCTGTCAGATGTTACTGAGCTGGTAACATCTTACAAGCCCTGTATATCACTTGAATGTAAATAAAGCGCAAAAAAACAAAAAACAAAAAACAAAAAACTACTAACTTATGCAACGTAAATTAGTAAACCATGAAATTACAAAACAGTAGTAAATTACGTGCCTGCTAAGTTACTTGTGATATTTTTTTTTTTTTAAAAACGGCAGAAAAATGTTGGACTATTGCCTAAGTCAGGCTGGCTCTATGGATATATTTTAAGTAACTAAGACCCCATTTACACCTGGTATTAAAATGCGATCTGTATCCAGATAAGTTATCCGGATAATAAAAAACGCATGTTAATGCAAGGTGTAAATGCGTTGATCGGATCTCCCTGGCCACATCTGGAGGTAGTCTGGCTCGCATTGTGTTCGGATCTTTACTAGGTGTAAACGCAATCTGGTTGTTGAAACCACATATTTTACTCCTCCCAAAAAATGCTAAATAATAAACGAGTGAGAGCGTGTTATATAGGCTATATGTCATGTCAGATATGACGGTGCTACAGCGACACGCATCACCGCAGATGAGCAGCTGAGCGTCTAGCTATTCATCAAGCCAACGTGCAAACATCGCAAATAAAAGTGAAAGTAGCCTAAGTCACAGATGCTTAACACACAATCATCTTCAAGTAAAGAAATGAATTTTCTTACCAGGGCTGTTGCCACTCGCTCTTATTGATGTCTTTGATTTGGAAATTAGCTGATGATCAATAAAATGCAGTTCATATCTGTTGCTTTTGGTGGCGTGTAATCCATTAAATCTGCATATAACGCGGGAGTTGAAGATCGGATTTATATCCGTTTTGCAAAAACACATTTAGGTGTAAATGGCATCGGTACTTATTATCCGGATAACTTATCTGGATACAGATCGCATGTTAATACCAGGTGTAAATGGGGTCTAAGTGTTTTAATTTCACAACAAAGCCAAAGCTTAAGAAAAAACATTATCGGTACCTGGCTGTGACAAGTGAAGGCACTTCGATGCTGCGGAAGGAAGGTGCTTCTTGACTTGCGTGCGTCTGTGGTGGTTGTGATGACTGACAGGAGATGTTGGAAAAGGGGGAGGGGCAGCAGCTCGTGCGGTTTCACAGAAATTTACCTTGCTCCGTTCGAGACCAGCAAGTTTAAATGCTTTTTCTGATGCCGTCGAAATGCGCAGAATGGTTTGAGAATGGACACTGGCCGTGAACCCGCAGCGGAACCGTGTCGGTGGAAAAGAGGTATCTAATCATGTGATTCCCTGACTTGAGTTTTGTCGAGAAGCGGAGGCAGCCCGAAATTTGATGGAGGTGGCCGCCTCATAATTGTCTATGCAGGAAAAACCCTGGTAGTTAAGCCTTCTTTATTCGTTATATTTTCTGAAGTACTATCCCGACATTAACTCGTGTTTTTTGTAATCTTTTTGTAAAAGCTTCCTTTTACAATCAAATTTTTGGACTTTTCTGGCGATGAGGATTTGCAATGCAGCCTTTTAAACTCGCCGGGCCCGTGACAAGCGCCTCTCACCGCTCTGCTCCTCCGCTTCTGCTGATTTCAGTCACGTCACGCTGGCTCTGAACGAAAACGCACTGTGGAAACGCATTGGCCTAGTACCTTATGTCCCTCTCTGCTATTATAGTTTTTCAAGATGGCGGAACTACATGGAAGCCTCCTTGGACTTACCCATCCCATGTATATAAAGATAATACATTTTTTGTTTACGAGGATAAGTGATATAATTGGCAGAGGTATTTGTACACCATTGAGGAGATATTTATGAATAAAAATATTGATTTTAAATAATAAATTACGGATAATAAAACATAGGAAATGGGACTTTAAGGAAATTGTATGTATAAGTGACATACTTTTCAATAAAAATTAATAATCCCTCCCCTCAACCCTCAACCTTCTCATTCATCTGGTTATTTATGTATATGTAACAGCATATGGGAACTTGATATTTTGCCATTTTGCATGAGTTCAGTTACTATAGGAGAAAAAATGAGAAAGCTACTAATGCACTTTTAAGTGCTTGCAAAATAATGTGCCCTACTTTCACAGACTATGCCACACAGCCCTGAATTATAATTCTGGAATGATACATGTTTGAGTTCATGTACAGGACATTATATCTGCAGTCTCACTTGCCTGATCCTCTGTTTTGATGCGAAAGATGGGTGCTGTGTGATAACTGTTAATTGCCACAAATCTACATTGACTGATTTTGGAGCGGTGTTGAAAACTGTAGTTAATTTTTCCTTGTGAAAGAATGATAAAAAAGAGAATTTTAGTAGTTTATCTGACACTGTCGTCTTTTAGTCTTGCAGGGTGTGATTAGCTACCACCACAGTAATGATATGCAGCTTTTCCTTTCATCTTCTCTCTGTTTAATGCAGAGATGATAGTTTTTGGAGTATTATAATTTCAAAAGAGCACTACCAGTGAGAGGTTGAGATCTAATATGTGCGCGCATTAAAACAGAGATTGCTTCTGCGTTACCCTGGTGTGCAGCTTGTTTTAGCCTTCTAAATAAATCTAGCACCACTGAGACAGTGGGCAGTTGAGAAAATATCCACAGCTACAAATTACATAGACATTACATTTATTTAACTTTTTACATTTAAACATGCAAGTAGGAGATTTGCAAGTAGGAGCTATTTTGAAAAAAAAAAAACCTGTAACTTAACTGCTGAGTTATAAGTTTTAATTAGCCTTTTTGCATTGAATAATAATTGGAAAGCACTCTGAGGAATTGCATAACTGAGCTTCTTTAACAAGCCTCAGAAGAGTTTGACAGCAAGAGAGCACCGTGACCTCTTTGCCATCCATGTTTGAAGGATCAAAGATCTCAAATTTGTCCCGCTGGTGTCATTATATGAAGGAGGGGAAGGGAGAGATTGAGCTTATTTTATATTGATAAGGGCTGTCTGAACCTTGTGTCTGTCTGGCTCACTGGTTCATTGAAATAATGACTCTCCTGGCTGCCCAGATACTTCAGTATAATATATTAATCTGCTTTTCATTCATCTGTACAGTACTTGGGTGCCTGAAATGCTACTCATTTAAAGATGATCTTGGGGCAAATAGTCCCTAACTGTGATGAATTATAGATCTGCTGATTAAAGAAATAATATCTTTCACCTTTTTCACATCTCGAAAGGTTTTAGTTAATAGTTTGAATATAAAAAAATTATCACGTCAATTATGTTCATTTTTAGCGAGATTGAATGTTTGACTGTCCTTGACTCTTGAACTCTTGGTTGTTGTTTTTTTTTAAAAAAAACTGATTTTAATTAGACCACTGGTGTGTTGTTGGGCAGAAGTGTGGGAATGAGGAGAAAGGAGACAATCGGCAGGATAAATATACTCTGTCACTTTAGTTTCAGGTCAGCAGCCTGGATCTCTCTCTCTCTTTTCTGCTCTTTCTCTCCCCCCTACCCCTCCTTCCATCTCAGCAGGGTTGAAACAGAAGGAAATGTCACATGGGTTTTAGTTACAGAAGAAACTACTAGGCTCTCTGTGTCCCTTTAACTCTGTCCACCCGCCTCTCCTTTTTTACAGTACTGTTGATTGCTTCCCTTTCTAGCCTTTAGTGGATCAGTGTAACACTGAATGTGTCTCTGAACGCTCTGTTGAGCTAGCGGGCAGCAGGAAGCGTGTATGGGAGGGCTGCTGGAATGATTAGGACAGTGGCTGGCAACATTGCTGAATTGTGATTTGAGTTATTAAGTCTGGGGACTGTCAGCAGTAGTACTTTTATCTAATTAGAGTTAAAAAGTTCAATGCACACATTATCACACCAACACCTTACAAATAAATTCATCTTTAGATTAAGTAGTTTTTAAAAAAATCTTTCTAAAGGATGATTTCCTAATGAATGTAATGACTTATAATTAAGTTGAACAAAATGTACTATAGGCTAAAGGCCATTGCACACTGAGTCCGAAATTCGCATCCGAAATTTTTGCACGTTAA